CTTCAATATGCATCTGGCAATTCACCCACTGCTGTGAAACTGGTTACATAGACCGTACTGAGATGAAGGTCGTCCAGTGTCAAAGCCATGACTCATGAAACACCAACACAGATTAATCAACACCCTAATATGTAACACTTGGCTGAAAGTCGCTACATATTTCTAGAGGATACGTCCAAACCAGTCTACAAAGTACAACGTAATCTTCTAAAAGATATTAGGAAACATTTACTTCGTATTACTGAAACTCTGGCAATTAAACAGTCGAAACATGGAGTTGTGTATTCAGAAGCGACTTTACTATACCCTATTCTTGTTCACTTCTTAACTCTTAAACTACCCACTTCTTAATCCTAACTGATCTTCTGATTCTCATACTGTTAGTAGGTGAACGATTTTCGTTTATCTCAGTTACATAATCCTGATTGCCTGTCACACTCACAACTGTCTATTTACTTTGTCTCAAATTCTTTACTTCTTGATTTCAACTCACATTTACTCACGTTGTCAAATACTCCCATATTTCTGATATAATTTGCATACCTATATGCTTTTTATGACCATCCATTACCAACAAATATTGAGATTTGTGTGTACACTAAGAATATTTGAATGCGATTGTCCAGCTGTGGAGGATATGATATCACCGAAATCGAATTTGTTCGGTGTAATGTTTATTCTTTTATGACTCAATGAGAATTTATTTATCTGCACTGTAATACTAAATACTGATTTTGATACACTTTCAGTCCATTTCGGTGACTTGAATATGTTTGTCTCTTCGTATTGGCTACTGTTTGTTTCTGTACTTTGTTTAGTAATCTCATTCCTATGAAATATGAGAAACCATATAGACTAAAGAAGTGTAATCTAGTTTAGAACTACTGATAATGTATCAGTAAACAGTTCCATGCAATGAATATTTTTTGTGTTACTTGGGTTTGGTGAGGGCTAGATAGAAGTTGTCTTATAGTTCGTTGTGTAGCAAACGGTGTTCTCGAATTATCAACCAACTCATTACTTTGCCATTTTAAAAGTTGAGATCTAATTATTGTTCATTCATCTGTATCTCTTACTCTTGTATCCTCTTGGTTTAATTTAATACCATGCCATTCCTTTTCACATCTTCCTGTTTATCAGCTTGAACTGGCACGTTTTTATGGGATTTTGTACATAAGTTTGCTTGCCTACTTGTGATATGGTTAGCAAAATTGATCATGGCATGAATCAGTCATACACTTTGGAAACTTCGAAGTCGATGTAAATCGCTACTCATTTTATGGTGATCGGCATAACTAGATAAATAAGTAATAATTTTATTAGACGGCAAATCGTTGACAGTATTACCACAGGACTCCACAACATAAGCCATTGTGTCTAAACCCAGTAGTTGAATGATCACATGATCGCTGCGAGGCTTGGTGGTCCTGGAATCTATCCAACACCAGTATGCGCTGCTGAGGATTCTCAGACGATGACGAAACAGACTTCGAATCCTCACGGTTTTGAAAAGTTTTTTTCATGGTTTCCTTTTGCGATGAAAACCTTTTTGATATTCATGAAGAAATTAGTAGGGAGAATAAAAAGAATTAAGTATAAGTTGAACTGAAAGAAGGGAATTCTTTCCATGAATTATACATCTTCAGTACATGTATTTAGCCAAACCTATTGACATGTTGTTGAGGCAGATCATTCAAATATTTTTGAATATACTAGCAATACTGTTTTATATTTTGTTTGTCGCTTGGGTTCCTAGCGGAACATACGGCTTCAGTAGCATGTCTCTATTTCACTCTCTTCTCTACAGTCTATCCAACCTGGCTCCACCACTGCCATAACCTTTCATTTCTTCCTCACACCATCTCCTCCATGTCACCCTCGGCTCAGACGACCGACTCGTCGTTTCCCATTCGGCTTCCACTCGATAGCATGGTCTGGTCTGACGCGTGATGTCCCAAAACCGTTTTCTCAGTGTATGTCCAATCCAGTCGAATCCATCTCCACTTTCTGCTTCTGCATATTTGTTGGGCGATGGGTTCTTGGTTGGTTCACTACCAAGCAGTCAGAGTTCCTTGTTGCTTATTCTCATTATTCTGGCCATCTGATTTGATCTTCAGTATCGACTGAGCGTAGGTGACAGCTGTTGATGAATGTCTGCAGTTTGTTGGAAGCGCTTTTCGTAACGCGCCAAGTTTCTCAACCAAGCACTGACTTGACTGAATTAGTGTTGAAAATCCTGATTTGGGTGCAGTGCAGCAGATTTCCACACTGATTTCAGGTTAGTGAGGGCTTGTCTTGCTGTCTTTCCGATCCTGGCTTTGATGTCATCATCTGTGGCGCCTCCGCTTGTAGTTGAAACGATGCTGTCTAGGTGGGTAGGTGGGTAGGTAGGTAGGTAGGTGAAAGAGACAACTTGCTTTAGATTTCTTCTGTTGATGTTGATTGGTGCTTGTTGCTGTTGTTTGTTGGGTATCTGCATCACCCCTATCTTCTCCACGTTCAAGTGAACAGTGTTCCATCTTCGCTGCCTGTTCTATCAACTTGTTGGTACTTGTCTGTAGATCTTCGAGTTTGTGCGACATTAGGCATGAATGATGATTGGCGGAATCCAAATCTTCTAGGGTCTTTGCGTTGATTAAACAGCGTATACCTATTTTCTCGTTCCTCATAGTTTGTTGCATGATTCAGTTGAGTCGACCACATTCGGGTCGGTGATACTAGGTGGCAACCTATGAACGCACAAGTACGAAGCGTAACTTTCTACGGAAGAATTTCAGTAAGATAAAAACAAGTGGTGTTTATGAATCTAGTGGAATTTTTATATCTGTTTCATTTACACGAGAACCGGAACGTAGACAATATATGCATACATACAAAAGCAAGTTATACACCTTCATATCTGAGAAAAAAATTATTTATTAATAAAGATGAGGCGTGAAACTATGAATCCAAAACTTTTTTTTGTAATCGAAATTGTTGAGTGTAGAAAAAAATCTAGAATTCTAAAGACCACCATAATATTTTTATAAAAGTAGGTGTATTATCCTTTCCTTTTATCTTCATAGGTAATGATACAATACTGAAGTCGAACTCAGCAAAAGTACTTTTAGCCTTTACCACCCTTAATAGCGATTAGTTTTCTTTTTCAGTACAAACCCTTGTATAATCCCTTTTGTTTACTTAAATATCTTCTCTTTTAATATTTCCTCTTCCTCTGTGTGCCATTGAGAAGTGTGTTACTTCTGCGCAAAATTCTACTGAGATTTATCTGTCCATATCGCTTCACTTCATTTTCGTTTCGAAATGCTGTTTGGTGAAAGGAATTTGTAATATTATCGTTTCAAGCTTTACGAAGACGTGAAAGCCAGGATCGGAAAAAACAAGACGCGTTCATTAACCTGAAACCAGTGTGGAGATCTTCTGCACTCAGCACAACGAACAAGATACGGATTTTCAACACCAATATTAAGTCAGTGCTTCTGTATGGTTCAGAGACTTGGCGCGTTACGAAAGGGATTTCCAACAAACTACAGACATTCATCAACAACTGCCTACGCTGACTCGTTATTGAAACTCAGATGGCCACAATAATAAGAATAAGCAACAAGGAACTCTGTCTGGCTGGCAACGAACCAACCAGGAACCTATCGCTGAACAAATATGCACTGGAAGGAAGTGGAGATGAATTGGGCATACACTGAGAAGGCCAACTGGGGACATTATGCGCCAGGCTCTTGAGTGGAACCCAGATGGAAAGCGACGAGTTGGGCGTCTGAGACGAGAGTGACATGGAGGAGATGGTGCGAGGAGGAAATGAGAGCTTGTGGGCTGTCATTGAGCCAGGTTCAAAAGATCTCAGAGAACAGAGTTCACTGGAGACGTGCTACTGAAGCCGTATGTTCCATTAGGAACCGGAGGGACATATAATAAAAATAAATAATTGTTTGAAGCTTTACGTATTTAGACTTCAACTCAAAATGACTTTCCCCATTAGCTTACACTAGTTTTCAACATAGCCTCCTTTCATCCTCTTATCCGATCGTGTGATAAATATACCTGAAAGTTGATTAAGATAGCTGTATTCTTCTTCGCCAAAAAAAAACAACTACTTATTCAGTACTGGTAAACTCTCTCGTTACATTTTTCCTAAGCCCTATTTTTAGCAATATACGTATTTTATTTCACATAATAGCATTAAAGTTTTGATCTACTCACTTGACTTTTCAATGGTCTTGCCCGCAATTCTCTTTCATTACTCAGTAGTGATTCCTTAGTAAGACGATCGGCGTTCCAATTGCTGAACGAGATTCTTACATGCACCTTGAAGGAAGCTGTGTTTAAGAGTAGTTGAAAATTTTGATTTCCTATGTGTAATTTTGGTTCAAAGTGTATGAAACTTGCCGTTTCTAATGAAGTAACGTGTATGAATAAGAATTGTATGTTGACGAACGATACTTAATACAGAAAGCCCTCAAAAAAGAATCCATGTGGACTACTAGTATCAATTCCCAACCAATACACCTCAAGCTTTTAACCACGACATTTTATCATACCTCCGATTTATTCATGTATATAACTCAAATAGATGTTAATTAACATTATTTTCTGATGACATATGTCGATCCGTTTCCCAAACTTTATTTGACACAGTGTTACGTAAGGGGCTTTTACAAACTGGGTGTAAATGTCGCTTACTTTCAGCCTAAAGTATTTCAAGTATTCGGTTTAGACCCTTTGCTTTTTTATGTGATAGTAGTTATGCAATAAGAAATATTTTCAAACTTGAATTGGATCCATTTTGATTGGATGATTTCGATGGTAAATCTTTCAACTAACTGAAGTGAAGGTGAGAAATAACAAAACATTTCGAAAATTAGAAGTGCACGAAGACAATGAATTAAAAAGAATATATATCTGTATCATAAGGTCACTGGTTAACCAATGAGAAGTTTACATAAGATATGGATATCCATATAAGCCAGTTAGGATGCAAGCAAAAAGAAAGTAACTTGTTTCTTATTATTATTTCGTAACCTATTTGTTAAAATAAGTAAACCATTTTAGTCTGTTTTATAGATTCCCTTAGATTTTTTCTTGAGAGTATTTCGATTTACTCAACTTTTTTCCTTGTCATTTATGTCATTGTTCACAGGTGCATAAAATAGAGGATAAGTCTGGAGACTTAAAAATATTTTCTCATACGGAAGAGGACAATTATAATTCCTCATTCTTTCTTACTCTGTCAAAAGATCCAACGTTAGAAACAGTTTTTGAATTGGATTCAACGAGTTATAATAAAGACAGTGATGAACTTATACCGAACAACGCTTTTGTACGTATTCGTCACACATCCTCAAAGATGTGGATTAAAGCTAGTGAGACTACAATTGATAAAAATATAGACAAACCTATAATGCACAAGGTAGGTTGTTAGTATAAAGATTTCCTTAGAAGACAGATTAGCATCTAATCAGCACCTTATATTAAAACTTACCTATATGATAAAGTAAATACTGCTTTGATGGTGGAAAAAAAATCTTTTAAAGCCTAACTGCAATTCTAAACCAGATTCCGCATTCTGGATTGTCTTTTTTAAAACTAATTTATATTCTATTTTAAATGTTTGTAGCTTAATCTTACTTCCATAAAAGATAACAAAGAAGTATTCGCTATCCTTCCTGTACCTTCATGCGTAGTCAGAGATTTAGATCTTGTCAGTGATGTTTTTAAAGCTCTTGAAGCTATTCTCAATGTCCTGAATAATCAAGGAAATCTGACCGATATCCAGTTCAGGTAATTACAGTTTGATATAATCATAACTTGATAACAAAAATATCTTATAAGTATAAATAATGATTCTGATATCATTCTAAACAGTTTATCTTTATTTTATATGAAACTAGAATTCTGTGTACAGATTATTGCTGATAACCATTTATTGAAAAAGACTAAAATAATGTATTTTTCAAATTACAGATCTTAATCATCTTAATGAGACGTAGTTCGAGTTTTGAGAACTTCTTCGTCACCTATAGACATTTCTATAGAGATCTAAGTTCGCAAAAATTATTCACTGCATTATTAGGCATAAAAATATGGATATAGATTTAAAAAATCTTGTGAAACGTAGATTTTTGTCAAAATTGGTTGACTTGTTTGTGAACTTCAGATTAGAGAGTGAAGTTGTTGAGTGTACTGACCACTTCACTTACTTATGGATTAAAATCAGCCATTATTGGTCACAGAAAAACGAAAGTTGAACACGGATACAAAAGGCTGCACCATCTATAACACCTGTAGGATATCTAGTCGTTTACTTCGAGTCAAGCATACTGTTCTTAGTTTGTTCTCTTCTACCGTGTGTCTGTAAAAAAAATGTTTGTTTGCGTTAATGGGCATCGTAATGTTTCGGATGTGTGGTCACAGATGTGTCTGTAGCATTTATTGTGCACTATTCAATTAACACGCTGTGCAGTTACAAAATATAGCTTGTATCTCTGAATGTCTTGTTATTACATTGAAAAACAGGTACTACCCCTAAGAACTATCCAAGTAAATGGTGTATAGCCAACAGATTGAGATTGTGGATTTATTCGCACTCAGACCTTGTACACATATGGAAAAGTAGTAACATTTATCCTCAGTTTAAGACTGTTCCGTTTCAGTAATTAAAACTTGTTTATTATATCTCAGGATTTTGAATGTCGAAGGTTCGACATATAGCTGGATATTTTTGTTTAAAGAAATATGATGCCTTTAAATTATTGTGAACCATCAGTAGAAAATGGAAAAGTAGGAAATTAGGGACTGCGGTACAAATGGCATTTCACAGTGTTTTAAACTTAAAGAGACTGAAGTGTAAAAGATTCCGTTTTCCAATTCTTAACAGCTACCTATCTCAACATGTAGGCTTGGGGATATTGGAATTGATACTTAGATGGAATGATGAAATGAAGAGTTGAACAATACTAATTTTGGTTAATACGCACTACTTTGCTTCTAAAGTGATGTGCTGACCCATTACTATTTTTGAAATTAAAATAATGGAGTTTGACAAAATATTTCGGTAACTAAGAAAAGTAATTGATAAGAGTTACTGCTTTACCTCAGAACGCAAGGGATACCAGCTTGAAATCACCCTCAATTTACTACTTTTGAAATATTAGTGTTTGACTGAATAAAGTCATTCCTCTGCAGAATCTTATTCAAAATCACTTCATTGACGTCAGATTCCTATCATACTGTAGTTGTGACTTTAACAGCTTTCCTCTTTAAAAGCTCCAATTAATTCTGTAGCAAGTGGCTATTGAATAAATGAATGAATAATTTATTTGGACGAAAAACATTTGTTGTGAATTATCGGTCTGACTAACACATTATGATACCGACTTTTAACTGAAGTATGTGTGATCTGAATGGAATATTACACATTCCAGAAAACATCCCAGCCTATGAACAAGCCCTGTTTTAGCTTCCAGCATCTGACTACTGTAGTATATTAGTTCTAAGTCGAGAAAACCGGCTAGGTATTATCCTCTTCATCATGACCTAAAATCATCAATCTAAAGAGTTTTTCAAGACTGGCGGTGAAGGTGTCTTCGGTGTCATTTGTATTTTCATCGCAACACAGGATATAATACCTAATAATATTATACAGAAAAGTATATATGGCGATTTAACAAACAGTAACATTTTGGTTGAAGGCAGTTAATGTATCATACGTGAACATAACGTTTTAAAATTAATAAACAGATAGATTAAACACTTTATCTGGAGGTTTGTGGAGGTTTATTAATTGATTTTAGGTTGGAATTCATCATAGACTGACATCAGTTGAAGCAACATTGAAAACCTGGGGGTACTGGGCAACCGTTTCATTTTAGTACGGGGCACCCCAGCAGTGCGCACCCATGACCCCGCCAGGGACTTTTTGTCTTTCATAATCCAAAACAAAAATAAAAATAAGTAAGACTGAAAATAGACGCGAACTAAAATTTGCAAGGTTTAGTATCTGAAAGGAAGTCGTCTTCCAACTCTGTTTGAAAATCCTTCATATCTCTTAGGGTTAGATTTAACTCGGGGACTTTATTTTTCATAACTGGAAATCATTTAACTCTGATTTCAACATATATGTAGAGTTGGTGGATGATATATGTAGTCTCCATGTTCGATCTATTTGTTTGATATATAGCACACAGTGATACAATAGTACTGTGATTTGTATCGGTTACTTGCTGAACTCGTCCGTTTACTTAAACAAAGATTTCTTCATTAATCACTTCATTTTAAATTTTATGAATTACTATTAAGCAGTCATGACCACAAATTGTTTCCTACATACTTTATAAAGAAGATATATATATCAATAATCTTCTCTGCTGAGTACTTCTCACTATCCTATATCAAGTGTAATGGAATCCAATATTCAGTATTATAAGTGACATAAAAGGGCCATAGCTGGAATAATAACTTTAAGAAAATCCTTGAATCTGACACATGGTATAAACTAGTATTTAGTGATCGATATGGATATACAAGTTGTGACTCACAGACTTAGGCACTGAATTTTCAGGCAGTAGGCTGCAAGTGAAAGTCCTTCCCTTCCTCCTCCTCCCCATATACTAAGTGCAGCTTATAGCCTAATGTAGTAACCTGTATCACATAGGTAAGTTGAATTATTGGTATCTACGTAGATGGAAATAACTACTCCACCAATGATAAAAAATCTGATTATTCTTTCATATTTGTCGAATTCTGAATGAATGCAGTACTCTATTTTGGTCCCAGTAACCATAGTTTATCGATCGAAAACAGTTATCTTGCTTTGAGTTTGCTAACCTATTTATTGCACAATACTGCTTGTCAAAATAAGTTACCTACAACTCCCATTGACCACTTCATAATCTATTGACAAAAAGTAGCTAACTAAATTCAGTTTCATAGCTTAAATTTTGATTATTCATCTGAGACGGACAGAAACCGCTCCATCTTAATGCATATCCAAATTATAAGTAATCAGTTTCGTTTTCTAAAGGGTGTACAAAATTATTTTTTGACTTAAATTATAGATCTCTTGTATTCATTCTATCGGAAATAATCAACTTTCTTGATGGTAGCATAGATCTTACATTCGAGTCGAGTCCATCTGCAAAAAATCCTATGATTTTACGTGACAGACAGAAGCTATTACGTGAACAAAATATTATTTCGCAAGTAAGTCTGCTTGTGCCACATGAAGTAATAGATCACATTTATGTCTCTCTCTCTCTCTCTCTCTCTCTATATATATATATATATATATATATATATATATATATATATATATATTACTGATTATATGCTTGTTTGTGTTATTTTGCTTCATACTTCGACTTACGATGAGAAATATTCGGTTGAGAACTCTGAATAAAGTACTGAATTACCGTCCCTTAAATTAAATTTAGTAACAGTTCAGAATGCATATCTTGAGCATCCCTAGTCAGTCGTCAGATATATTCAAAAGACTTCGTCAACTCGATGTGGAAACCAAAGTCCTACACTTTGAAATAATGATAAATAATGCATCTCCGCGCTTACATTAATGATCCATTTCGTAGGCTATCAGCCACCTTTAATGTGTTCAGAGGTATATAATGCTCCACTGTTGTTAAGGCTAGGGTGGAATCAAATCTCGGGCTAAGGAGCTACGTCTATGGTGAGTGTTTGCATGCAATCAAATTTATATCTTCTTTGTATACTGGCAACATTTGCTGTAGTGATTCTTTTCCTAACTACATACATATAATCAGTGGTTCTGTTTATCATCCTTACATCCTCTTTACTTTTAACATCAGAACTATACTGTTTATACGCTAGTTTTAAGTTTCAGAGTATCTGATTGACTTGGGGTATGCAGATGATTTTCCTGCTAGATGAAGATGCTGACAAGTTGAAGTCTTCTGAACGCCAAAAAACAGAAGTCTGTGTGTGTTTGGCATGCATTTCACTTTTTTCATTTGTAAGATGGTGCTCAAGAACTGGTCTGTACCTATTCCTAGTTTAAGAATGGGAGGTAAAGTATTAGAATTCGTCGACCAATTTATTTGCTTGGGGAGTTACATTAGTTCAAACAGGCCGGCTGCGGACGAAATCTTAGCTGGGATACAGAAGGCTTATTGAGCATTTACGTTATTGAGTTATAAGTGTATCTGACTGGCGAGATATCGGACTATTTATTAAGGTTTGAGTTTACTGTACTTCAGTCCGTTCTGTCGTGTGACAGGGCTGTGAGACATGGCCATTAAAAGTAGAAAGTATGAAGCGGTTTCAGAATTTTGAACACGGGTGTCTTTGTAGCACTAATCGCTTTTGGTGGAATCACCGTGTGAGCAGTGTTGAAGTCAGGCGAATGGTACTAAGCAAGAAATTCAAATCAGTCAATGAAGTTGTGAGCCTTAGGCGACTGAAGTGACTTGGATATGTAATGTGCTTGCTGAGTCACCGCCTATCTAGACGTGCAGTTCTGGGGGCAGTTCGATACAATTGGAAAGTAGTTCATTGTGGATAGACTAAGACATCAGTTCGTGGAGTCCCTGACTGTTGTTCTGAGCTGTGTAGGGAGGTGCAGACTAACTGACTGGAGTCCCTGAGACAATAAGAATCGGTGGTTGAGAACTGTTGATGATATAGCTGAAAACCAGTAACGATGGTACTGATAATTTTCACTCCTTGATGTCCTATGAAGCTGGAATGTTTTGACTTATCTTAATTTTAAACTCCCTCTTCTCCCATATGCCTTTGTTAATGTTTTATATTCACTTGGCTTTTATATACTATTGTGAATTGTGACAACTTGAGCCGATGCATTTATATTCATCGGGCTGAGTTATCATGAAGCATTAGATTCATTAAACTGTATATATCGCATGTTTTCTCGGAGATCGCTACACCAACCACCGTATGATTTCCTTGTGACTAGTTGTAAGTCTGGGAAGGAAGTCCGTGTTTGATACAGAGCCATTGGATACAGCACATTTGTGGAGCGTCAACATCTGTGGTTGCTCTACGACCTTCTAGATGGGATCTGACAAATCATTCAACTAAAGGGATTGAAATAACAGCAGACATGGCTCAGAACAGAAACCAGCTGAGGACATATTGCAGTTTTTTTCTTCTGTCATCCAGAAGTAAAAAGAATATCGCAAAATGGCTCGTCAAGATACTAGACCAAATGAAGAATGAAATTCTGAAATATATATTACACTCCAATTTGTTGATTTAATCAAGAATTTCAACCTGTCAGGAAAGAGGATGATTTCTCTGGATGTCACCTACCCACTTACAAATGTCTCACTAATGGAAACCATTTTTTTCTGTGTAGCTTCAATCAGTCCCATAAATGAAACATTGGTATCCCAAATCACAATTTAAAGGAACTCCTGCTCAGATGTATCTTTAACGTGCCTTTCCGATTTAATAACGAAATCTGCAAGCAGATAGACGGTGTGGTAATGCGATCGCCTTTGGGACTCCTCCTGGTTGACTGCTTTATGAAAAGTCAGGAAAAGACGACCTTATCAAAAATAATCAACAAGCCTAATATCTAGGAAAGGTACATAAATGATACGTTTATTATTTGGGATGAGAATACGAACCTCGAAAACTTGCTTTAAACCTTCTACAGAGCTTATTCCTTTATCAAATTCACTCTTCGTTTATAAATCCAAAGAAAAGGTAACAGTTCAGAGATTTATTTATAGAAAGCCCACTTGGTAACGCGCAATTTACTGGTTTTCAAAGCATTGTTCCATCAAGCAGAGAGAGGAATCTTATCAATTCCTTCTCATTAAGAATGCAAAAAATATGTGCAGGGGCCACCATTTACGATGAGCTAGAAAATTTACCAGTAGTCCTAATGAAAAATGGATGCTCGCTGAAATTTATAGGGAAGAATCAGAAACTCACTGATCAGTACACAAAGGATAAAATGGAGCATTAGACCTCATCTTTCTGTGTGTATCAGTTTACTTCCTCCTGTAGAACCTAGTATATCGACCATGTAATGTACCAGCTTGTGAAACGCACTGGTGAACACTATCCAGCTTGAGTGAAAAGGGGCGAACGGAAGTGAATCCTTAGCTGTATATCAGAAGACTTAGAAACTCAGGATATTTGACTTCTTTTCATAAATCCTTCAAAATTCTGTTTATAGTACTACCAAGCCACTGAAAAGGAGTAAGGCTGAGACATCTAGATATAGCCGAACCATTAGCGATTCAAAAGTTCAAACCATCACTATGCATTCAAAGGAGTATATATAACCGCTTTCTTAGCCATGTCCGTAGTAGATTATCGATTATTGTAGACAATCAACATATAGCGTAACTACTTTTATTTTATGATCATCTTATTGATTTCCTTATTACACACTTTACTTTGTGAGGCAATTTATATTGACATATTAATGGTAGATAGTGGCTAGCAGTGGAAACTAAGACGCCCTCTGAGTCTTATTTGCGACTTGTCAGCTGGAGGTATTTACTTCACAGTGAGCGATGTTATTCCCACTAGAACTGGAACTCTGGACCAATCCCTTCAAACACCAGAGCGTTATCCACTAGACCACCTAGTCACGATAGCCACTTCTTGTACGACGGGTACTGTTTTAATATTGTTGCTTGTATTATCCTGTCATTGAGTGGACTTAATTGATCGATTTTATATGCCAGTAGAGACCTATCAGTTCGATCCATTCAACGACGGGTTAATACAAGCAACAAAAATTTATATCAACCATTGATGGGAAATTACTCTGGAATGTTCAATATATTCATGAATGTATAGCTAAGAAAATGATTTTCTCGTAAAGAAAAATATTTCTCCGCTGCAATCGTGTTCTTTGTTTTTCTGTGATCAAACAGGATTGTTTCAAGATTCAAAACGGATGTACTGAGTTCTTTTTTGTCATTACGTTTGCAAATGCTTTCCTAGTAACACGTTTTCACCGTTTTATTTTTCAATATTTTGGTAGTTTTGCTTCGTTATTTTTTCTGGTATATCCCACGGTGCCCATGTTGTACCAGGTTTATTTTGATCATATTTTGGTGATAAAGGGTAAGCTTTCCAGCTTCAATACTCATTAATTCACAAATCAGTGGTTTAGAGGTTCTACTTGATGCTCAACACAAGAGTGGTAGGAATTCATTTAATTAAGAGTAATGACGTCTTATCTTTTTGTCTGTGATCTTATGAATAATAAGTGGACATCAGTGTTTGTTTGTGAATCAATCTGATTGATGTAATAGGATGATGACCGCTCATTATTGAGCTAAAACTCTGAAGAATCACAATATCTGACTAACTTGTCTCATAAAATGAAACATTCATTTTCGTACAAAATATACAAAATGAAATAAATATGATTATAACTTACTTCCAAATGGGAAAATGAAAATGAATAACGATCGTTTACAGACGAACTACTGTTTATCATGTCATCTTCAGTGTTGATATAATTCAATCAAGCTGTGAATTCAATAAAGTGGCCAAGTAGACTGTGAACTTGAAGTGCAACAAACTGTAATCATTGTAAAAAAATAACTGATAAATGGATGAAGTCAGATTTATTCAGTTTCGCTGAAACAGTAGCTATTAAGCGATTGAAACCGAAAGAAAGAAGTAGACTGAAGAAGTAATTGTTAGTCTATTCGTATAATAGTGATGTTTTGTTTTTAATAACTATGACATTTTTTGAGCGATTGTAATTCTTCTAGGCCTTTTTATACATTTTTATGTAACGCCTTTTTCAACATTAGTAATTATCTTTAAAGTTAGCTTTCCAGTTAAAATCATTTTTAGAAGAATGATTTATAGGATTTTAAATCTGAGTAACAATGTAAAGCTTTTCGAAATTATGAATGTAACCTGTTGAAAAGTGGTGAGAAATAAGCAGAGGAATCAAAAAAAGCTTACCACTGATTAATTTCAATGATTTCATGGTAGAAAGTTATTATCAAATAAAATTTTTGTTCGGACTACAAGAAGTTCATAAAGTTATTGGTCTGAATACTATTTTGGAAATAAGTTTAATCGAGCTCACTTATATGATCTACCTTCCATGATATTCTTGTTGCTAAATAGTTTATTGGTTTTGTAATGCTGGGATAAATTGTGATATATCTAGCTTATGCAAGGTATTTGGTGACTATTCTTGCCATGTAGATTTCGCTACAAAGTCAGGAATCACCGTGACTTTACCTGTCAATTTTCTCAGGATCTACAATAGCATACGGAAAACTGATTACTGAGTAATAATGCAGCTTTTGTGTGTATATCTCTGGCTTATTGGTTTGAACCTTTGACTTTATTCAATGGATCTTTTGTTCATATTCCGCTCCTATGCGACTGCGTAGTGTCACAAACTATCATCCATTAAGTATTATTCAAAGCCTATTACATAGATGTAAAGTTCACTGATGAGTTGGTTTCAATGATCGCGTCTCATTTTACTACCGAAAGTTTTATTAAGAATATCTGCATAAACAATGGGGTGAACTACCGTTAGATCCTTAGGTTTTTACACTGTGATGCTGGATGTGAAAATATAGGATGATGGGAAATATACTCCAAGACCGACCACTTTTACCTAACTGAAATACAGTTTCTTTAACGGGTCATTCTGTAACACACCTCTATGATAACATTCGATATTATACTACTGATACGCTTCAAACTAGATGTAAATATTACAAAAGGACCTCAACATTTTTCAGTATGCTGGACAAAATAAGACAGTTTAATGACCATTCACATTTTTAAAATGTAAACTTGATACAGCACGTGTGTCACAAACTGTGCCACACGAAATATAATATTCATAAAACGTCAAAGAAAATGAAGAGATACAGAGTTTGATATGATTTAGTCCTTTCTTTATTACTATTCAAATATGGAAGACATGAGAAAACTACAAATCGGTCACCACTGGATTCTATTCTAGGCCAAGTTTGACAAAATTTTAAGCTACTGACTCGCGTTACTACAAGAATCATGCTTGGGAAATCATGTTTCAACATCAGTCACTAATCCAACACGTTTAACTCACATCCTGTGGCACCATATCACAAACTAACAATCACTTTGTTTACTCCAGTGGGTTGCAGTGCCACAGAACACTAGTTAGAGTAAGTGTAGTGACACATGTATGTTATGTTTAAGTGGTATTACATATCGCAGTACTACGTAGATGCAAATCATAGAGCATACAGTGGTATTTATTATGTTCTGGTTACGGTCACTAATCAACTGTAAACTAAGATTTACAGACAGTAGTATATAAAGATAAAGATAAGTTGTCCGACGATATGTGGCGAATAGTAATACAGTAATGCAGAATGTACTGGCATCATTTTATATAAGTTACACAAATAAAATATTCCAGTTTTTTGTATATACACCCTTAATTATCACACTTATGAAATTAGAGTAGAAACGTATTTCGATCGAATTTGAAATTAAAGGATTATAAAGGTGTTAAATAAATTAACTTGCACGTAGTGACCCAAATAACGTAGTGCTGACGCTCTTGCTTTTGAGCCAAGTGGTGTCAATGAAAATATATAGGGGTGTACTGGTTTTCTTTGACATTTCACTTAGTTCTTGCTTTTAAATACCAACAAGTGAGCGATACATTTATTCAGTGTTTCTTCATCGTATTGAGACCATTGGTTACTATAATACATGGTCTTTGTTGTAGAAATATTGTTTATGATCTTTTACTGATGACCCATGTTTTGGGATTTATAAGTGTATGTTCAACAACACATTCCATTATTAATCCCTCCTTACCAACCAACATCTTTTACTGCCTAGACCACGAGTATGTAACTATCCAGTAAATGTGCCATTCATTCCATGGACGGTGACAGTTACAATTTAATCCAAAAGTATTACTTATACCATTTATGTTGGTTCCGTTTACCGGAACCGACTGCAAGTATCATGAACTGTTCACAGAAGTATCCACAAAATATTTATGAACCGTACAGCAAAAGCTTATATCCTTAATAATGGAATGATTTTTCTGATGCTTTATGCTGCAAAGCTGCTGACCGAGGCTGTAGGTAAAGATCTCAATATTTGTTGAACCATTAGATGGCTAGTCTAATTATCACCCGTTTTTAGGAATAATTAAATCAGATAGCAAACTGGACCGTTTGGGAAGTCCTCAGTAACTTTTTTCGTTGGCACTTAATTACTAGTGCTATTCTGAAATAATTTGTTAACCCTAATTTTTACGTGTAGATTATACAAGTTCTCAGCTCAAAGTTTTTAAGTAGTCTGCCTAAACAGTCCACATCGAACGTCAGCGTCAATTTGCGAAATTCAAAAATGTTGCACTGGAAACCTGACGTTTCTCTAATCAATATCTTAAATGATACCGAAATACGTACAGATTGTCCAGACTACCAAAGTGTTTACTTGGATAAGAAAAATGAAATATTGGCTTGGCAAACTGTTGGGACCCTCTGTTATCGTATACTTACATTGTCTCAACATAATTACAGAAAGAATCAGGTAAGAATTAAAAGTTATTTCGCAAATTTTGAGCATGTTTTTAACAGATCTCTTTTGGGTTGTTGCCATTTAATTATGAAGTTGTATTTTGTTAAACTTCTTCTGCCTCTGATGCATTCGATGATAACCTTTGCTAGAATAACTCTGCGCATATACTGTCTGTTCATTTCAAAAATACCTTTTTGATAAAGATCAGGGTATAGACGTAGGTTATCAGTTTGTTAACTTTTACTGAATAGTTGCATTTAAACTCGAATGACATATACTTGCTAGTGAGAAAAGTCCCTAACCGTGAGATGACACAGATAATATTTTATTGTTTACCATTGCCTACTTACAAGTAGGTAATTTAGAAAAGCAAAACATTTCAGTGACATTTTCCAGCATAAGGAAATAGTCTTTGACTCACTAGTTCTGTTTGCCTCCCCATCAAAGCATTATTAACTGTTCTAGAGCTTGATTTTACTGTCCACATCAAAGTGGCATACTTGTCAACCAAAAAGGATCCTAACTAATGAGTTAACTAATATTCCAGTTTCCAGGTCTGTTATAAATTTATTGGTTTCAAAGATTTTGTCCGTCGGTAAACCATTGTACACCGCGAAGCATTGGACATTACTCTCCTTCTACTTTGAAAGTAATCAGCAGCACGCACTCAAGAACGTCGTTTTCAATGATAAGTGTGTCGTTACTTGAATTATGAATTCATGATATAACATGACCTGAAGCCAATGTCATCGATGAACGTTCACTTTTGACTGGCATTACACCATGAGTACCAAGCGTTCAGTCATTTAATCATGGGAAATAGATTTATTCTATTTTTTTGAAAACAAGCTTAAGGGTAATATGAAAAACCAGTCTTTTATCGTTTGTACTACTTAACTGACTCTTGGTGAGTAAGCGCTCTTTGTATTCTTATCACCTACATGCTAGATAACAGCATGTGATATTCTTACAGAAGATATAATTTTCCGGGACTTATTTTCTTGTTTATTGCATCTAAGGTGACACGTTATGAACTTTAAAACTTCTAAATAATATATACTTCAGAATGTACATGTTAGTGGGTTGAATAAAAGCTGATTTCAATTGGCTAGATATATCAGTTCATAATGCTTAGTAGTAATGGTAATAACTCTCACAAAGTGCATTCGTTTAATTTTTTTATAGGAATATTTGGCTCTGTATCTAAATCTAATGCAATCTCATATTGGTTTGGGTATAAGAGCATCAGAAACAATTACAGCTCTCTTACATAACAACCGGAAATTGCTTGAAAAGCATGTGGGTGAAAAAGAGGTCTCTTCATTTATCTCACTAGTCAGAGATAACTGCGAAGCACGGTGAGTATTCTTCATGAATATATTTAACTCTAAAAATTACTCACTTATTGTTAACAAATAACAGACTAATGCAATTTTTATAACAAAAGACTTTATTTCATGGTGAGTACAGAGAATTAGTTGAACAGTGATTATTAATGCAGGTTACGTATGCAACGCAGCTAAACTCTGAATGTTTTATGATTTTCGATCAAATATTTGTCCAAATTTAATATGCAGGTGTTTTGATATGATCGGGTCGGTGAATAAAATTGGTCAACGAAAACAATACAGTTCACTATCAGTATGGTGTTTTACATAACATTTTGACAAAGTAGCAGTAAGATATGAATCACTAGGTGAGAAAGTTCGTACATTCGATGTCGAATGAGTATTCTAGTGCTTTCTTTGCAATACATTTTAAGTGGACTTTCAAAAACACAATGATCAATGTTTTGATCTCGCTAGTATTCCAAGTAAAGTTAATGCCTGTTAATAGAACAACGGTTGGAATTTCACCTACTAATTTACCAACAAATCTCATGTATACACCAAATTTATTTAACTAACTTGCCTGTCTAATAAAATGTCTCACTTAGTTGGTGTATATGCATATAGATTCAGTAAGTAATCTTTCCATTCAAACTGAATTTTAGTATGTTGTTGCTGTTCCAGTCATAGACATATTTTTTTTCTCCTGGATGTAGGCCTGTATAGATGAACTGCATTGTAGGCTGATATTCATACATTCTTTGATTTTAATTGAATCTAACCAGAAACTGTCTTAAATTTTAACCCACATTACTGATGAAGCAGTTGACACATGACATTATGTAATGTTATATTTTCGCCGAATTTGTTAACAGAATCTCCAAGATCGTTTTCTTTCTTTCTGAAGGAGTTCATTGGGTTAATAGTAACATAAACAGCTGGATTAAAAGATTTGTTCTTTCGACTCTGAATTTTTTTGTTAGAGAGATGATCATTTTAGTGTTTCCTTTTATTTTAGTGATCTACTTTTGTTGATTTTCTCTCTGCTTTTCACTTTGATTTGAAATCTTTTATAAATTGTGTTAGACATTAGTTGTTTGATAACGTTTGATTAAAATATTCATTTCTTTGCTTTTGTATTCAAGACATTTTATTAGAATTAATTCTATTTGCAAAACTTTGTTTTAAGCTCAGTATTCCTATTCTAAGATTTTAATATAACTTATATGCGACTGAAACATTTGACTTGAAACTCATCAGCGCTGAACAAACTAGCATACTAACGTGAATTAATCTTCTAACTGTAAATCGAAATTATTCAAGTTTATTCAAGTGACTAGAACGTGCAGCTTGGGAATGAGTGACATGGAAATGGTCAGTCTCATTGCCATTTAGAATATCTAGAAAATGTCACAATATTTTCCTGGGGAACCATTACAAAATCACTGCATAGAATAATCTGATTTTGAATAGAAAGGTATTGATCACCATCTAAGGATGCGGCGTACAGAAAAATATTTACTATAAAAGTTGCCTGCGGAATTATGGATAAACATAATATATTATCTACAAACTGAAAATTGTCGTAAGATACTGACATCTTTCAGTAATAACGAGTATACTTTGTGCATATTTTTCAGATTTTTAAACTACTTATCAGCATTGTGTAGTTATCGTGGCGCTGCTATCCCTATTACACAAGAACTAATTTCCCATCAGTTATTAGCTGAAAAGAATGAAGATTTGTTAGTTGAAACATGGTGAGTGACTATGATAGCTGGTAAGATTAGTAAACAGTGTTAAATTTACTATTTTGATGCGATTTGACGAACAAATTTACAGGTTGATTCTGAAATGAAATTTTTAGAAATTTTGCTTACAAAATGAGAAGACGTAATTTATCCAAAATTTGTATTGTATTTTTACGCTGGAGGTTTAAATAAATGATGACTTAATTGCTTATCGTGCGGGATTAGTTAATAAAGTATTCAGTTGTGATAGTAAAAAAGGTCAGTGTAGAATGGCAAATTAGAGGCCATACTACACCGAAAGACAGCAGCGAACAAACTGTGATTTCGGAACCTGTTTGTTCAGGATACGTTTTTGTACATTCAGAAAAGTTTAGGCTACCTTACACCTTGTATTCAGACGAATTCAAAGTTTTACTTTAAGCGGATTTTATAAAGAGGTTTGCAAAATGCATCCACATTAGTCTTATAACTTCCTTTCGTCTAGCTGCTGAGAATCTCAGAACTATTTTGTCAGCATTTATGTAGATCGCTTCACTTATTTTACTCCTAAGGTTTTATCCACTTAAGTTATGATTTCTTTTGATGTATTAGTGCTTCTTATGTATGCTTCAGTATTTCTACATTCTAGCTTATATATGCAGTAAGAAACAGCATCAATATTTGGATAGCATAAGATTATTGAAAAATTTGCCAACTTGTTTTCGTTGATTAGTGGATAACATTGAATACATGTGTTCTCAGTGGATATGCGTTTGTTTCTGAGATACAGTGGTGAATAAAATCCTAGTAATGCACTCATTTTCTGTCTTGGACGGTCTAGCATTTTTAATTTTAGGAATAATGATTGATATTAAAAATTTGTCTTGATGTACTTTTTTATTGTTATAAGAAATGTGCTTGACTTCGTTTTCTATACTGAAATAACCAGCTGTCTAATAATATTCATTTTGAGTGAGTAAGTTAGCTTCCTCCTATATTATGTTAAAAGTCAATCAGTTTTCTTTAAAAAAACATAGAAAACTGATTTTAGTAAGTTACGTGTAAATAAGTGCCGTAGAATAAATGCATTCACTGTTCAAATAAGTGAGAATTTGCGATATAGTTCTAAACGATAAAGGTTTTTATATGTTGTCTGTTCACATTTAACACTTTGCATTAAATTTACCCTTATGCATGAATGACGTCTAATATTTAGTCTGGATGTTTGTAAGGAGATGACTGGTTTCAAAAGAGAATACATCACGCCTGGACATCCTCCAGTAGAGGTCCACTAAAAACTACGGAATAGTAAACAGTGTTCATCTTTGAAGCTCATTAGCGTGTATCTGTGAGCATCAGGTCTCACAAAAAGTATGTTTCTTGTGAAGTCAACAAAATTGAGTTTGAGGACAAATACTAGTTGATGACATTAAATTATTTTCTTACTATGTCAAGAACTGATTTGATTTGGGAACATGAATTACTGAATTCCAGTCAAGTGGCTGAATGATAACGCGCATAGAGTAAAACCAGTTGATGGTGGCTTCAAACTGCCTAGAAGTCTCAAAATAGAATGGAACAAGTGTTCATAATTCTGTGGTTCCCAGCAGTTCTCTGGTGGATATCATTTCATGATGGAAATTTTTTCATGCTGAATATTCATGTCTTACTGATCTTAAGTGATATTCGTTGTTTATGTACACTGATTTGTTTCATACGGTAAAAGTTACCTCATCAGATATGCTAACTAGTAAATGATTATTTTATAATTAGATACATTGAATACGAATGATTAATTGAAATGTTTTAACTAAATAAATGAAAATAATGAAAAAATTACGTGGTTTTAATGAAAAAGTGTTTGAAAACATGGTATGTTTCTTATGTTATCGATAATAGTAAAAGTGGAAATAAGGAAGAAGTGATCATTGAACAATAAGTCAGCCTTAATTAAACCTAGTGTATGACAAAATGAAGGTTGAATTAAATTACTTAAAGTTAAAACTGCTCGACAGAAGACAATTTTCATCATGCCACCAAAAGCTAGGAATTATTGAGAAACTGTTTCATCCTAATTTCTTACCTCTCATTAAGGCATGATCACGACTTTATGGGAGATTGAAAATCATTAGATGACAGTAGAGTTTGTTAATTGAGCAGAAGAATGGTGAAAATAATCTACCATCCATAAGCTTAATCTTATTCAAATATGAAGAGACACTGTGACTAAAGTAGTCTATTTTTACTCCATGATTTTGAACACTTGACCTCAACAAAGTTGAACTGTTTGCAAACAACTTCCATTATGGTAAGAAATGACTTCATATAAATTCTGTCGCCTTAATTATACAAAGTGTTGGACCATTTTTTCTTCCTCATGATATACGTATCACTACTGATGACTTATGAGTGCCAAATATATCCAAGATTACATTACATGCAGTATGAAGACATCTGCTTGAACAGCCTGTGCTTTTAACAAGTATGGAGATTACAGTTTTCCCTGACGATTGGATATTTAGCGGATATATAATAATCATATTACAAGCAATTCGTTCATTTGATAAAGTTAAACAGCGTAATGGTAAGACGAGTATTATTTGAAACATATGATGGATTGGCGCTATACATTTCGAACAATCTGATCACACATAGACTTGTCGAACTACGTATACGAAAATTTAAGTAAAAAATCAATTAAGTCAATAGGAAACATGAGAATAGGATGGAAGGAGAAAAAACCACATCTATATCACATCACTCCTGGTACGAATATTAAAATCAACACTACCAAGGTAGGTTATGAGTCAGTATAAATGCTTTTGTACACATAAAGGGTTTTTGTATTCACAGATGACAAGAGCTTCAGTAATTTTAAGCACTCGCCTCTGACTACTTTTATTTAGCACTTTAAAAGCTGTTTTCATGTCTACCCAGAGGCTAGTTTAAACTATACCTTTGGCAACAGATGAAGATAAACGTTTGTCACCTGCACTGATCAGTACTATTGAGGTTATTTGTTTTGAAAGCCATTTAGGTATATGTTTAACTAAGGCCAGTTGCTTAGATTTATTGAAGCTGTTGCAATCTGTGAATGCAAATCCTCTTTATGTGTACAAAAACAATATGTACTCATGCTTAAACTACTTTGTTAGTGTTGATTCTAATACTCATCCTATTCACATGTTTCCTATTGACTTAATTGACTTTTACTTAAATTTTTATATGAACAGTCTGTCACGTCTATATATAATCAGATTGTTTGAATTGTGTAGCACTATTGCATCACACGTTTCAGATAATATTTGTCGTATCATTACGCCGTTTAAATCATGTTTCAGTAGCATAGTGAATAATTGTATTTTGCTTTCAGCTGTTTGTTCTAATCTTAGTTCATGTATGTAGATCAACACGGTTGATAATAATATCCGATTGATGCTTCCTAAGGTTTTTTGAGACGTAGTTTCTGTATTTCACTGCCAGAGATCGCTGAATATTACGAGTATGGCGCTAATTTCTCAAGACTAAACATGAAATAAAATCTAAAACAGTACTTAAGGGACATTCGAAGCTTTCATTTTTTCCCCTACTCGTCACCCTATGTGGCCATCGAAAATTTGCCTTTTTAGAAGTGGTGTAATCACTGTTAGTAATTTGGTTCGAAATACTATCAAAACTTGAAAAACCCAATCATTGCGGTCAAAACATTCACTTTGAAAATAATTTATCCTACGTTTATACAGTGGATAAATTCTTTTTAGAAATAATTGACAACTCTTCATGGTTTACTAGCTCCTTGTAAGCCTTTGATAGACGTTGTTTCTTAGTTGAGATTTGATACATTTCGTCACCAAAGATCTGACAGCACACTTTTCATTTTTATTTCTGTGCCATAGTGAAAAAATGATTGTTGATTTAGGAGAGGAACATTCAAAAACTGCTGTTATCATAATTTGGAAACAGTTACACTTTATAGATGAACATTTTCGGAGGAATTTCAACTCGCATTTAATTACAAACCAACCAGTCAGTCAGACAGAATTTCTAGAGTTGAATCTCAATGTTCTGAGTGAAGTAATTGATCAGTCGCGACCAGGAATAGGTGATGAATCAAAGTGTATATCAATATGCTGTCTCATAATGGATTACTATCAAGCTCAGATAGACTTATATGCACTATTATGTCAAGAAAGACAGTATATTGCTATCAATTATTTAACGCCAAAGATTTCAACTGAATTGTTATTGAGGTCAGTTCCTGATTTATCTATTCTTTTATTCATTGTGTAGAATTAGTGGTTGAAGTGTACACAAATTAGAAACGGCATGCGATACCTCCTCTGCTAAACAAATTTTTCCGTCTTACTTTTAATAAATAAACTTTACGGTTTTCTTAGGGTTTCTGTTACATCGTTTAATTGCCTATATCAATTGGATGAAGTTTTATCTGAACGACATTGAAATGCATGATTTGAAGAATTATTCAACTAAAATGAAGTTGATGGCGTAAATGTAGTTTTTTTCTCAATAAAATTAGTGTGATTGGATTACATTTTGAGTAGTTTTAAGTGGATGTCTGGAATGTTATAGGTTCTCCTGCTTTTTCTGAGAAGTGTCAAATATGTTACTATCTAATCTGCTTATTTTTTAATTTGTTACTACTTAGAAAACTTGAGTTACAAATACTAATTAAGGTGAGCTAAAATTTAAACAAAATAGCTCATGAGACTCGGTTTTTATTTATGAAGAGCGCTAATAAAAAAACGTAGTCAGCCAGCGTGTGGACATACGGGCTGTAGGCAATGAGTCACACTCACTGTATTACGGCTAATGATACCACCTGGGTGACCAAAACTCGGTAGGTGGAGTGCGGCTAGAACCCATGACCCTAATCCATTAGGTCACAGCTCAAAGGCTACTAATAAGCAGATTTAAACTGTGTGGCAGAAAAAAATCCATATTGGCTGCTGAAAAACAGAGTTTTACGTTTATGGAGGTGAAGGGAGTCAATCATATAAGAAGAATCAGTGAAGAATATCAAGTTCCACTTGATACATTTTGTTTTGTAAATCTCAGTTTAACGAGTACTATTTCGGGTTTATAACAACAAAATTGTTTCGCGCCAATTCAGTCAAATTTTACTGATTTTTTTGTTAAACAAATAGTTCGTAAATTAACTTATCATCGTCGGTGTAATATAAAGTCTATAGTCTCTGAAGTTTACCTTTAAGAAATGAAAAGTGAAATTATATAATTATCCTAATAGCTTTATTTTTCCTTTTCATTAGATGCATGCGCAATGAACAACTTAAACCAGATCTTCGCGCATCTTTCACCCGTCTTTTACTTAATCTCCATGTAGACAGAGATCCTCAAGAACTTAAGCAACCAATTCAATATGCTCGTTTATGGAGTTCATTGAGCACTGATTCAGATATTGACACGTAAGATAAATTTCAAACCTAACTTGCAGTATCATAAAAACTGAATATGATGTTGAAATAGCTTTCTAGGTTACTCAGGTTAATATGTGGCCAGAATTGACATGTAAACATCGATATTTATTTGTCAACTTATACCATCAATTAACCTACAGAAGAAACTACTTAAAAACTTAAAATTTGCAGTAATCAGCTACAACTACCTTTCTGTTGAGGTACAAAAACTGGGTGAATGTAGCAATTTGAAAAAGTTTCCAAATAATCTCTTGGATTTGACTCCACTATAATTCTGGTGACAGCTTAAATATTAAGTCACCAATGTGAAAAGATGCTTGAACTTCCCAACATTTTTTTAAAAATAAAGGAAGATAATAAACAATTTTCAGTCATTAGTGATTAATATATTATTTTTGGTTTCATGTAGATACATGCATCACTTCAGTATTGGCTGTTAGCACCAACATTTTAACATTCAAAATCTACTCTTTTTTTTATGTTTTCGACAAGGTTGTTAGATTGACATTATTCAAATACTTCAAAGTGATATTCTTTTCATCTTCGTCATTCAGTAACCCTGATCTTGGACATGACCAGCTGATGTATGCTTTCAACTTGGTGTTTGACCATTGATCTCACTGACTAATTTCCAAACAGTTGATATTTCCTTAGAAATCTGTGTATTGTATTCATGACCTTATACCTCTTGATCGACATTTTACCAAATTAGCATTCTTCCAGAAATTTTTTTTCTATTTAACATTGCTTCTTGTAGTACTTACACATTTCTTCAGTAAAAGTGATAGTTTTGATTGTCTGGATGCATTAGTATTACCAAGGAGCTGTCATACAGTTTGACTGCTGGCTGATAATGGTTCCCTGGGCTAGCGTAATGGTATTGGCGATCGTTGTTACCAATTTCTCTCATGATATTCGTATCATCTTTTTAAGCAGTGGACCCCTTAGTGTGTATCAGACACCGTAGACTTTTTGTTGGTTTGTGTGCTACGTTGATATTTAGCGGACGAAGTAGTTAAGTGACGTTTCCGAAAAACCTTTGATAAGCTGTAAACTGGTCTGTTTTGTAGGTTTGCCTCCTTTTCTGTCTACAAATACTTCTTGACGAAGTTGATTCGGTAGTCGTTGATTGTGAAAAAGTAGTATCTTCTTAACTTTTCTAGTTGTTGAGTATTGGGATGAGTCTCTGTATGTGCTAATAAGGCTTGCACACAACTGTTCGTTAGAAATACGGAAATATATATCTACGCATATGAAAACTACTGGGTGGTATTGTGACTCTACAGCTCGAGGAACATGAAAGTGACAAAATATGTGACGCGATTATCTTTATCAACATTTCATTGAAATATTTATACAAATATTTCTCATGCTTGTTTGCTGAGGTTACTTTTTGAAATTCTTACATCTTTTCGTACAGATATTATGGGGACTTAAATATTTTGAATATCAGCAATTATTTTTTTATGTATACAGCTAACATCTAATAATTGCAAATGAATTTAGCCTAAAATCTACTCATTCATTCAACTGATGAACGGTCATGAAGAATAGTCTATGTCAAACTTACTTTTCTTTCAGTTATGAGTCAGTGAGCAATCCGATAGTGAAACAAGAAAAAGTCAAGTCCAATTTCATAGCCATGATGAACTTTGTGAATGATTACTTGGACGTTATGTTAGATACCGGTCGTTATTTATATGACCCTGGTTATATAACTTTGACATATGAGGTAAGTCATTTTCTGGAAATGGTAACAAGATACACAGACTTATTAAAGCTTTAGTATTATGGCATTCACATTAAAATACTACAGTCTGCTGATGAAGATAACTATGAAATAGGATGGTTAGCCTGCAGTAAGATTTTAAAGAGCTTATTAGTATTCGTGTGACATTTATTGATTTTGCTTTTATAGAAAATGGTGTTGCCGTGATTAGTTTTCTTTAATTATAGGACTTTTGTTTGCCATATGTTTTCAAAATGTCATGACCAAGTAACTTTTTGCAGTAGCGTTGTAAATGTTGAATGAAACACGCCAGTTTTATGAAAGAAGTAACCAATAGAAATGATGCATGAAACATCCAGTAGAACTGAGAGGAAGATACTAACTGATATAGTTTTAGACAAAGTAAAGTAATCAACACAGTTAAAATATAATCCAATAGCCATAAACAATAAGCATTGGGGACAAGTGGAAATGAAATGTGATGAAGATGAATATGAAAGTCATAGTAGTGCACTCATCATTTAGAAGGACATAGTGTTGGAGTAAACTTGTGCGTTTAAGACTAGTTTGAACATCAGAATGGTATCTCCTCTTCATAATATATTTCATGTAGGAAGGATTATCAGTTCGTTAACAATTCTGTTTTCATCGCAGTCGAAACATTTTCTGAACATGATTGTCATGAACTTTATCTATCTTATTTCCAAAATTACTCACACTAGTCAAATAATTGCCCACTTCATATGAACCTTACACACACAACATTTCCATTCCAAAGACACACGTAGTTTTAGGAATAAATCCATTTGTACTACTCTATCTTTAAGTTTATCCTCGATGACTGTTCCCTTCCCATTCTTTTATTAAAACACAATACTGTGTTGAACATTCGACAGTCAATAGATAAAACTAAATTAATTTTGACGTCAGTAGAATAAGCAACGGAATAACAAACAAATATTCTGTAATCGTATTCACGTCCAGTTTTCAAGATAACATTCTGAACATTTTCTTGAATATCTGGTATTAAAAAATCGTGACTTAAAGGTGTGACAGATACACTGTTGACACGCCAAACAGTGCGCAGTAACAGTGCTATGCCGCATCTAATTTTGTGTTTGAAACAAACTGATTGGTATTTTGTTCAATAGTATTTAAAATTATTATCACATGCTGGCTCAAATTTTTTAAGTTTTATGAGATTTCGTCGGCAGCTGAATTCTCCTAATAAACCTATCTTGTCCACAGCCATAGCTTCTCAAGAACATTGTCAGTTCTGTGTTCATCAGATCATAGAATAAACGTCCGGTACGTTTTGTTCTATTCACTACAGAAACTAAGGATATGACTGAATTTTGAACTACCTGAAATCTATTCGAGAATGATATTGATTACAAACGGTTTACCTGATTCTTATATCATCTATAGTAATTGGAAGATCGTAATGGAAACGTTTCATGCATTTGATGTACGTGATATTTTACGACTTGAATTGGCATATCATCTGTCAGGAAAAATTAAAAAGAACAACTCAAAACATAAAATAATGTGTACTTTTCCTACTTTTTAAAGTATTACACCTACACTTTTCTGAGGCACATATCCGCACCGTGAAACTTATTTGTTTTCTGAGATTTAAAAAAAGATAGTTAAACATATCTAACCGTAGACACGTACAAAACGAAAATTAAATTACAACAGCCTAATGAAGAAGAATTGCTTTTTGCGCGATTTATACTTTGACACAAATGAACGGAATGCAAAGTATATGTGTAGTTCAGTGATATTTCATTTTTGAAACCTTTTTAACAAAAAAGGAGATAACAGTGACAGAGTTCAACTTTTCATCTCTTTATTGCCTATAAATAGAATACTGGAGTTTTAGATCTTAATTAAATGACTCCTTATTGAGTGACTTTAAAAGCCACCCTAGGAAGAATTGCAACAACCAATCAGACTTCTTTATTTTATAAAATTCTGACTTCCCAGCTGAAATGAAGAAGCCTAATTGGTTATTTCAATCGTTGCTAGGGTGGCCTGTAAACTAGCCTCTCATTATCACGTGATTTGTGATATACTGCAGGCAAATATTTTACTTATTTGTTGCTGATGTTTAAAAACCAGATCATTCATATTTCATTCAAGTTTAAATTAGTTGTTTGTAAAGTTATGCGTTTTTACTCACTTTTCTTTTTTCAAGATCATAAATTTATCCAGACATTTAGTGTTTTTTGGGTTGTATAACATTGAAGAATTATTACTTTTGGGCCAGAAGCTTGTATTTATGCTTGATCGATGCGGAATTTCAAATGATTTCAGCAGTGAGGCAAATATGGGTGGGTGATATTGGCATGGACCAATACTGATAATTTTGTTGTAGTACTGCAAACAGATGTGATAGGGTTGTAATTTTCTTAACAATTTACTGTAAATGATAATTTAAAAATGGTCGAAGAATTTAATTAGTTATTTCATACTAGTGATAATAACATTGAAAATCTGATTATAACAGAAGTCCACTTCACTATTTTCGTGCGTTAATTGGCTCAAAATTTTCATCAGGTCACTGATGACCTTGATATATATTTTGAAGTCCAGCTGGCTTCTGTAAGCTGAATTTATGAATTCGGAAAGTTGGTTTCGCATATACCCACAACTACAGTCCAACTCATTTTCTGTTAATCTACAGATATGATACACTCTTAATGGAGAGAGAAGCCACAAGACTACTAGTATTTCGTCACCTTTGTCTTAACAACCAGTCTTGTGCACAATCGGATCATCTAGTAGTGAGTATTGAGAATATACGCAGCGTTTCGGATTTAAAGGTTATATCTACCAGTAATGGATTGAACCTTACCAGTTTAATTATTTAAGATGTGTCACTATCAAGAACAGTCCACCATATAACTTAGAGTAAAAGCAAAATGCAAGAAGATCTGGATATCTCAAGACACTGTAAGAATTCAAACAGGTATACACCACATTCTGAGAGTAATCTTCTTAACAAAAACCCTTAAGAAAATAATAATTACTGGTTACAGACTAAAAATGAAAAGTCACTCTTATTGGAGATAATTTTTGTACATGAGTAATAGTTATTCCACCTTACATTTTTCAGTCAATACTTTCCTACTACACACTGTAATGACGAACTACATGGGATGTTAAGAACTTTGTTGGGGAAAGAATAATTCTGAAGTTTAGTGTAAATAATCTTGTTCTTTGAATATTGAAATTCTTATATAATATGTATATCCTGACAGTCTTAAAGTCCGATAGGCTATAGTAATGAACCATTTTTGAAGGTTCAGTACTGTTTAACCACAATGACAGCCAAAATTAGTCGCTGATTGAATATAATTCAGTAGGAAAGTAAACTCAATTAATATTTAGCTACTTCATGTTTTGAAGACCAAAGTTATCAGTCGCTTCCTTGAATTGAATAAAGACAGAATTTACTCTCGTAAGACAAATAAACGGATTTAAAGTGTTCAACAGTGGAGCAAACATTTGTGTTGGAGAACGTTAAATTACACCATAATGATTACTGTAGGTTTACTGTGTAGCTGCCAAACTTAACATCACCCATGATTGACTATTTGTTTTTTGAAAGTCAGATGATAACTACTTTGTCTTTTTTAAACATTTGTTTATTAATTGCTGTCTTAACTCACTACTATTCTTGTCCTTGTTCTTATCTGGCTGTTGAGTTGGTTAATGTTGAAAGTCATTACAGTCAGTGGGCTTTTAGTTCAGTCTTTTGGTTTACCATTGTCTAACGTGTGAACAGCCATTGATCTAAATTCGTGAATCAATTGAATTAACTTCATGAACTACAGGAGTTATTGTTAGACAGACAGATAGACAAACAAAATCGACGTAAAACCACCCATACAAGTCGATTCATTCAAGTTGCTACACTTCACACTAGTATGCAAAGAAAAACTGCATAGGAAAAACTAAAATCAAAATATACAGAGATGTATGGGAGGAGTGGGAATTTAAAATGAAGGTGAGTCAAAACATGCAAGCTTTAGAAGACATCAAAAGGTGAATATATCTGTGTAGTTGGTGAAGCTTTGGGGACAATAAAAATACTCCCATACACCTTCAAGGAAATATTAAACCAGTTTACAAGATTAACATATTAAACTCTGAAGTTTTTCATAATAATATTTGACTGTCAGAAATCCTTGTAATTTTAATATCAAATACTTGCCATTGCCTAAATGAATTTCTATAATTAAAATATAAAACAAATACATAAAAGGGAAGACATTGTCGAAACATTCAAAACATATGGCTCTTGTAAATGAACAAAAAAATTACAGGTCTTTCTTCGTATGTTGATGTGACTCGATGAAGTAAATCGCAATACACCATATTATGCAAATTTACGTTAATGAAAATGAGTAAACCGTCAGCTTAACTGTTTTTCATTTGGTCTTCAAAATAAGCAAGAGTTTTCATTGTTGCTGATTCAAAATAGGATGGAACTAGTATTTAGTTTCCTTGTAGATACTTTAGGATTTGTCCTGGTGCGAACTTGACAGACGCAAAGACCAATCACTAATTATTCGAACTTGTTATATACCCACGAATACGAGACCAAGGAAGAACACGATAGCGTAGTCGGATGGAACAGTATATTTAGGTGGTTGTGCTAAGATACCAGTGCGTTCCAACTAAATGGCTACAGAGTCGAGTACGAGCAGTACAACGTAACACGACAGCGTGCCAAATATCGAGGATGCTTGACCGGGTGCCTTCAGCTTAGCGAGTCCAGTTAAACTATCAAGGTCAGCATCAATGATGAATCTCGTCGAAACCTAGGCTATTGATTTTAGGGAAGTGTGTGACGCTACAATACCATTCGCTTTTATCCGATACTTACGTTTAACTGATATAATCTTCCAAACCTTTAACGCTTTAAAAACCTCTGATACTGCGAATGTCTTTTATGCAATATGACGACTGAGTTTAACTAGTGATAATTTCTTAACCAGACACAAAAATTATTTACGGAGCTATTTTTTAATTCATAAGCTGACTGTAGGCTAAAAGTCTGCTGCTTAGCTTAATAAGCTACGACGTTCAACTTCAATTGTAGTACTTATTTCACCTAAGTCAACGACAATTCTGTGTACGTTTAATATAAGTGGAAGAAGTGCAACTGTTTGCTGTTCTTTTTTAAACTCCAAACATTCTTCCCTAATAAAAAATATGATTTGCTATCTTTTGATGAGATACTCTAACTGATAATTTGTTTGATCCCGTTTTTTGATTAACAAATTACTTCAATTCAGTTTATCGTTCCTGAATACTCAAATTAAAATGCCACATTTCTGATCTTTATATTATTATTTTATATTAAGTGAATGGAATCAATACCTCATCATCTCTATTAACTAGTTCAAATTGTGACAAACTTTTGACGCTGAAAATCAAAAGTCTGGAAATTATTGAAGTAAGCACATTAAAGTATTAATTTATGACAGAAACCATCGTTATTATTCTTAGTTGTCTTCAGGTTTCCATTATTGTAGTAGGACATATTTTATCCTTTTGTCAAATAAACATTTTTGCTTAATACATTAAATATTCACGCTTAGACATTTAGAAAAAGACTGATTGAGCGAAGAAATATATTTCTTTTCAATTAGGTCTTCATTTTGGGTTCTACACTAATATATAGGTTTACAATTTAATCAAATTACCAATCACGTGATGGTGTTTCGGAAATAATGATGTAAATAATCAATAGAGTTACCAAAATAGGAAATATGAGTATTGATAGAAACAAGAAGGGGAAGAGATACACAAAGTAAACCTAGAAGTTATATCATGTTGACGGCCACGGTAATGAAAGTGGTCAAACAAACTTCTTTTGGATACAAAGGCTAGGTCTGTATAGGTGGATTGCAATCGCCTCTGTTATGTGAAGTAACCAAGTGCCTAATCCATGAGGTAAATTGATTGAAATCTGGTGGATAATTTTGACGGCTTTTCCAGTAACCACTTGATCTCCTGTGTCAACTAAGTGTGCAAGTATGGAGCTCTCTATAGTTCTAATTTGTCCCTTGTCCAACCATGATGGGTGGTGCTCAGAAAGTCGACGATAGAGTATCGTTTTTTAGTGCATGTAATCACTCCGGTTTTTTCTGTTCCTCTTAAATTTTGATTTCTCTTCATGTGCTCCCACACTTTAAAAAAGATCTCTGTCTGTTGAATTGAAACAATGAATTATAATTAAACGTTTCACTCTGATCAACTGATAATAGATAAAATAGACTTCCGTTTGAATATGCCTTTTGGTGTTAATAGTATTGTTAATTTTTTTTCTCTTGAAAATCTTATGGACTAATTTGTCATTAGTTTCAGAATTTAGAAGTGGCTTGGTATGTACCAGAAAACTGTTGGATAAAAGAAGAGTTCATTAACCAATGATTTCCACTAGGTCTTTAGTTAGTATCAACTAATAATGAAAGATATCTTGAAAAAAGTTAGTTTAATGCACGACATAAGTGAATGATAAGAAATTTTCCGTGTAGTCTAGGTTGAGCAGTATATGTATTTCCTATTAATAGTAATTGTCATAATGTAATGAGTTAGTGAGCAACTTGTATCATAACCGCGTTGAATAGTATAATGAGCCTAAGTTAAAGAAGTGTATAACAGGAACAGATGAACAGCTTCAACTAGTATCATGTACACTATGCAATTAATGAGTTGGTTTGACCAACCAGTTTATATAAGTCTGAAGGCAAAATAAGTTCTCCAAATATATCTGAATCCATATTAAAAAATTTTGAAAGAAAAAAAGTGTGTATATTATAGTTACAGAGCTAGCTGCCTAAATATGAGCGACTATTTCATCTCCAAAATGTCTTTAATACTGTGGAGAGTCTGTTAAAAACATCTAACTACATATTATTGTTATTATTATTGTTTTTGGAGTTGGACAGTATTTCCAAAAACAACACATCTCACACAATGATCTGATCAGAAGTACATAAACACAAGCCAACCGAAGTTGTCATCAATATTATTTATTTTTTCTTACACTTTCACACCCGGTTACATGTACACATATTCATATAGCCTTGAACTCCAAACTAATTAACTGATAAACAAAGACAAATTGTGAACGCTTCCTAACCAGCATAACGATGATATTCACGTTCATATTATCATCATGTATAGACAATGTGATCTGATTCGTCACCTTTTACTATTTAAACTATTGATAACTTGTACAGATTTTATTCTCTGGAGAAGCGGTTTCCACGAAGTCGCGAAACGTCAGAAATTTATTTTTCTACTTCATTGGGATTTTACAAAATATATTTCATTTGTTTTGGTTATTGTTTGAAGGGATGCGATCTACTGAGTAGTCGTTGTTACCCTCTAATCTCACAGATAATTCTAGTTGAAATTCGCATTCACTGATCATCCAGAGAATTTTCGATAATTAATAAGTGAATTTCTTTTTTCTTATTTCTTTCGAAGATACTTTTTATTGAGTCAAAGATATGCTTCTACACTTGATGAGCACAGGTCATATGGTTAAAGATAATCCTTAAGAATTTTAACCACTCATTTTGTGAACTTCCTAGCTTCTATGAATGTATTTACGTAACTGCCTCAACAACAATCAAGCCATTTCTTGTAATTTTATTTGATGTGAATTACCATAATAAAGAACACGTCACTCCTATTTGTGCATTTAATTAATCTTTAAGTCTTGTGGAAAAATGTAAGCTTTCTTTCTGTTGGATAAAGCAGCAGATCAATGTTGCCTGTTAAATGTATTAGATTATGACACAAATCTAGATGGGTTTCAGTGAAACATACACATCAATGCTTTATAGTCATCTGAACTAGAAAGTAATACATATTTATTGCGTTTATCATTCATTCTTTCACGGGATTTCGATTTCCATTTATTTCATACAGTCAACTATAAGAGAAATGTTACAACTAGATTGTTATGCAGCTGTTCTAAGCGTTATAATCCTTCATCCTAAGAAACGAACCACCTCATAAGATCTTTTACGCCTAATGTATGCTGGCTTCTCAACACAATTCAGTTTGCCTTATGTAACAATAATAAGTAAAGTTTGAATGAAATGGGTTATGGTTAGTCATCCACTAACAATCTCTAGATTTTGTGATCTGGTATTCTTGCAGATGAGCTAACTAATTGGATATTCTTCCTTGTGATAAAAACGTTTTTGTCTGCATTTTCCATTAACTTTTAAGAATGTTTCTCATCTTAAATTATATCATGAATGAACCATGGATGGCCATTAAAGCGGATTAATATGAACTCATTTTTATTTTGTGGATTCTTCTCGGATGGCTACAATGGAATATATATATATATATATATATATATATATATATATATATACATGACATGGAATAAAAATTTGCCTAGTTTTATCAAGTTAATAAAAAGTTATACATGGAATCAAGAGGCAACACAGATTCAGAATGATAGATATTAGTTACGGAGAAGTACACTATAAGGACTGTGACGAGAATGACTATTTATTCCTTGGTCAGGTGGATATTTTTTAAATGTGAGTAATATGTGGATGGAAACAATAGATCAATAGACAGACATAGAAAATTCTTCTAAGCTGTGTAATTGTAAGAGACTGACAAATTTACAGTAGCTGAAAGAGTAAGGTGAACAATGTTCAGATAGTTAGAGTATGATTTGAAATGGGACAGAAAATAATAAATATAAAAGTTGCGCAATGAAAATTTTGAAAGTATTTTTAGCATACTTTACTCTCCAGAGCAATGCTAGGTTGCCAATCCTCCATCTATTGTTCTTGCTCTATTCATGTTCATCACTGGAAGTGCACGCAATGCTTAAATTACATAAACAACAAAAAGGGTTGTGAAATTATTCTTGACCTTTTAGTTCTTTAATGTTCTGTATCAAAATATTTTATAGATCAGAAGTAACTGAAATAAAACGTCGACACTGCAAGGCTAACTGCAGAAAAATGTTTTACTTTAAGTTACATATTTTGATGATTTGAATAAATATATATTTCACTTTTTAGGTACTCTTTTTAGCCTATTACAGTTAAATAGTTTTAAACCGTTTTTTAGATGGGCAAACAGCAGTGGTGTTATTTCATCAGATTTATATGTGGATTTTTAAAATTTACTCTCAGCCTCTGTGCTCATATTTTCTCTTTTTATTTTCAGTATATTCTAGATGTTCGTGTAGATTACCAGATTTTTAGTCTGCTAACTACACTTCGATGTGTTGAAAAACCTGAAGTTGATTTAAATGACCAGGAAATAGAAAACGTAGTAAAACATCAAATGTCAGGTAAGATTTTTTTTGAAATGGTGAGGAATATTTGTAGCCCAGGTGGATGATCTTGGTTGTATTGTGTTATCTCAGCTGGACTGTTTAATCAGGTGTCATCTTACTCGAAATGATAAATAACATTTATGATGTTACCTAAACCTTCTTCAGTTAGTGAATGTAAAATGAGCTTATTTCGAAGTAATAAACAATAATTCATGGATCTGGTTTACTCAAATCCTTTCAGAAATCCAAAATAAACTGTACTAGCAGTTAAAGCAAACGCGTCTCTGAGAAAGCAAAGTGACCAACTGTCTTATATGGATGAAGATACACTTATGAAATTAAAAATGAGCTGATGTAGGGGCTTTTAAGTTCTCTCACTATTGTACACAGTGTATTATTGATGAGGGTTAACAAGAAAGATTTTAATCCATGGTACTTCCTGAACATTGCTGAAAAGCGTGACATGATGAGATCATTCATATCGTGTCTGTAAGTGTATGTTATTATATAGAATTTTGCTTTGAAAAAAACAATAGCATCTTTGTGACCATCTGGAAGCCGAATACCTGCAATAAAATAGATTTTCTAAAGAGAAAGCATGTTTGAATTCATAAAACCATCAATCTGTATTCCCTAATCATTGAGTAACCTGGAATTCGACTTTTTCAACAATAGGTAAGCGGTTGGTTATGAGGCAATGTATTATCTAATAAATGGAACAGGTACCACAGCTTATGAAGAATCGTTTATTAAATACGATAGTCATGACCTTTTAATAGGTGTATATAAATAGAGTTTATACTTAGGTTTGCCGTGACTAATGTAAGAGCAGAATTTGAGCGCTTAGGTAGGGTATAACTAGGTCACAGTAATGTTTGATGACACTTTCAATATTATCGTCTTTCCATGCCATTTCTGAATCTTTTGAAGAAAATAGAATTTAAGAAAGCAGCATTTCTTAATGGTTTACCTCATTATTCAGCCTCGCCTGGTTACCTAGTTCACTAGTTACTAGTCGGTCCTAAGCCTGGGTAAAGAGGGAAGGTTGGGCTTAAGGCTAGAAACCCTACCCCGTAAAACAAATGTAACCGCTGAAGAAACTTCAAAGCACAAACAAAATATAAAAAATAAAAACAAAATTATTCCTCGCTGGAATCAGAGAGGCGAAATGACGCCAAATGGTGAAAGCCTTCGGAAAGTCAATTGGCCGATGTCTCTTCTCTCGATGGAAGCGAAAGTAAACGTGGGGACATGGAATGTCCACACCATGTTTGAACCTAGCACGGCTGCCCAGATTGCAAACGAGATGAGAAGGTATTGCATTGAAGTGCTAGGAATCTGTGAAAACAGGTGGAATGGAAGTGGACTCTACAAACTGTTAACTGGAGAGTCAATGATCTACTCCAATATTATCACCTGCATGACAACCATGACCACACGGAGTTTTGGAGTGGCTATCATGATGTCCCCAACAGCATCGAAGTCATTCTCTCATACAGTGGGAACCAATCTCCACCAGGATCATAACAGCAAGATGGATTCAACTCAAAAGGAAGGAAGGTCACAATCATACAATACTACCCTACGCACCTACAAATAATGCAGATGAAGAGAAGAAGGAGGAATTCTACAGACAACTGCAATCAACACTGGACAAGACCTCACTCTAGATGGCGATATCAAAATTCTAATGGGTGTGGTGACATGAATGCCAAACTGTGAGGGGACAACACAGGAAGAGAACTAACCATGGGTCGGAAGTGCTCGGTGAGGTGATGAACAAGAATGTAGAATTGTTTGCAGAATTCTGTGCATTCAACGACTTGGTGATTGGAGGTGAGGCAGTGTGTTCAAGCACAAGGATATCCACAAAGCGACATGGATTCCGGTTCACCAGATGGACACACTAAAAATCAGATCGACTTTATCTCAATGTGAAGAAAGTGGAGACGTAGCCTACTTGACCGTGGGTCAAGAAGAGGAGCAGATATAAACTCAGACCACTACCCAGTGCAAGGAACCAAACTCCAAAATCAAGTTGAAAGCCTTCAGGGAAGTTGGTGATAGACCACAGTTCAAGTTCAACAGTTGGAAACTGAAGGGTGAAACTACAGAGGATATCTTGACATCAGTCAGCCAGTCAGTCAGACAAAATGGGAGATATCGAGCAGCATCCCTGAAGGAACCTGTATGGATGAGCACTGCAACTGTTTGAAAGTTATGTGGAAAGGAACCTGCATAACCGAATTAGGAAGGAAGAAGAAAGAAGACAAGGAAGGAATGGATCTCGATGGACACATGGAGGCTGATAGAGCGGGGAGAGGAGGATGGTGAAGCAGAAGACAAGCCAGTGGAATGATGCTCAAAGAGAAGAGGAACTGAGTACAATGTATAAAACACTACACTGGACAAAGAAGTGAAGAAGAGTGGGTGGAAAGACAAAAGACACTTCTACGAAACACTGGCAAGTGAAGCAGAACAATCTGCCGGCTGGTAGGAGAGACCTGACAACATTGTATCAAATAAGCAGGTTGCTATCTGGAAGAGAAGAGATCAACACACATGAAAAAGATGGAGAAGAAAATTTAATACGAGTGAAGAGAAACAAAGGAAATGATGGGCTGACCACTTCAAAAAGCTCTTGAATCGACCACCACCACCACCACCACCACCACCACCAACTACACTTCGTCCAGAAATACCGCATGCAGCCCAGCCACAGAACTACAAGTGAACATAACGAAAGTTGAAGTCCTGAGCGCCATAAAGCTACTGAAATGCGTGAAATCAGTAGGACCAGATGGAATCCCACCAGAAGCTTTGAGAGCAGACGGATAGACAACAGCAGACATGCTCACACCACACCACTATTGTAGAAGGTGTGAAAGGAAGTGAAGGCACCTTTGATTGGAAGAAGGGCTACCTTGTCAAACTGCCAAAGAAGGGAAACCTGAGTGTTTGCAAGAACTGGTGAGGAATCATGCTGCTGCCCACCTCAAGAGAAATATTTTTCGGCATTTTGCTGGGGAGACTACAGGATGCACTGGATTCAAAACTACGACCGGAGCACGCTGGCTTGCTGGATTCAGGAAGTACAAATCATGTGCCGACCAAATTGCAATGCTTCGCATCATCATAGAACAGAATATAGAATGGCAATCAAGTCACTTCTGCCTCAACTTCACTGACTTTGGTAAGGCCTTTGACAAAGTCGACCGAGAGGTAATTTGGAAACTGCTTCAATACTACGGAATACCACAAACCGTTATCAGCCTCATTCAACAACTATATGAAGACACTACATGCCAAATAATTCACAATGGGAAGCTCAGTGACACCTTCGAAGTGTAGTGAAGACAATAGTGAAACAAGTCTGTCTACTATCCCCCATGATATTACTGATTGTGGTGGACTGGATCATGCAGCAAACAGTGTGGAGCGAGAAGAGGGGGATACACTGGCTGGATTGCGGAAAAGGACCTAGAAGATCTGGATTTCGCCAACGATGACTTGTGTCTGATGTCACACAAACTTGAAGATGTACAGGCGAAAACTAACAAGTTGACAGGAGAGGCAGGGCAGGGCAGCGAAGACGGGACACCATTCAAGTGAATGTAGAGAAGACAGAGGTGATGAAGATACCCAACCAACACCAACACCAACAACAACAAGCTCCAATCACCATCAACAGGAGAAACTTGGAGGAAGTAGTCTCTCATACATATCTAGGCAGCATCGTTTCAACTACAGGCGGCACAGACGAGAACATCAAAGCCAGAATCGGAAGAGCAAAACAGGCGTTCATTAGCCTGAAACCAGTGTGTGGATCTTCTGCACTCAGCATGTGGAAGAAGATGCGGATTTTCAACACCAACGTCAAGTCAGTGCTTCTGTGTAATGGTTGAGAGACTTGGTGCGTTACGAATGTGATTTCCAACAAACTACAGACATTCATCGGGAACTGCCTACGTTGGCTCGTTACTGAAGCTCAGATGGCCAGAAAGAATATGCAACAAGGAACTGTGTCTGGCTGGCAACGAACCAAACAAGAATCCATCACCCAACTAATATGCAGTTGAAGGAAGTGGAGATGGATTGGATTGGGCATAAACTGTGAAGGCCGACTGGGGACATCACGCGCCAGGCCAGGCTGTTGAGTGGAACCCAGATGGGAAGCGGCGAGTTGGGCGTCCGAGGTGAGGGTGACATGGAGGGGATCGTGTGAGGAAGAAATGAGAGCTTGTGGGCTGTCGTGGAGCCAGGTTCAAAAGATTGGAGAGAAGAGAGTGCACTGGAGACGTGCTACTGAAGCCGTATGTTCCATTAGGAACCCAAGGGACAAATAATAATATAATAATATTATTACTTAGGACCTAGTGGGTTTCGTGAAATTTGGAAAACCACCTTAACTTACTCCACTACTGCTTTGAAAATTCATAGTGTTTAAATGACATAACATGAATTAGTAGTTTGAATGCTCTTGAAAGAAAAGCAGCTCAGAGGTAACTGTGTCATCACTGTGAGTTGATCATATATTAGATCAAAAGCTACTAAGAAGTTTAAATAACTGAACTCATTTAAATTGATCATCTGATTTTTTTCGGTTTTCGAAGAAGGCCAAACTCAGCATCTGAAGCGAACAAACGCTTATTTAGAGAATGATGAGATTCATTTATTCCTAAACACAGTAAATCAACCATGTTTAGACAAATTAGAGGATTTCGGTTATTGGTGTTTCTGCAATTTGTTTAAAGGAGAAAGTAAACATTAAGTCTTTGCTGCAGCTTTTTGTGGTTAAATGTATTTACTGCTGAAATACAGCTTGAAAGTACTATAAAAATGCTGACATATCTTTACAGCTAGTTTTAAAATTTTTCTCCAGTAAAAGAAATTTTTAAAAAGCAAGATGCAGAGTAGGCAATCGTTGCAGAAAGAAAATATTTACCATGTATCATACAAAAAAGGTGACTGATTAATATATGGAGGTGTTCCCTTTTTTGAACCAGCAGAAAAAGCATTTTTAAAAACGTGTTTAAGAATCTTGTTATTTTTGATTAACATAATAATGTATGTTATGTTCTATTGTGTTTAATGCGTGGGTTAGCATCCAGAATCGATGGATATCTCTTCTGCTTATTGTTATTATTTTTTCCTTTTTCTTCATCATATGAATCAGGATTTAGTTCAAGCGTGTAAAAATGAATGCAAATATTTGAATAAAACGTGCCGTTTAGGCAACTGTGATGTCGTCTAATATTTTTAAAAAAATATTTATCGGATAGATGTCTCATATTAAAAATGTAAAGTAATTAAAATAAGCGAATCTTTGAAACTTCAGTCGCTTATGGTTGGTTCATAACTAGTCATAGAATGTGGGAAGCGATATCAACAGAAGCATTTGAAGATATTTGGATCCTGGTCAAATTGATAAGACAGTTAAAGTAAAGAACTCAACAGATATAAGAGTGCAGTTTTGGCTTTATGAAAAGGAATGAATTTCAATCTGTTTATTAGACGAATCAAAAAGTGTACGAAAGTAAAGCACACTTAGCAACCTTGTGCTCATTCGTGTACCTGCCAGTGAGCCACACCTGTTGCATGAGAGCTAGTGATGTTGTAGTGGGTGCTGGTGATATAAGCAGTATATGTTGAGTGGGCGACAGAAATCATAGAGAATCACCAGCAATGGGTAAATATCCTACCCAGAGAAACGCAAGAAACAATGTAGGCGTATTAAGAGCAAATCAGGATAGAAGCACCAAAGGATATGAAACACATTGTGCAAATGAATGTCTTAGTGGAAAGTGTACAATATTTAATGACAGCTGTACAAAGTGCTAACAATAAAAATTCTTTTCATTGTCTTCATCTTGTAGTTTCCTACAATACAACTTGGGTGCCTAAATCTCTGTAGGTGAAGCTGGGTTCGAACCCGTGACCTAGTGCTTGGTAGTCGTTTCCCTAAACTACTGAGCCACAGACCTGGATGGAAATTATTTGCTGCTGCAAAAAGGATGATGTTTATTTATTTAAAAGTTTTCTGTAAAAACTGAGGGTGGTTTAGGATTTTATTTTAAACTGTGAGTCCAAGATTCATTGTGTTAACCTCGCGTACTAGATATTGTAAATTTCAGAGTGAACGCTAGTGTATTTTTTAACATTCAGTCAGCAAGTGAAAATGTTTACTGCCCGACAAATAAGAACTACCGGCAGAATGGATATACAGAGGACTCTGCACAAACCGAAGCCTAGGAAGTATATCGAAATACACTGATATCGTCACTGCCTTGAAAGTTTGCTGCAACACTGAGGCAAAACAAGCAAAAGCTGTGCGATGTACATTTTGTTTTTTCAGTTTGTCATCAGTTTACTGACGGTATAATAGATACTTTCAGCCGCCCTTCACTTTACTAAACACAGATGATGTAACGACTTCTAGTGAACAGAATGAGTCTGACAATGATCGGACATTAACCTGATATTAACAGAGACCTTAATCGTTTTAGTTGTAACAAACAAGTATATTCAAACTCTGTATGTTTCTACTAACACTGACCGATTAAAGTTTGTTAAATGCTTATTTCAATTGGGCAACTAAATTTTCTATCCATCGTACAACCTCTAACATATCACGTAATTAAATGCTAGGAATAGCAATTTAAGCAAATTAAGATAAAATTTCTAAAATGTGCACTATGACAAACAGCTGAAACAGTTAAACATATACACTAAGATTAATCATACTATTCTTTCCTTATTGTAGAATTGTCGAACCTGGTAAAAAGCAAACTTACGTCTCTGTTCACTTTACGGTGAGTGGTGTGAATAATATCCAAACAATGTATGTAAAAGCATTTTGTTTGAAAACTGTTGTAGGTTGTATAAAAGTAAACTGAACATTAAGTTTTTTCGACTAAATGGTAGAATCCAAACTTCTATCTTCTGTTTTATACTACACAGTCTATGTAATAATCTCCGAATAATGTAGTAAAAACAGACTGGATTTTCAATCAGATGTTGTTGAACAGTTCACGTATCAGGTTTTACAACAACACTTGTGTTACAACCTCTGTCGAATTTATTAATTGTTTTAAGGATAAGAAAATTTCATGAGTAGTTAAATGGTCAATAAACTAAAACTAATTTTCATATAATTTTACTTTTCATGTCAATCAACCGGAATCTCGACTAAGAAACAATAAGTATCCTACCCAACAATGATTAGAATCGTATCCGAAAACACTCCGAAAAATTTAGTGCAAAATAATCAACAATGTACTTACAATTTGACAGGAGGATCTACAAATCAACCAAAAGAACTGTTGTAGACTCACCGATACTTGGATTGACTGCTCAGCCAGCAAGTGATCCAAAGATAAGAATCAGTACTTACTCTAATAATTAAACCGAAAGTTTGGATTACTTACATTGATGACACTAGTAATTCTCAAAACATATGGATTGAAATACACGTTGAGCCTCATCAAACAAATCTGTGTAAATATGCAGTTCCCAAAAGAAAATAACGAAACTGCCTTCATGGATGTTCTCGTTCGGAGAACGCACAGTAGGACCTTAAAACTCAAATATATCTAGAGATGACCTACACAGATAACACTGGAAATACAACACTACCGAATCAGCATCTTGTAGCAACAGTTGTGTATGAGTGCTATTCGTGAGTGATAACATTCATTGTGACACTCAACAACCTTAGTAGTCCGGAAAAAATCACTTACGTATTGTGTTCTCAGCTAATGACTATCAAACCAGCATCATCAAGAAATGCATGTCAACAAAATACACATTAGGACAATCACATCAGCATACAAAACGAATCACTTTACCACATATCAAAGGTGTCTCCGTAAACGTCAACCGACTACTTCATCCATTCGGAATCAGCTTGGTAAGTAAGCATGCCAAAACCCTGCTTAACATACACAAGTGATCCATTATCCAGAGAAGAAAGGAGGAGTAAAATCTAAAAAGGCAGAGTCTGCAACTATCACCATTTTGGCCAGTCTTATGGTCAGACACCACAGGAGCTTATGAACATCAACTAGCAGTCAAACAACGTGATATACCATTACTAGTGTCGATAAATGTAGACAATCACTTGTCACAACTTTGAGTGGAGCGAAGCTGGCACACAATAACAAACGAGCTGAGAAATTGTAAGAGAATTTCTTTGGGCAGGTACGCCAATCAAATGACACTAAACTGACATATAGATCTTAACCTGATATAAGGAATCGGATAACTAGAAATCAGTTAAATCAAAAATCAGATATTAGATCAAAAGCAGTGACTAGATGATAACAACAGTTCTAAAGGCCAAAGTCCCATGAAAAAGAAGGGAAGGTCACCCTAACCAGTAACACTGAAGATTGACAAATATCCTTCACACATATATTTATGCACTTTGAAAACGCTTCACTTCTTTCTGAAGTAAACACTGGTTGAAGTCACCTGGGCTTGTGATAAAACGTCCAAGAATAAAACTCAAAAATTAGGGGACACTGAGAGGTTAATAACCCTATCGTGAGCTACAAATTTTCTACATTTCCGAGCGTTATGTATGTTGATTGTGTTTTTTATACTATTATAGTCCTTACAGCACGATATACTCTGTCGCAAATAGTTTGCTTCCAGACATATTTCTGAAATTTAGTCAAGAAAACGTAGCAAAACGATATTACAGAGAAGATAAAGACTCAGGGTGTAGATACTTATTTAGCTGATTAATCTCGTGTTTCCTAACATGAATAGTGAAGGTTACTGTTGTTCTTGAATGTCGAAAAAGAAGGACTTGACCATTTAGTCTATTTAAATAAAAAAGTCTAGAACCATTGCTTGAGTTAGTTGTGCGATCGGAATTAAACAAGCTTTTAAATACGGAAGTTTTAATGTATTTGCTTTTCTTATTATAAAACCAGGCGGGCGAATGAGCTCGTGCAAATGTTTACGGCAGTCTCAGGCTATAAGAATGGGTAAACTGATTGGTTCACATTCAGACAAACAGGCAAGAGCGCTTGTTTTTGATAAATACAAACAGTAATATATAGGTAGTGAAGGTTGAATGAAGCTTGGCTGTGAAAAAAGTATTCCTGTTTGATGTAGAAAGACGATTTTTAAGAAAGTCAGTCTAAGCTTGTGAACTTAGTCTATTTTTAAAACTAAGTTGATAACTAATTTCGCATATCCTACTGGCAAACTGACACCGACAAAACCCCTGTGGCAACCATTCTTAGCATGCATACTTAAGAAAACTAATTCATTCTCAATACAATCTGTGCTACAAATATTCCGTATACGTTATTAAAAGGAGCGAATGAGATTGCTTTTCTTCGCGGTCAATATCCAGCAACTAGTAAGCTATACATTTCATGTGGGTTTTTTTGTTGGATTCCCTTAGTGGTTCACCAGTGTTTCATTAAAAAACATGTTGAGCAGAGGAATCATCGATTTTAGTTCTTTCTATCTGGTGGACAACGAAGCTGAATGATAATTTTTGTAAGCCATCTAGGTCGATATATTTGTAACAAGCAGGATAAGCGTTATTCGTGTTACATTTTTTATGTTTTTAAGCACAGCACAATTTGGCTAAGCTCATAGTTTTCAAGCCTCGATAAAAAATAGTGCGCCATCAGTCCTCCTGAGGAAGATCTTTTTACGATTTCACATTTTGTTTGAGTAACTTACCGATAATATGAATATGGATAACAGGTTATATCCAAAACGTTATCCAGCAAATGATATTGTTTCACTGGGTGGCATTTTTAACAAACAAAAATAGAATTACAATCTACTATAGTGCTAAAGTTTTACTTCTATTTTGATCAATAACTTATTACCGTAACTAAAGTTAACATTAAGTGTATGCCTCATTAGGAGCTCTTGAGGCAGACAAGTATCTTGAATCCTTATGCCTCCATGTTTTGAAACGATATAGTCGCATATATGACAGATAGCACTTGAATTGGTCACCAGTGCAGCTGTCTAACGATCGGTACACAGACCTAATCAAAGTTTTTCCACGACATTTTGTAATGTGACCACCAGGCCGACTGGTATGATAATTAAAAGAAATGTTTAAAGTACTTGTACTTTTTGTTCTCAAAACCCAGACCTCTAAAAATCGAGTCTGAAATTGGATATTTATACAGTTATTACAATAACGTTTACGTAACCAGATGCACTTTTGAATCATATCAGGCAGATATATCGGTAAATTGACACTGACGACAGTATCAAAAAGAAGTCAGCATCCAAATCCACCTACAACATGGAAGGAAATTCGTCTAACTGGGACCTTTTTCCCCTTCTCCATTCTAGAGAAGCTCTTATCATATGTTTGGCGATGTCGGAATTACAAAGGAAACTCTCTCAGCGTTTAAAAGATATCTGAACTAAGTTTGGATTTTATGGTTTTAGGAAAATTACTCAATGGGTAAATGATAGACATTATTCTAGTATTTTTATCCTCCAATCAATTTCATCAATCATCAAAAAAAGTAAAGAAACTGCAGTCTGTGGTTACGCGTTTTGTGTATTCACTTGTTACCAGTTTTATATATATGGAATATAGTGTTCTGCTCAAACCTTGGGTTTCTAAACATTTTCCACAGAATGTATTTCTTAAGATTCTTCTCTTTCAATTTGTTTGAATCTTTTAACTGTCTTTTAACGCATCATGCACTTTTTCACATTTTGAAATGGTTTCAAACTGAAAATTTTCAAGCTGACAACAAAATAAAAACGTTCTGCCGGTAAGAAGTGGGTTTATAAATGTACGGGAATGCAGTAAGCACATTAATATTTCTGAGATACCCATGTCAAATTGTAGAGTTTTGTACTTATTGAATAAACTACCACCACAAAAATTACGCTCAATTTTCTATTCATTCACCAGTCCACACCAAATAATACTGTAACATCAGCTGCCCGTTTCGAATTATTGCCTTCAATATTATTATGATTAATATTATTCAAATGCAATGATTATTTATATAAACTATGATCAAGATTTGGTCGTATAGTGTGGCAAATATTGGGTTGCTGAGTAAAAAGGTTGACGTTGGAATTGTTTAATTTCAAACCCATTGTGACTTACACAAATACAATTTATGTCCAATGATTTTTTAGCTTAAAAATATTGTACAAGGGATAAATTTATTGAAATATTACATACCAAAAATTCGATACTGTAACACACGTGTTGTTTAGAATAAGGAAATTATTAGTACCATCACTGTTATTGTTATTAAAGTTTAATAGGCAGATCCATTTAAACTTTTAGTTAGAAACATAATGCCTTTCTGAATAATAAGACAGTTCGATCTTCTATATGATGTAAAAAATAAAAGTAAACAAGATTTGAATGACTATATGCATTCCAATCATATTTAATATGCATTTTATCATACTGAACAGAGTTTCAAAGCAAAAGAATGAAACAAGTGATTCTCTACAGATGGAAGAAACAATACAAAAAAAATTAAGCATTTTGAATATTGATGGTTTAAATGGACAGTTGTTGGTGAATGTTTCAGCTCGCTTGTGTATATCTGCTGGTGTTCAGCTAAAGTCGAAATCACTTCAGTTACTCTTTCGACAATTTGGTCAACAAGAAGAACTCATTCTTAAACTTAAACAGGTTAGTTAAATCAATATTATAATATTGATTTGCATTTCTATGATATTTACCTGATGAAGAAGAACACCATATAACACAATCAACATCTTTATCAGAACAGTAGTTTTTGCTTCAGCCTAGGCTTTTCATTTACTAAGCTAGGGCATGCAAGGATTGACTGACTTAGAAGCAGATTTCACCAGCTGAGCAGTTTTATAACTTCCGGACAGACATATCAACAGGGTTTCCATCGGAAATAATCCAACTAAGATAACAAAAGTGTAACTCCTGACTTAAAAGTGCCAAGGGCTGAAAAAGTAAGTTACTAAACAACATAAATAGTTGGAAATTAGGGACACAGATCTGTAAATTTTACTGGCCGGATTACAGTAGAATGTGAGCATGGACCTTACAATTTGTAAACAATCCGGAAGTCGATCAGCTATTTTATAGTAAACCGATCTATCCTAGTTAGTTTCATTTGATACATATACTCTATCTTTGTGACCTGAAATACTTGAGTACACTGCTGATGAGTTCGACGCCAAATGCGAAAAATGATGTGCATAGTAAAGTTAACGGATCAGCGACAGTAATTTACAACTACTAATGTCAGTCACTATTATATTTTTTTTAATTCGTGACAATTTTCCGTCAGAAATCATACTGTATTATCTTGGTTTAATGGTTTTCAGCTGAATTGCTGTTGTCGTCACATTCAAGCAGCCAAGAAAATGCTCATCTATGCTAAATGTCAACGTGGACAGTGCAGTTTGTAGATAATACATAAATTTGCCTGTAATAATTTTTAGTCTTGCATATATAGAATCATAAAGACAACAAAGGATAATTTTAGGTTATCTGTAAATTTCTTGGTTGTTAGATTGTTTTAAGTGTAACTAAACACAAACTGCTTGTAAGGTCCGGAAAAGGTAGTCAGGTTCACGGTTAGAGTTCTGTTGACATCTAACTTGAATTTGTTATTGCCTTTAAACAATTTTGACTCGATGATGATCTTAACCTTAGTGTACTAACAGTCTAACTCTTGGAAATATAATACTTGGATTAGGAGGTTACCTTCAATCTCACACCAAGCAACCACTCGCGAATAAAGCTTAAAAGTCTCTAGTGGGGAAGACAAAAGCGGTAATTCAGGATCACACCAACATCCAACCTTTCTGTTACTACACCTCACTGAACACTTCTAGTTCAATAATTTTAACATGCTCTGCCTCGGAAGATTTACAAAATGCACGAGTAAGTGACCATTGATTTGAAGTCAGTAAGCGTAGTTGTGTAAGTGTAGATATAAGTAGATACTGTTAAGAGGTGCGGTTTGTCATAAACATTCTAAGCTTTTGATATGTGGCATGTGTAATGAAGTTTAACTTGTTAACCAAGTTGAGAGCTACGTATATTTCATCAGAATCAAAAATACTTATGGATGTTTGAACTAAGGTGTCTACGTAAATGTGTGCAGTGATACCGCAGACAAAATATTTCCTAGTTTTCTAACTCGGAGTATGTAGGAAATTCTGTGTGTATTTTTTATCAAATAACTCTGCCTAATCTTAAGGAACCCAGGATGCATAATTAACTAGAAGTTTTCTTACATAACTATCTATTTGTATATCATCCCTCAATGCATGATTGTGACTGTAACTCCTGATTGCCATGATTAATTCCTTTTATTAACTCCCTAGAATTATTCCTGCAGTCATGTAGGGATCATATAGCACTCACGAAATTTTGGTTTTTCAAATCTTGATCATACAGTTTTTTCTCACAATAATCAAGCGGTTTTGTACCTCCTAATGAAACACTGAAATTTTTTCAGCTGGTAAAGCCAACAAATTCAAAACACTCATTGTCTGCAAATCATTGCCAACCTTTTTTTTTAGATAATACAACTTACTGCACAAACAAAAAGCGCGTGCTATTTATGCCAACTGTATTCCATACAAGTATTTCTTTTCGTGCTAATAGACTCTCACCTATCGATTTTTGGCCAAACCATTCTTTATAGGTGTGTATTAACTAGTAAGGCTTTGAAGGCTTTTAAAGATGAGTTTAATAGTAACTCAGAAAGTGTTCATAGAATTGTAGCAGAGGTCAGGATGAATGTTAACTTGAATCCGACATCCCCTATTTTCAGAGCTCTGGATAATATGAGTTTGTATTTAGACAGCAAAATTAATTAAGACCACCAATATCCTTGACTGTAACAGGCATACACGAACATTAAATGTTGTTTGTCAAGAATGATGAAGAAATGTAGAGGATAAATTTACTGCATGGAAACCGCAAACCTCGCCTGGTTAACTAGTTTACTAGTTACTAGCCGGTCCTAAGCCCGGGTAAAGAGGGAAGGTTGGGCATAGGGCTAGCAACCCTACCCCGTAAAACAAATCTAACCGCTAAAGAAACTTCAAAGCACAAACAAAATATAAAAAATGAAAACAAACTTATTCCCCGCTGGAATCGGAGAGGCAAAATGACGCCAGTTGGTGAAAGCCTTCGGGAAGCCAATTGGCCGATGTGTCTTCTCTCCTCTCGATGAAAGCGAAAGTTAACGTGGGGACATGGAATGTCCGCACGATGTTTGAACCCAGTAAGGCAGCCCAGATTGCAAAGGAGATGAGAAGGTATAACATCGAAGTGCTTGGGATTTGCGAAAGCAGATGGAATGGGAGTGGACTCTCCAAACTGTCAACTGGAGAATCAATAATCTACTCCGGTCACCCAGACGCCAACCACGAGCACACTGAGGGGAGTGGCTATCATGATGTCCTCAAGAGCATCGAAGGCTCTCATGCAGTGGGAACCAATCTCCTCCAGGATCATGACAGCAAGATTCAACTCAAAAGGAAGAAAGGTCACAATCATACAATGTTATGCACCTACAAATAATGCAGAGCAAGAGAAAAAGGAGGAATTCTACAGACAACTTCAGTCAACACTGGACAAGACGTCAGTTGGCGATATCAAAATTCTAATGGGCGACATGAATGCCAAACTGGGAGGGGACAACACGGGAAGAGAACTAACCATGGGTCGAGAGGCGCTAGGTGAAATGAATGAGAATGGAGAATTGTTTGCAGAATTCTGTGCATTCAACGATTTGGTGATTGGAGGCAGTGTGTTCAGGCACAAGGATATCCACAAAGCGACATGGACTTCACCAGATGGACACACTAAAAATCAAATCGACTTTATCTCAATCTCAAGAAAATGGAGACGCAGTCTACTTAACACAAGGTCAAGAAGAGGAGCAGATGTAGGTTCAGACCACTATCTAGTGCAAGGAACCTTCGAAATCAAGTTAAAAGCCTTCAAGGAAGCTGGTGATAGACCTCAATTCAAGTACAACACTCGGAAACTGAAGGATGAAACTACAAAGGAGATCTTCAAGGCAGCCATCAAGACAAAATGGGAGACATCGAGCAACATCCCTGAAGAAACCTGTGTGGAAGAACACTGGAAGTCTTTGAAAGCTATGTGGAAAGAAACCTGCACAGCCGTATTAGGAAGGAAGAAGAAAGAAGACAAGGAATGGATCTCGACGGATACCTGGAAGCTGATAGAGGAGAGGAGGATGGTGAAGCAGAAGATAAACCAGTGCAAGGATGCTCAACGACAAGAGGAACTGAGCACAATGTATAAAACACTGGACAAAGAAGTGAAGAAGAGTGCACGCAAAGACAAAAGACACTTCTACGACACACTGGCAAGTGAAGCAGAACAGGCTGCAGGTAAGAGAGACCTGACGACATTGTATCAAATAACCAGGTTGCTATCAGGGAAGAGACCAACACAGATGAAACCAATAAAAGATGAAGAAGGAAATTTAATTACAAAAGAAGAGAAACAGAGGAAACGATGGGCCGACCACTTCAAGAAGCTCTTGAATCGACCACCACCTGCACTTCGTCCAGAAATACCACCTGCAGCCGCTGAATTACAAGTGAACATAAATCCCCCAACGAAAATGGAAGTCCTGAACGCCATAAAGCTACTGAAATGCGGGAAAGCAGCAGGACCAGATGGAATACCGCCAGAAGCACTGAGAACAGATGCAGAGACAACAGCGGACATGCTCACACCACTATTGCAGAAGGTGTGGAAGGAAGAGAAGGTACCTGACGATTGGAAGAAGGGTTACCTTGTCAAACTGCCGAAGAAGGGAGACCTCAGTGCTTGCAAGAACTGGCGCGGAATCACTCTCCTATCCACCCCAAGTAAAATATTAAGCCGCATCATCCTGGAGAGGCTTAAAGACGCACTGGATTCAAAACTACGACCGGAACAGGCAGGCTTCAGGAAGTACAAATCATGTGCAGACCAAATTGCAACGCTTCGTATCATCATAGAACAGAGCGTAGAATGGCAATCAGCTCTATACCTCAACTTCATCGACTTTGAGAAGGCCTTTGACAGCGTCGACCGAGAAGTAATTTGGAAACTGCTTCAATACTACGGAGTACCGCAAACCTTTATCCGCCTCATTCAACAACTATATGAAGATGCCACATGCCAAGTAATCCACAATGGGAAGCTCAGTGATGCCTTTGAAGTGAAGACAGGAGTGAAACAAGGTTGCCTACTATCCCCCATGATATTCCTTATTGTGGTGGACTGGATCATGCAGCAAACAGTAGGCAGCGAGAAGAAGGGGATACACTGGACGACGGAAAAGAACCTAGAAGACTTGGATTTCGCCGATGACTTATGCCTAATGTCACATAAACTTGAAGATCTGCAGGCAAAAACTAACAAGTTGATGGAAGAGGCAGCGAAGACGGGACTTCAGGTGAATATAGAGAAGACAGAAGTGATGAAGATACCGCACCACCACCATCAACAACAACAACAAACTCCAATCACCGTCAACGGGAGAAACTTGAAGGAAGTAACCTCCTTCACTTATCTAGGAAGCACTGTTTCAACTACAGGCGGGACGGACGAGGACGTCAAAGTCAGAATCGGAAAAGCAAGACAGGCGTTCATTAGCCTGAAACCAGTGTGGAGATCTTCTGCACTCAGCATGCGGAACAAGATACGGATTTTCAACACCAACGTCAAGTCAGTGCTCTTGTATGGCTCAGAGACTTGGCGCGTCACGAAAGGCATTTCCAATAAACTACAGACATTCATCAACAACTGCTTACGCTCGCTACTGAAGATCAGATGGCCAGAAAAAATAAGCAACAAGGAACTCTGGGAACGAACCAACCAAGAACCTATCACGCAGCAAATATGCAGGAAGAAGTGGAGATGGATTGGCCATGCACTGAGAAGGCCGACGGAGGACATCACGCGTCAGGCGCTCGAGTGGAATCCCCATGGGAAGCGACGAGTTGGACGTCCGAGGGTGACATGGAGGAGGTCGTGCGAGGAGGAAATGAGAGGTTCTGGGCTGTCGTGGGACCAAGTTCAAAAGATCTCAGAGAACAGAGGTCACTGGAGGCGTGCTACTGAAGCCCTATGTTCCACTAGGAACCCAAGGGACTAATAATATATAATATAATGGAAACCGCAGCATAACGCACCCTTTTTGTTTGCACAGGCTTAGTAGTAGATTGATTCCAGTTCACCTGTGTGACAAAAAAATGAACGAAGAAAGTTAGTTTTGATTTTGGACATATCTTGACCAACAGAGGACTCGACTGCTTAGAAGCGCTTGGGCACTGAGTTGTGATTCAAAATAATATTAATCTGTCAAGTTCATTCTCTTGAATACTGTTATCCTAGCAAGATAGAAACATTTAGAAATAATGCAAAGTATCTGCTGATTTTGTTGTCTGTTCTCATTTATTACGCTTTGTTCACTCAAGTAAAATGTACGTTGTACAATTAAAATAAGCTATGTTTAATTACGGAAATAAGCTGAGAAAGAAACATGATTTATGTAACACCAGCTGCGGAAAACCAGCGCTTACGTATACATAGCTAGAATTAAGGTAATATCTCTGATTTGAAAGCAGGTACATAGAATTGTTTAAGTAAGTGGGGTATAAATCTGCCCAACAGTAAGTCTACAAAGTCTTCTAAGAAATTCCTAAGAACTCATAGGATAAATAGTTGTAATATTATCATAAGAAGTAACTTCAACACAACTAAATTACAGTTCAGAGCTTCTTCTACGATATAACTGAGTTATACGAAAAAAAAATAACTTTGCAATGACTGTGAGGTCAAGTGGATAAAGTAAACCAGCTGATCAGGTTTAATATGATTATTTGGGCAATAGAAATTTAACGAGACTTAATAATACGTCCTGGTGAGATAATTAATGTTGTTTAAAGCATCTATCGCAATCTCGTTTATGATATAAGACCTTAAATAACGGTGAGCCAAGGTAAAAGCAATAAAGACCAATGTATTCAGAAGGAGGAGAATTCGTTCCTGATTCTTAGTTTATCTAACCAACAATTATTATTATTATTATTATTATTATTATTATTATTAGTCCCTTGGGTTCCTAGTGGAACATAGGGCTTCAGTAGCACGCCTCCAGTGACCTCTGTTCTCTGAGATCTTTTGAACTTGGTCCCACGACAGCCCGCAACCTCTCATTTCCTCCTCGCACGACCTCCTCCATGTCACCCTCGGAAGTCCAACTCGTCGCTTCCCATGGGGATTCCACTCGAGCAACTTGCCTGACGCGTGATGTCCTCCGTCGGCCTTCTCAGTGCATGGCCAATCCATCTCCACTTCTTCCTGCATATTTGCTGCGTGATAGGTTCTTGGTTGGTTCGTTCCCAGAGTTCCTTGTTGCTTATTTTTTCTGGCAATCCATCTGATCTTCAGTAGCGAGTGAGCGTAAGCAGTTGTTGATGAATGTCTGTAGTTTATTGGAAATGCCTTTCGTGACGCGCCAAGTCTCTGAGCCATACAAGAGCACTGACTTGACGTTGGTGTTGAAAATCCGTATCTTGTTCCGCATGCTGAGTGCAGAAGATCTCCACACTGGTTTCAGGCTAATGAACGCCTGTCTTGCTTTTCCGATTCATCTAACCAACAAGCGTTACATTAAATAGGAGTGAAACCATACCAATCCTACCATCTATGACAACGAAAAATTCGGGATTATATAAAAATAAAAACAAAGTGAAACAAGTTATTTGGTTACCTTGATATGATGGCAATAATCAAACTATGATCAATTCTTAATCCAGCTAACAATGATACTTTAGTGTTTGCTATCTGAAATGGATGAATGTTATGTAGAACTACGATTTAATACAGTGTCAAAGCTTAACTCCTTAAAACTTTGCTCGTTTCAAAAATCTTCAACTTCTCTGACTTTCTCTTGATCTCATTGACTTTAGATTAACCACTTCTGTCTGACGTAGTGTAATTTTTCTAGGAAAAAAACTATGAAGTGATGTTATCAAATAAGATAGAATTTCAGGACACATTGGAACTTGACAACAGTAATTCTTGCTAAGGTCTTGCAAAGTTCGGTCATTAATAATTGAGTTATATGAATTTCTAAACTTTGCTATGCTATATACGTCATCGGTGATCCTTATAGGTAATCCAAATTTTCCATTACCATACACACGTATACTGACCACCCTACTACTTTAATCACCGTTTTATAGTTGAAATAAATGAAAAGTTTATCAACTATACTGGTCTTCTTTATCGGGAGTCCAATTTCACCCCATGTTTTACACTGAATATATATTTTATGTATATTTGGTGTTCGACTGATAAAATAGTATTTTTGATCATATATTTATGATTTCTAAATGACAGTCAGTTATTTTTATGTCTGTAATAAATGGTTATTATTCAATCAACGACTGAAACCGTTATCATTTAATTAAGTTGGTAGGCTGGTTACGACTGAAGAAATTGGCGTATACATGCATTTAAACCCTTTTTGAAAGCGGTGTTCAAGCGATTGGGGCTAACATCTCCCGCTCAGGATAAATACTAAATCCTGCAAACTAATATGAATCGACGCGATCATCGTCGCAGTGACAAAACTTTTACTGGGGAAAAAACATATTTTACGCCTTATACGAAGACAGTAAAAAACAGAATGGAATGCATGAAAGACATTTTAAAAATGACTAAGGAATCTTCATGTCTATGCTAATTACTTCAAATCCACTTTTATTTTCATCTTCACTAACTGCTTTTACTTTAAACTCCAGGTTCAACTGCTGGTATCGGATATTGGGATTAAAGTCTATAGTCAACTAAAACAATATCTGGATACATTGCGTAGTTTGATTGAAACATCTGAATTGTGGATGCATGATGATACCCGTACAGCGAATTCGGGTGGTAATACTGAGGTAAACTTAAGTGTTATCTGTCTCTCTAATGTATATTTGCATTTGTACTCGTTAAGCGGTTTCATTATTTGTACTTCCCTGATAAATCAGAAAATAGTTTTGGGGAGGCTAATATGCCGATGAAACAACTGAGATGAAGCTCTTAAATCAGTTTAGTAGTATTCAGAAGAAATGAAAACCTGATGCATGATACAAACTTCACTATAATTGACGGGAAAAATTTCATCTTGAATTCTGGCTGAATATCCAAGGAATCCAGAAAATACAAGGCGGTAAATAAGGTCAAAAATATTGTCGAAAGTCCTAAAATTCCAACTATTAAGTATCACGCGTAGAAAGATACCATTTTCAGGGTTATACGGCGGGAAAATAGTAGTAGCAGCAATAGTCATTTTCATCTGACCATACATTACCTCAGCTGAATCTTAGTAACTGTTTGCTAACTACATTTAGCCATCTTTTTTAATTAATGTTATTTGTTTCATTCTACGCTATCCTAATTCTCTTCTGTAGAATGAAGTGAGATGTTTTCTTGTTAAACAGGGTCATTAATCGTCCTAAAATCCGTCTTATCCACTAGTGAGCACCTAGTCTCTGTGGCACTTTATCAGTATCACGTTCTGCCCCAGTGCCGTAATTTCAAGGGTAACAATTAAAATATTGACCATTATACAATACTTCCCACTTTCGATCACTTTATACCTACCATCAACACAGTTAGTCTTAGAGGTGAAAAGAATATTTTACCACAGATCTAGTTTCCAAGTTAACTAAGATATGTATACATCCCAGCAATATTTTAGGTTTTGGGCTCCAATGACTTCATAGGTAGCTAATGGACACTGTGGCAAAACACAGCCTAGTAAACATGTTCAACTTTATGCACTAAGATGTAAGTTACGGTTAACGTGAAAGGTTTAATAATATAATCTTAATCCAGCGACTTAGATAAACAGACTAAATTTCTAAGGTGGAACCCACTGCCAGTTAACTAATAACCTAAGACATTTAGCTATGGTTCTACTATCAGTATCCATGGAGTCAAACTTAAAACCTTTCCAAATGCTAAATTTATTTTTAAGAATGAAAATTCATGAAAATCTAAATGTTTTCAACCTTGATTTCGCAAGCAAATCTAACCTACATCTTCTGTTGATGTTTTGTGGAACAATTAATTCACAGCAATATAAGTGAGACAATGATCACAAGGTGTTTTCTCAGACAACTCTGACTCTGATAAACAATACTTTCTATCAATCACAGTAGCAGTGTTGAGGCGGGTCAATTTCCGCAATCAGTAAATGTTAAAGTTATTTCTTCATGTTTATGTCATTATTTTGTGTAAAATTTTCATCCTGTTTGGTCGCTGCAAACTTTGATGGGGTACTTTTCGTTGAGCTGCAAATCTTATCTGTCTTGCTGGAATCCAATGAATAAATCTTATCTTTTGATGAAGAAATCTTAATAAAGTGAGGCTGCAACATATTTCTGCAAGCCAAATGTCAGTATCACTGATGAGTGAACTTTCGAGTAATAAATAAATTGAACGTTTGATAAAATTCTTGAGAACTTCTCTTCCTAACAACTTGACTGTATGCATCAACTCACAAAGTTTTTAAGATGTGATATACTGGTTGTCATAAATACCGATATGAAAACCCATTCAATGAGCGTATAGAAACCTTAGTAAGTTTGGTGTAATTCACTTTGGAAGTTTGTTGAGGTTTAGTGATTTCGGGTTGGCATTCATCGTGGACTGACATCAGTCGAAGAATCATTAAAAACCTAGGAGCACTGGACAGCTGTTTCTTTCTAGTATGGGACTCCTCAGAATTGCACAGGAATATTCAGAATTACGAAAGAGACACATGGGGACTCAAAAAGGGCTGAAACGTAGTCATTCGAATCCTGGGATATTTTATGAATGGAATGAAGTTGGTATGCAGTTTAAGCAAATTATCCAGTGAGATCCTTCAATGCCAACTCTTGCAGCAGTTGGATAATGGCAACTAGTGCATCATAGTAAAGCAGTATTTTACTGAATATGTTTAGCTTAATACTTTTATTATGTCGAACCGATCAACGTTTCCAAGGGCTTTATCAAATATGACACAAAAATATTTGCGTTCTTATTTCATCCTTTCGAACTGTCGTCCATAAAAATATCTAAGAATAAATTGTCTAGTCGAGTTGCTTTATTCTGTTTCAGGCTTGAAACAACTACCCCACCATAGATATACCTTAAGAGATAAAAGCTAACATCCTATTTGTGTTTTTTACGAATGTCTCATCTCATTAGGCAGTGTAAAGCGATGTAGGTTTATTTTAATGAAGCCACTAACATGTAGATCGATGTCTAGCAATTTTACTGCAAGCTTTGCAAAAAAACACTTCCTGTATATCTGCATTACTGGTTTTCTGACCCTTTTATTATTACTGAGTAAACTTAGAAAAGGAAGTTACCATAAAGTTTTCCAGCTATGTTTCGTGGATTTAATTTTGTCAGAAAATTTACTTGATAGACTCTAGCTGTATTATGGATACGCAGTTTGAACCATGTCCCTTGGATTCTTTGACTAATAGTTCCAATTTCTGCAAGAACTTATTTCACTTCTGTGGGGATTTCAGTGTGTTCTATCCTAAAGATAATTTCAAGAAAGTACGTGCATCCTTATTCATGAGTTGATTTGCAAACTTTAAAACAAAATTACTGTTAGCAGTGTGTTAGACATCTGTGAAATAATCCAGTATCAGATTGGCGTAAATGTAACTGATATCCTGAATCGTTCAGCACCGAAGAAACAGTCAATCAAAAGTTAAAAATACTTTCACCTTTAATTTTTTCTTAAATTTTCAATACAGATGACCCTCTTGGCTTATTAATGTTAGTTTATACATTTACAACTAGTAATTAAATGTGTCATACTGAGATTGGGAAATCGGTTTCTCGACATGTTTTAAACTCAATACTGTTTGAACAAAATGTTAGTTGAACCAAATTATTTCATGTTTTTAAACATTTCATAGACTATCGATGAACGTTACTGCGTGAACAATTATGGCTTGATTAAAGATGTAAGTGAAATTATTTAAATAACGACTGGAACAGAACACAAAGATAAATTCATTTTATTTCATTGGTTTATTGTCCACAATATACATACTAAAACATGAATATAATATGTGGAAATGAAAATTCCGATAAACTTAATGCAGTAATACAACACAGTAAGGATTACAAAAATCGAAATGAAGTAAAGACGACACATCTGGTCATGGAAAGTCCGATAAAATTGAACCAAAACTTGTATAAACCGGATGCACGAAAAGACAAAAGACACTTCTACTACATATTGGCAAGCGAAGGAGAACACGCTGCTGGTAGGAGATACCTGACAACATTATATCAAATAACCAGGTTACTATCCGGGAAGAGATCAGCGCAGACGAAACCAATGAAAGATAGTGAAGGAAACCTAGTTACCAGGGAGGAAAAACAAAGTACACAATGGGCTAGTCGTATCAAAGAAATTCTTGAATCGACCACCACCACCTACAACTCTTCCAGAAGTACCACCATCAACGGCAGACATACCAGTGCACACGGGCCCTCCGACAAAAACATAAGTTCTGAATGCCATAAAACTGCTGAAATCCGGGAGAGCAGCAGGATCAGATGGAATTCCTTCAAAAGCACTGAAAACAGACGCAGAGACAACAGTGGACATGCTCACACCACACTACTACTCCAGAAGGTTTGCAAGGAAGAAAGGAAAGGTACCTGGCTGTTGATTGAAAGAAGGTCTACCTTGTCAAACTGCAAAAGCAGGGAGACCTAAGCCTTTGCAAGAACTGGCGAGGAATCATGCTGCTGTCCACCCAAAACAAAATATTATGCCTCATCATCCCTGAGAGACTAAAAAATGCGTTGGATTCAAATTACGACTGGAACAGGCTGGATTTGGGAAGAACAAGTCGTGTGCGGACCAAACTGCAACGCTTTGCTACGCACCATCATAGAACAGGGTATAGAATGGCCTTCAACTCTCTATCTAAACTTTATCAGCTTTGAAAAGGCCTTCGACAGCGTCGACCGAGAAGTGATGTGTCAGTTGCTTCAACACTACGGAGTGCCACTAGTCTTTATCAACCTCATTCAACAGTTATGAAGACGCAACATGGCAAGTGATGCACAATGGAAAGCTCAACGAGGCCTTTAATCTTCACACCAAGAATGCTATTATTTCGATTTGTTATATTTGTTACAGTTATGTGAATAAAACTGGTACATTTTCAGTGATTTATCACTTTATGTAGGTATACATGCTAGCATGACAAGATAGAACTCATCATTTGGAAAAGATTTTTCTGTTGTATTAGCTCTCTTGAACTGATTTTTTTCAATTTTTGCGCAATTGTTCCTATGATTAATATAACTTGAATTTAGCACAACCCCCCCCCCAAAAAAAAGATAAAAAGAGGAAGAAAATGACAAAAAACATTGAAAGGAAGCTTATCAGAAGACAAGGGATGAATGGGTGTAAAATTCTGGTGTTGAATATTGAGCAAGAGGAAGCCCTACCCAAAATTTATTTCGCGTTTGTAGCAAACTGTATCTATAACATTTAAAAAACACAAGTTTCACCAAGGATTCAATCCCTCACCGCGGAATGATGCTGCCAGAAGTCGTAGGTAATAACATCACGACTGATTCTCTAAAGGGTTACAGTAAGTTCACGAAACCATGCACCGATGAAATCCGATGTGCTCAACACTTTCCTGAGCCTATCAATCAGTTTTGTGGTGCCACATCTAAGCTAAGTGATGTGATACCTCAGTACATTGTAATTGTTAGGAACCAGTCTATAGTGTGGAACTGAAAAACAATAAAATGATTAATGCACTTACGGAACTAAGAATCATGTTAAATATCTTCTTCCAGGATTTTGTCACTCAGTCTTGTCTGAGACACATAAACCTCGCGTTTTTCAAAGCTGATTATATCCTTGTTAATTTTTTTTCCGAAAATTTTTATTGACCACCATCAAAATACATTATGAGAATATCCTCCTGAAAAATAAAAATGAGTTTCAGTAAAAAACGAAAATGTTTATTTAGTTCTACTGATAGTTTTCGTTGGTACTGAGAAACTATGTGAAAAAATTAATTACTTTTATACTGAAAATATATTAGTTAAATCTCAAGCATTTTTAGAATATAAAGCTTCTGTTTAAAAAGTTAATGGAATAAATCAGATTATATTATTCATGGATTCACATAAACTGAACAAAACATGATTAAATGTTATCTTTTGGTAAGTATTAATCAGTAAACTCAAGATGATATACATTGTTCATCGATGTATGCATATTAGTTGAGTATGTGTGCGTGTGTGTGACAGAGGTAACATGAATTGGAAATTTAATTATCGTTTGCATAGCTACTTTGAACTGGATTTAATTATGGTTGATATACACTGCATATTGCTCTGGTTATATTGTTCAAGTTGGTGAAATAACTGAGCCTTCGTTTCTTTTCAATGCATTTGGATTTAAATATTAATAAGATGATTCAACTATTCATCTTCCTTTATAGTTTGTAAGTGATTTATGAAAATTTTAATGTTTTCAACATCACTTTTATAGTTGTTGTAAATAGTATAATGTGCTATTTTGGATTCTGTTTGCAAATTCATCGTATCTACAGTTCGTTTTGTGTGAATTTGATGTGGGACTTCAACAGAAAATTTCTTAATATCGCAGATATCATAATCAAAGCAGTCTAGCGTGTAAATACAACTCTATTTAAAGTTAAACCATAGTTTGTCTTTTTATTTGAACTAAAGCATTGCTGATAGTGATTTTTTTTCATAATCATTTGACAAGAATAGGAGGTGACAATTAGAGGAAAATGAGCTGTCGAAGTAGAGACTAAAAAAGTCCTCTGGATTGAAAACTGTGACAGGAACAGGCTGGATTTCGGAAGAACGAATCGTGTGCGGATCAAATTGCAACGCTACGCTACGCATCACTATAGAACAGAGCATAGAATGGCCTTCAACTCTCTACTTGATCTTCATCGATTTTCAAAAGGCCTTCGACAGCGTTGACCAAGAAGTAATTTGGAAACTACCTCAACACTACGGTTTTACTACCACAAACCGTTATCAACCTCATTCAACAGCAGTAATATACTATATGATGCTACATGTTAAGTGATTTACGATGGAAAACTCAGTGGTGCCTATGAAGTGAAGACAGGGGACAGGAGTAAGACAAGGTTGCTGTTTACTACCACCAATGATCTTCCTGACTGTGGTCGAGTGGATTGTGCAACGAACTTTGAGGAGCGAGAAGACAGGCATACGCTGTTTGACCGACGAAAAACGCCTAGAAGATTTGGATTTCTCCGATGATTTGTGTCTAATGTCGCACAAACTCGAAGATCTATAGGCGGAAACTAACAAGTTGACAGAAGAGGCGAGTCAAGGCAGCGAAAGATGACGGCACTTTAAGTGAACGTAGAGAAGTTGGAGTTGATGATGATACCCAACTAACAACAACAAACACCAACCACCATCAACGAGAGAAACCTGAATGAAGCAGACTCTTTCACCTACCTAGGCAGCATCGTTTCAACCACAGGTGGCACATATGAAGATGTCAAAGACAGGATCGGAAAGACAGCAAGACAGGCCTTCATTCATTAACCTGAAATTAGTGTGGAGATCTACTGCAGTCAGCACAAAGCGTGAGCAACATCCGGATTTTCAACAAGTCAAGTCGGTGCTTCAATGTGATGGTTAAGAGAGTTGGCGCATCACAAAAGTCATTAGCAACAAACTACTGACATACATCACATCAAGATCTTCCGCCTACGCTCACTTGATACTGAAGATCAGATGTTCAGAAATAATAAGCAACAAGGAACTCTAGCAACGAACCAGTCAAGAACCTATCGCTCAACAAATATGCAGAAGAAAGTGGAGATGCATTGAGCATACATTGAGAAGCCCGACTGGGGACATCACGCGCTAGGCCAGGCCTTCGAGTGGAATTCAAAGGGGAAACGACGAGATGCATGAATGAATGGTGTTTGAGAGTGAAGACTGTGTAAATGAGTCAAGGATCTTCGTCTTGTTAGTTCGGTATCTGATACGAAAACCAAGTTATATCTCATAGATCTGGCGAGTCCTACTGGGACTTTATAAGAGGCCTTGCTAATGCATACTTTAAACCAGATTACGATAAGTTTTGATTCCCTTACAATGCACTTGTTTGCACTGACATATAACGAGTAGTAAGTTGTATTAACATAGCGCTTTTTCTAGTGTTTGTAACAATTCATCTTGTTTAACATTTTTTTTGATTAAAACAACCCAGATTCTTCATAAAATAGTATCATTATGCCAACCAGAAGAGACTGAAAAGAAGAAAATTTTTCATCAGAACTGTTTACTTCCTGTAAAAACAGATGTAAATGCTACTGATATACCTAGTCTTGGGACTAGTACAGAAATAACTAGTCAGTCATTAGGAGCCATTGATGAATCAAGTGAATCATCTAAAGCATCATCCTTCTTCGTCTTTCCATTTGAACAAATACAACAACTTTTGCGTCATCTTGGCGCGCACAATATATTATTAGAACTATTGAATATTCAGTTAAAGGTAAGTTTACAAACAATGGTAATGATAATAATAATTTGACTGTACCCAAAAAAAATGACTCGTCATTCATATGACAAATGTGTCTGTGAAATAGGTGTAAATAAGTAAAAAAAACTATTTAGGCATTAAAAAGGTTTTTTTCCGTCTAATGGAGTGATTTGGATATACATTTTTTATTGATGAGACTATCACATAACCCATTCAAGAGGATTGTTAGAGGGTATGATCAGTTATTGTGAACTTCATTACTTAATTAATAACACTGTTTGTAGATGTATGTAATGGCTGTTGACCTCCCCACATATGGCGTTTGCAGACACCGTGAACGGTGAACTATTGAGTGTTTTCTGAATGTTTCATTTAGTGGAATAAGCAGAGAAAACGTTTTCGACGTGCTACTGTGACTCAAAAGATAACTATGCCATATCACTATTCATTAGTGTATCACTACTACCCTGAATTGAATCCCATTGAGTAGTTGACTCAGTGGTTTTTAAAATCGTCCGGAATCAAAGTCTATGACAAATGAACGGTAACTTTTTGGGTTTTGAAATTCTAGATAACTATGGAAAAGTGTTAATATCACATCAATTACATATCACATGAGTATTTCTCTGACTGTCATTTTGTACTTCGTTGTAGCTTAAATTTATATTCTAGCTGCTTTTTCATGGTGTGTGGTACATTTGTAACTAATAATTTTGCACCGAATCAGGTGAATAAGGTTTTACGGTTTATCAACAAAACGAAATAGTAAAAAATGTGGAAATATTCATTTCTGTGAGATCATAGCATACGAAATTTATTTTCCATTCACTTAATTTCAGTTCCTTTAGCGATAACCATTTTTAGACTCTACATAAGTTATGGGTCTTTTTACGTAATAAGGACATTTTACTCTTCAGAAAGCAGATAGCATCAAACTCAGTTTTAAACGTTTCCGGTAACCGTCCACAACAGATCATGAAATTGCCCACAACCAAAGAGGTAGTATATTGAGAACTTATTTCTGCTTTACATACAGGTAACTGCTGTGCATTATGAATGAGTTCAAGTAAGTCACAAAAATCACTTTGATCCAGGCTGTTTATTCAGGTTTCTGAGTTTGTATAATGAGTGTAGTGTACTGGATCTCAAACGACTAATATGGCCATCGAGTTTTGCAAAATAACCAATCTAAATACATCATTTTCCGGTTGACTTTCATCTAAGTTAAACAGCTTAAAGAGGTTTTAGAATTTGAAATTAAGAAGGTAACTATAGACTGAATGATTTAGTAACAGTATACACTATCCTTATGAAAACAATTAATTACCCTCCTGAACGTTTAGGTGTATAAATCAAGGAAAAACATTCACATCGTGGAGTAAGATAGTATGCAAAGAAAGGTATTGCCTATACCATCTACTTTCAGATCTGATAACTGCTCACCTAACAGTATAGTCTGTACGCTCAATTTAACTGAAACGTGGTGAAGACTGAGGAAGGGGGGGGCTGATAACTCGGGTTGCGGCATAATTTAAAGCAGCAGCCCTGGGATTACCGAATCAACACTTTACCACGCCATTTACCTGGAGGCCACTGATTTGAACTTTATTTCAACAGAAGTTAAGATTTCATCTTCAACCAACACTGTTTATCAGTAATGTGAGTCTGCTAAGGCATAATTGCCTATGATAGTCCTATCAGTCTCTTTTCATTGGGTAGTCTATAGGTTTCTATTACGTTTTTAATGTAGCAACTTTTTGCTTTTAGGAAACGTTTACCCAAGTATATGCTATGAAGTTTTCAACCTTTGGAAAACGTGCTGACTCATTGCTTAGGAAATACCACTTAAAGACCTTCGGAGTTAAATTAAGTTTCTGTTCTTTCAATTTAGCTCTGTTAAGCTAATAAGTGTATGTTGGGATACTTGAATTTAAGCAATTAAAATATTCAACGTATTGAATGAAAGTACTTACTATTCGTCTCGTTTAATAATAATGTGAATATATAACTTTAAGTGATCTATAGCCTATGCTCTTTAAATGTAGTAAGATAATTAAATGCTGTCTGAGGGCGAATAAAGCTTGCACATACGATCATAAATTGTTTCATAATCTTCAATGCTGATAAGGTCACAAGTATTCTTTCAGGTTGTTATTCATCGTAGACTGACATCAGTTGGAGGAACAAAGGAAACCTGGGAGCACTGGACAGCTGTTTCGTCCTAGTACGGGACTCCTCAGCAGTGCGCACCCACGACCCCACCAGCAGGGATCGAATCCGCGACCTTCAGGTTCCGCGGCCAGCGCGTTACCATTGAGCCACTGGGTAGAATCCAATGCTCCATATTTCCAACTTCTGTTAGCTCACGATATATAGCGCAACCGCCACCCAATGTCATCGCTGAGTATTTGTCCTCATGGCCATCAGGCTTTGACTCCACCGGTCACGACTTATCATTGGAACTTCGGGAATACTTCTCGAAACTAGTCACCAACGAGCATCAGTTCAATTAAATTTTGAGGGAGTTGTGGAGATTTGTAAACGAGAGTATTGGTGAAAATGCGGTGTCACTTGTGACAATAAACAGACAATATTGTTCATTAATTATTCATGACCCATATACTTTTCAACTTATAACAGTCTTCTGTGCATATCGTCACATCTTTAGCAAACATTTTGTATTCAATGCAATACTTTATGTTCAAGTCAATAAATAGTTGTATAAGGATCTCAAAAGTGAAGTATGGCATTTTGTTTGTTTTGGTTCGATCACTTCAGTTAGTCAGTCTTTGAAACTCTTTGGTACAGTTCGCTACATGACAGAGAAGTAAAGTTCACACTTGTTCAGTATGATACGTAGATAATATTTTTGTAGTTATTTGACATTTCTTCCAGTATGCCAGAATATGTTTTCCTTTATATGCAGTCTACCCTGTTTACTTTATAAAAATTTAGGTAATACTACACAGTTGTGACATCAAGAAGGCTAAAGCAAAAGTATCGAACACTTATTATTTATATGAAGTCTTGTAAATCTTGATTGTAAAGTGTTAATTTATTTCCCAGTTTGCTAAATAAAACCTCCAGTAAATTAAATGTTTAACAAATACCCAAACTACTGAGACTTCACCCTTCAGCGGATATGTTCACAACGTCACATATAATGTGGATCAGCAACCACTGTAATTTGTGGAATCTGGATAATCATCTCCATGTCGAGCATGGACATTATCTATAGATGATTTTACACCTTTTAAAATTCCACCACTGAGATACCGTAGGTACACTAGTCGTGGCCGGTGGGGCCAACCATGCCGAATATGACGACTGTCACTCAGTGATGGCATTAGATGGAGGTCTCGCTATATCGTGAACTGACAGAAGTATAAAATACGGACCATTGGATTCCAGCTCAGTGGCTCAATGGTAACTTACTGGCCACAGAACCCGAAGGTCTTCAGTTCGATTCGTGGCGGCGTAATGAGTGCGCATTGCTGAGGAGTTCTACACCGGGACGAAACAGCTGTCCAGTGCTTCCCGGTTTCGAATGTTCTTCCAAGTGATGTCAGTCCATGATGAATATCGACCTGGAATGAAAGAGGAATTAACTTTACAATATAATGAGTTGAATAAAATAAATGTGTCAAGTTATCTTCACCAGGGTAATTCTACTCCGTTGGTCTTTATCAGAAATTAGGTCATTCATTGATTTGAAAAGTTATTACAAGTAGCCAGAAATACAAACTAGTGCTGGTTTTGTTATAATTATTTTATTTACTGCATGAACTTAAAGTAAGGAAGCAGAAGAAAATGAATTCTAATGTAGCTGTGCTTTTGTTCCATCCGACTAGATTCATTTGAAAGTCAAGATGATAGAAAAATATCTTTTTCAATAAATTTTTCTCAGGTTCATCAGTTCTAAAATCAAGATCATCATAATAAACAGACTAATTATTTAAGTTGTCAACATTAGAATAACTTGTGTAGGTATGTCCAAGAGGATGGTGAATTTCAATATGATAATAGATAATGTCAGATGAATAAATAGATATAATAATTAATGTCGACAGCATGAAGCAGGTAATAAAATGATAGGGCTTAAAGCTGTATCATGCGTTTAGTAAGCGTTCGTGTAATATTGATAGTGATGTGAATTCGATGGGAGATAATTGATATAGGATTAATCATCAAAACGATTAGTATGTATCATGTTTGAAATATCACCAAAGTAAGAACAAAAATGATAATCAATCTGTGCGGAGATTTGACAGTGGCAGTATCAAAAAGGGTTTTTAGAATAACAGAGAAAAGAGTGAATATCAGAGTTAAAACTATGGCAAAAGAAGAAACTCAAGAGAAAGCTAAGCATGATGAAACTAATGTTGATTTTATGGAGAATCAAGAGAGAAATAATACCTAAATATACTGCTTTTGAAGGCATAATTCTAGTTCAATCGGTTTTATTCCCATGTAGAAAAAGTATAGGTGGGTTGTGCATGGTAGTTTTCCAAAGATTTATTTGTTACAGCAAAGTCTGAGTTGTCACCTACTATGTGTCCTGAGCGGACCAGGTGTATCATTGTGAAACTATGTATCTACTTGATTTTATCATTTCTTTAAAAAAGGAGTGGAATTTTCCGTGTTCGGAGATGGATTTCTCTATTCCAACACATAATACAGAAGGACCTACATACCCTTCAGTTAAGTTGTGATGAAGTAACACTCGTGGAATCATTTGAATTGCCATTATTTTTATGCGTACTCTTAGCTGTATCCTTTTCGATAATTCTTCTAACCCTTTGTACCGAACACTCTACTTCTCGATACCTTTTTTACAAAGTGTTCATGGTTAAAGTAAAACCTGTAATTTATTGGCGATACCTAGATCGTTTACATATATACATTCAAAATAGTGTTTGTATGACCATTGGAAGCTGAGTTCACTGAGCATTAATTTAGAACTATATTTTATTACTTCATCCTCTTAAGAATCTTTTCGATGATATGACTTTTATTTATTGACAGCGTTCAGTGTGCTTCATTTGTTTTTATGTATAAAATGATAAGTAATCAGATACTAAAGCACTAATTCTAACCTCGTTTATTATTTTGTTATACTAGTGTGACGATGTGGTATACAGTGAAATTGTACATTTGGTCAAATGGATTCTATGCTTATTTTGTCATGAAAACGGAACAAATCAAAAATTGTTATATCCTCATCTGGACAGATTTCTGACAAATGAAGTAAGTTTTGTACTGAGTTTATACCTTTTCTTGGTATCTAATTGAAACACTCCTTCTTCATTGCTTTTCACACATCCTACAAGGGTGAAAGCTTTGTCAAAGTAAAAGCAAAAGTTGTCTAGAGCAAAAATTTAGCGGAATGACTTGTCTGCTTTATGTTTATTACTATTACTTTGCCACCAAAACACCTACATTTTAAGGAAAAATTGAAGCTAGCCATTCGATAATATAAAGGACAAAGTGAACGAGGGTAATCTGTTCAGATATGCCTTCCACAATTGTCAGCACAATGCATTAATGAAATGTCAAAAGAAGAGTTTTTTTGATAAAAATAAACGTCTACCAAACAGTTACTAGATTGTAATCATAGTGGCTTTCAATTCCTAGGTGCCAAATGATTTTTATCCGTCATGTTTACAGTTTAATCACCAAGCCATGTGATATGACAACGTTTATCACTTCGATAGTGATTGATCAACGTAGAACCTTGCACAGAAGGTCATCGGTTTGAGTTGCCATAATTCCTAGAGGCATGCAAAAAGCACGTGTATTGAGATTTATACCAAAATAGATAAAAGGATATGAGATGGGAGAGGAACCAAAATTGAGGGCTAGTATAAGTTTTCGAACTTTCAGAGATGTTAAACAGTTAGTATATCAGCGTCCCTGTAACTCATTTTCCGCCATATCATCATGAATCTCCACCCATTGATTTATTCGGTCTCGGGGACCCCAGACAGATAGTCTACACCTCCAACACGGTTCAAACTATCAGTCAAGGACTTTGTGCACTGATGTCACGTCTTGATCTAACTACCCTAAACCCTCTCCCACCCTAATCTAACTTCTAGAGTTCCCAGTTGAGGTAGGTGGGTCCTCGGTATACGCAACACTTGCAAAAGCCACCTCAGTTGCTGAAAGTTCACAATTCCACTTACCGACTTGCTTTTGTTGCCTAGCAACCTTCACCCAACCGCAACATTGGTTACTCGGCTGTTCCATACTACATGAAGAGTGCTGAGAAGACGCCTATGTTCAGAGAGATGTCATCTCTTCAACTTTCAACGGCCATGTATCACAATAGTATACTAGGACAGGTTGAACTGCATCACAGTACACTTATCCTTCAACAGGTAGCCGGATGTCTTGATGGTTCCAGAAAAGACTCTAGTTAGCAACTGCCAAACAGGTTCCTTACATCTAAGGTGAAATTTAGTCAAACATCACTTCAGAGAAGCCGGTGAAGCTGTCAACACACTCCACCACCCCAAATCCTATGCTCCAGCTTGGAGTGGGAACAAATCTGTCCTGAAGCATTACCTTGCACTAGACAGGTGCAAAAGGCATTCTAAGCATCCTCAAAATTTGGCTCTAGGTGTTAAGAAAACTACGCAGTTTTACAGTTATTTAACCCAACAACATAACGTCTTCTGCATACTTCAAATCATCCAGGACCCTCCTAGGAGTCATTCCATCGCTGAGAATTCAGAAGTCCCTAGGGTTATATCCACTAGTCTGTTTATAAAGAATTGGAACAATAATAGTGACAGTGATTATTCTTGGAGACACCATTAGTTGTCACTACTTCAAAAGACAACTCTTCGTAAGCTCAAGCGTGGTTGTTTGAGTTCTTTTAGAAAGAACTAATTGCCAAAACTTATTTGCTTGATACTTACTTCACAGTTAGATACTGCTACAAAACCTCAAACTTGATGGGGTGGGATGTCGCTTTCAGGTTAAGATAATCGGCACGTTTTCATGCGAGTATGTCTTTGCTTCATAACCTGTCGAGAAGTAAGATAATGTTTGGTAGCAGAATATTACATACGATAATAATATAACTGACTCTATTGTGGTTGTTGCATAAAGACTTCTCTCCATTTTAACAGACTAGAATAATGAGGGATATTTTTTTGTTGGATAGTTAATTCTGAAATCGTGGCTCCGTCGGTTATTATTAAATTTGAAATGGTTTCATTTCCAATGCTGTGTTTGTAGGACCCCGCCCCCTTCATTTACATAAAAATTCTGAAGCGTCTTTGTGTGGTGGTTATTCTTTTTGACTATGTAATTTCGATTTCGGAAGAAATCCAATCTTTGACAAGTATCCAGAAAACAGTTGTTATGAATGTCCTGGAAGAAATTGGGCATCAAGTTTAATTGAAAGATTGGATGAATATTCTGATGGCATTAGAAACTATACCTGGTCAATATGAACATAAGTCACTTCATCAACAACTTATGAGCAGTTTCACCTTTTATTCTGTTCAGTTATGTATTCTTGCTTTCCACCATATTTTAGCAGTTCTGTTGAATAACCAGGGGTAAAAATGCTAAAAAAAATGGTTTTGATTTTCAAAAGGTGCTGAAGTTATGCTTAAGTATTGGTATGGTCACTGAATAGGCTTGACGAAAGACTTGTGTGTCTATGCTTATTCCAGCTGATAGTTGAAAAAAGTAACAGTAATTCCAAATGAAGAATTGAGCTTATCATACACACTTTAACTTCTCATGTTCAAACAGTTTCGTGCATGTTTTACTAACACCTGAAGATCACTATTCTTGAGTCAGTCGCTTAAAAAACTTATATAAGCGACTTCTTCAAACTAAAAAACGTTTTCAATGTCATATGCAATGACCACTTTCACTGCCTATGGAATGAAAACCTAACTTGATATACCGTGAAGTTTCGTTAATTTAAGTGGATACTTTGTGGTCTACAAAGTTAATACGTTAAAGCTATCCAATATTAACAAAACAGTTGTTGTTTATAGCCAAGATAAACAGTTCACATGTTTTTTCAAAAGTACCCTAATTTTGCGAAGTATTTATTTATTTTTATGCACCTTATTATTTATCGAAGGTTGACGATGCGAAAATTTGCACGGAAATACTCAAAAGTAATGCTGAATTATGTTTGATGATTGATCATTCGAAGATTAGAAAACTTTGCATTCTTCTTCAAAACAGTAGTCCACATTTGCATTGGCTTCAAGTACTGACAATAGTTTTTCAACCAAATTCTGAGATATTACGACCAATACAAGAGATGCTGTCTACTGAAGTAAGCCACTTTATTGTTCATTTTAATTTATCCTTTAAGATAAAATCTGTTATTACTACCAAAGACTTTAATCTTTTTCTTATTATGTCAAAAACATATGTAAGCATAAACGTGCTTAGAAAATGAAATAAGGAGTTTTTTGAATGTTTCACTATGTAAGTCACAGCTACTTCAGCAGAAATTAGTCACATTCTTATTAAAAACTAAAATATAAAACCAAAAGAAACAGTAGATGATCACTTTACATGCCCCTAGTTGAGCGAATTTCCATTTTTTTCCCCAGATTAATCTAACTTCCATTATGATGGGTGCTGAATACCGGTCTCCGTGTAAACAACCTTATGCACTGGGAGTCAGCTGCATACAGATGATGAATCCTAAGTAAAACGGATCAGATGTTTCAGATTCCACCACTAGCCACTATTTTTTATCACGATCTACTCTTTCCAATAAGCTCTCATCACTAAAATCATCCATATGTTTGATGTCACTTGTACATATAGTTACTTTGGATAGAAAGTTTAACTTTTGAGTAAATTTCGATTCTTTGCAGACATGATATATTACCTATGTCATTCTGCTTCACCTAGAACTGTAGTTTTATTTTTTGCACTGAACTCAACAAGTGATTGCTTGGGTGTCTTAACTTCCAGTTCCACTCATTATTTGGTGCGAAAATGGATCATCTCTATTTCTAAATTTTATGTTTATCACCTCCTCCTAATTCTCTCCTATTTATTGGTTTAGTGTAGCGATTTGAACTCTTGCAAAAATGTTCCGTGTCTTTGTGGTTCCTAAGGGTAGGAACTCACTTCTTGATGGATGCATATCAATGCATTCCTATAGGCTAAAAGTATAATAAGCAACGGAAACAACTGAAAATTAGACTATCAAAGAGTCTACATGATGACCATGATAAATAGTGGGGAGTGAAGGCTGAAGATATGAAAACTGCTGCAGTGACAGATAACTGTTTTAACCTATTTAAAGTTATCAAAATAACTGGGATGAAAAGTTCATTAACTAATCATAACCATGCGGTGATAGGTGGCTCAAACATTTACTCATAGGGGAAACGACTAAAACTATGACTGAAACAGTTTGAGAAACAGTTCAACCAATATCTAGCAACTCTTCAGTTGTTTACCATTCAGTGGTATATTTAGTAGGACGCAGGGAACGGGTTTTTGCCTCTTGTGTAGGCTGAGAGAGTTTTAATTAACGTGAAGCAAATAAGAGTGGCAGGCTCCAATAGGCTACCACCAGAGGTATTTAGGGATGTTAATACCAAATCATAATTGGATTAACTGAAGTCTTGCTAGCATATGAGACTCAAACATCATCGTCTATGATAGACTTTTATGGCTAATTATCCGAGTCATCAGGAAGGGAAAGAAATCTTCCTGCAGTGACCTCACGGTAATCATTGTGACGAATATTATAAGCAAAATCTTAAGTTCCATCATCAGTAGGTGCTTAATGAACCTCGGCAACAGCAGACGAATGAAAACCAGGTAGATTAACCAACTGCTTGCCAGATTTTCACTCTCCACCACATCACAGAAGGTGTATGTTTATTGGCGACTGATACTGGATGTTTTTCTGGACGACAAGGTTATATATGACTTATTGTATGGAACAAGATAACCATGATCTTCATAAAAAGCCCCAAATCCTTAGAACTTCCTAAAACCAACCATGTTGCACCGAAGTTTCTGAAGAAATCATAAGTACCAACGTGTAAATATCAGATCCCCTGAAGGGACGAAAACTAATAGGATATTCAAATCTAGAAAGGCCTGAAAGTAGTCAAGGCCTTTGTCACTAAATCTAAATCCTCGCATTTTGTACACACTTTTGACACTGAAATACACTTTCTGTTATATCACTACCCTTTTCATTTATCGAGAAACTGAGTGAATATCAAGAGGTAGAATCTAAAGGTTATTACACAAGCACCTGCAAGCATATATATATATATATATATATATATATATATATATATATATATATGACTCAGGCTATATCAGTTCACCAAAAGAATATAACTAGTGGGAAGAAGGTTATTAAATTGGCGGCAGATAATATCGGTAGCTCTTTCTGACGAAGAATTTCAAGCTTTTATGCAACACTTTGATGAGAGAATAAAACCAGCAACACTGAGAGTCACTGAGAAACTTAGTCAAATGCTGGATGATATCCAGCTGGGATGTATATCTCTAAGTTCTCAGATTTTGAGAAAAGACTCCTAGTAGATTCTCTAATGCTGGACATAATGAAGCTCAATATAAGTTCATGAAGCCTGATAATATGAATCATGTTACACTAATCGATTAGGCAAACAGTAATCCCTCTACTTTCTACTACGAGATAATAAATGACATTGATATTGGATCAGTTAATGAAAACCATCTAGTACACGTCACCAGTTTGCAACAGGATGAAATATGTTTGATGCAATCAAAGCTCTCTAAAACCAAACTTCATCCTTTAGGCCCAAGTGAAGTTTTCAATGGGCACCAGTGCAAGGCCAAGCACCAACATCAAAAACTACACAGATTCTTAAATGGGTTCAGAAATCCCGTGCACACATAGAACTAGATAGTTGCTTTGCTTCGTAGGGGATTGACATACCAAAGACAGTTTACGTCTATTTGAATGAATGGATACCAGGTGAGCTTAGGTACAAAAATCACATACACTAGACAGGTGGCAAGTGGAAAATCCCCAATACACTCAAATTTGCAGGTTTCTCATAGTGTATCAGGCTGTCAGAAGCCGAAAGTTGTTACTGGCTAGAAACAGGTTGTGAGTTCCGTAAGGCTTCAGATGTTCCCTATATCATGACTCTTGATCTGCTTAACCACAGTGGCCATTTTAACCACCCTTCTTCAGGCCTTGACCCTCGACGGGTGCACTGAAATCCCTAGCACTACGTTGTGTGTCAAATATATCTTGTAGAAAAGGTCATTTAGTTGGTGTTAGAACTGATTCTTAAATACATCTGTACTACATTCAGTTGGAGCACAGGCAGAAATAACGAAGAGACATAGTTTCTTTTCCCAGTTGGCTCCCAGCATAATCGAACCTTTTCAAATAATAGTATTCATACAGCTGTTGATAGAGATCCAGTAGACCAGTGCTATGGTATTTTGTGCGACAACAACACCAGTGAAACCAACTTTTTATGCTATAGTTTCCCTGAATGAACGCACTGAAAATACACATTTTGAGTTAACCGATAACGAAACTATTTGATGAAACACTACTGGGGCCTTGTGTTTGGGTCTCTACATAATAATAGAGAGGTTTTGTAAAGTCATAGCCAAACCTGTCTGCAGTACTTTCTACATAGAGGTTCAAACGCTGAAACTGGCAGGTTCAGGGTTATGCGTGGCTTCAGAATACCTATGTCAGATATCACACTAAAGGATGGCTTCCTGTTGACGACTCAAGATGACGTATGTAGATCAGAATTTTAGTCGCTGTGCAGTAGCTGAGTGTAACAGAGATACACATTTAGATACTTTTGAAAATGATAACTAAGAGATAGTCCATTTCAAGTCTAAAAATATTTACGATACAAAGATTATGATCTGAAAACACACGATTGCAGTGTTTTCCTATGTTTAAGTGGGATATGGTCTGAAAAGATAGGTAGAAAGTTCGTCGCATGAATATTTGATAAGGGCTTTGTGTACTTTTTGACTACCGTTACTCTACATTCTGCATAAGGAATGTGATGCTGCTAAGATGCCTATCCTGAAGTAAAGTTGTTCATTTAAAAGAATTACATCATGAGTTCTTAACTTGAAATTTGATCTATAAGACAACGAACTGACTTCTCATGGTTGCCGGTGAGAAATGTGAGTTTGTACGCTATTCTTTTGCTCTGCATCACTGAACCAATGTGAACCACCAGTTTAGAAAGCCTGTTTTTCAACTTGCCTTGGAACAAAATATGTTCACATTATTTCATAAAATCACATCTTCTGCCACGTTGAGGCAGTAATTAGAAATTCCTTGCCTAAAACTATGAACATATGGACTTATTACAGAATTTCCAGAGGATGACTGGGATCATACCACCTTCGGCCATATCAGGGAAGTTGAAGTACAGTATTGAAAGTAGTATCGAGAATTACTTTCTGACTTCTGTTCAGTTTTATCATATTTTACCATACATAAAGGAGTTGATAAAAAATTTCTTCTTCCTGTCCAAACGAGTAAACCTACAATATATCAAATATATGGGAATGTAGCCAGCAAGTTACTAATATATATCGTTAACATACTCGATTGTATGTTGCGTATAGTTTAACCGCTAGACATGATGAAATAATTCAATAAATAATTTGTTCCTAAGGTTTTTATCTAAGTACTATCCAAAAATAATTTTCGTTGGTTGTCAAGCGAAATTACAGCGAACATAATAATGAATTTATATATTTTTAAAATAAACGAAATTCGTAGTACATAATACAATTATTTCTCTGTCTTTAATTTTCTTGTAGCTTTGTTCAATGTTTGATGAAACATTATTTCTGATGAATAGCTTGTCACGTATACACACTATACTAGATTCGCTTTTGTCTACAACAATATTTTCTGAATTATCAACGCTACCTACATCAATCACACTTGCTGACAAAACGTTTTTACAAGACTTAGAATTCAATATTGAATTTCTTCGTTTATTGAACATGCTATTAACTGAAGAAAATGATATCCTAAAGAAGAAGTATCAAAAATGGCTTAAATTCACAGAGTTAATTGATATAATTATTCATCCAGTTGTTAAATATTTCGAACTTTATTCATTAAGAAATGTTTATATGGAGAGTTTAGCAGTTTTATGTGCCAGTGATGAATTTCGGAATCATTTTGACGTTCAGTACAGTGAATCTTTATGTAATCTTTGGCAGAATATTACTGAAGAGTTGGATTTGGTGAGTTGTAGTTTCGGAAATACACAAAATATTTGAATATAGAATACAGATGGAGTGCTAGTAATGATAGTAATGATAGTTCAAACTTTTATGATATAAATTGAATTCCATTTTAACGTTATTATCACTCTATATGACAATCTAAGAATCTCGTATAAATAAGACACTAAAAAGACTGAAGATTTTATATTTGATAGTAAAGCTCAGGAATTTTAATGGAATGCAATTCTGTATCCGTTTGTTCATTCGGTATTATTTACCGGGAGGCCTTATAACTGATGTATGTGTTACACTTTTTAACACTAGCTAGTCACACGAGAAAAGCATTCATTTATTTGTTCATCTTGATATTCTAACTTGAATGTTTTTTTAAGACCTTAAAATTATTTTTCAAGTTAAATAAGTTTCGAAGAAAATCTGCGTAAAAGTGGAGTTTCTATCATCAATTTTTAGACCCAAAAGTAGTTTTGTCGTAGAAAGACATCAACTGGAGAACCATTCGGAACTCTAATTTTAAACTTCTCAGAAGTACACATTCATCACTACAAACCATATAAGTTATTTAAGATCTTACAATCCTACACGAAAATGCAAAGCATTCATTTTTTTCACATCTCAAAATCCCACGTTTTCAAGTCAAACCTACATCCAAAAGAATAAAATGAAGAGAAAAAAAAAGTCACCAACAAGCTACCTGAGTCCTCATTCAATGCGAAGTGATAGGAGTCAGAGTGCTGGGGTCTGAGAAATCCTGGGTCTATCATAGGCAAACAAATACCCAGTTATCACAAAATTCTAGTCAACAATTTTTAAGTCAAGCTATAATTCAACGTTTTCTATTTAGTTATTATTTTGTCACACTATTCCTCAATATGGTGTCGATTCATTTTTCAGCTTATTCATGATGAAAAATCAAGCAACTGCTACAAAATATTTCTCAGAGACTCTCTTATTCCAGTTATAAGCAAGATTTTTCTTGAGATTCAATCACTGAATGACAATCAGCCACAAGTGAGATCGTAAAATGGAAATTTCTTCTCATTTGTTTCACTTGTTTATTACAAGTTTTTTCTGATTTTGTGTTAAAACGACGTATTTTTGGATCCAGAAAAAACACATCAGCCATATACTGTCATTTGAGCAACATCTAGCTGTTTGCCTTGTCATACGACCATATTCTTCAAGTTTACAAGAAACTAATTAGAGATTTGAAGAAAACTTCCAATTTCATGACATTTCTTTGACAGTTGGTATTAGCTGTGTTTTACTGCGGTAACAGTTTTCTATCGATAGGTTTTATACCGTTGCGTGAACTATGTTTCTGATTTAAGCGAAAACCGTAAATGTAATCAGGAAGCAAAAGCTAAGGTCCCTTATATTGCAGTATATTTTAATCCGGTAGGTGAGATAGCAATAAGAAAGGAACCATTTTTATACCTTAGCCAAACAGCAGAACAACGAATAGCTTTCGTTCATTTGGTAGTCTTAGAAGATTCATTGATTTCAAATTACTTTTCACCATGGACTAATACGAACTGAAGAATTTTCCAAAACGTGGGAAAAGTTGAAAATTGATTATTTATAGTTTATGACTCTTTATCATTGTACACTTATCCCACTGAAAGAGAATTGAACTCATAGCCACCCGATCTCATGGTGAGTAGATTACCATCCAGTCATAGAGTATATATCCAATAGTCAGCATTTTCTTACTTCTATCCATTTGGGGTTTAGCTTGACTAAACCAGTAAGCCTGTTCACTAAAAAACCTGATGTCATTTAGTTTAATGACTTATAGAGTCACAAATGTGTGATCCTTAAGCATTTGAAAGTAGTATGAGAAACTTTTCGAGGCTGTGAGATATCCACTGATACTCTAAGTGTTTCAAACCTCTGATGAACATTACTTTGAAATATTTTTTGAATACATGAGAAATAAGTTGGTATTCACCACGAACTGACAGTAGCTGGAGAATGATCGAAAACCTCAGGACACTGAAAATCTATCTCGTCCCAGTATGGGACTCATCAGTAGTGGATACTCATAGTTCTTGCAAATGATCTATCTCATGGTATTCCGGCTTCGTGGCGAGCGTGTTACCAATAAGCTACTCGGTCAAAATCCACTGGTCCATATTTTCCTATTCATTGCGATTCGCGACATAACTCAACGTTTATGCAATACTGTCATTGAGTATTTCTCCTCACATTCAAGAAGTAAGATAGTCTTGTATTAGTCACCGCGTTATCAACAGATGTGGGCAAATGTGATGCAGCAATGAAGGCTAGTGAACTCACCTTGTACCTGGTACTTTAATACCAGCTTTCAAGATAGTTTAAGGAGTTTCAAAACTTATCAAAATAACATTTCTGTGACATCTATGGATCATCCAATTGGTTATTCCAGTTATTCCTTTTTATCATGTGCAATTATTTGTGAGGTTAATGAGACTATACATCTTTCTGAGTCGTAATCAGTACTGTTTTGGACGCAAGTTTGATGCATTTCTTTTTAGGTGTTGTTAACTTGAACTTCATGACTCAAAAACTAATAGTTGTTAGACAATGAGAAAAAAGTTATAAATAGCCCACAAATTTGTTCAGTCTTGTAGAATAATAATAATTAATCTAATACATAATTTCTTTTATCATTCGAACAGTCAAGTGCTTATTTCTGTACCTACGTTTCTTTTCAGCGTCATGAAGATGCAAGTCGTTGTTTAATGCATAAACTTATGAATTTAAACGAAGATCCCTTGTTGAATCTAGTTGCACGTGAATGTTCACAAATCATAATGTATAAAAGTGAGTCACAATGGATTTATCACTTCAGTGTTTCAATGAAAGACTGTTTAAGCGCCACCTAAGTGTCATAAACCTGCGTGAGGGGGCAAATATAATCAGCAGTTTGCAGTCACTGATTAGGCACTTATCATTCTCATATTACCATGATGGCTTAAACAGATTTTTCTGTGGCCTTATATAAAACCCATAAATTACTATGGCCTGTGAAGTCAGAAATGTTCCAATGGTCAGCAGGTAAATTATCATAAATTTCTCCTAAAAGACTGGGGGAAAATAAAAAGGTTGAGTTTGCTGTGCCTTAATAGAAAAGTCGAAAGCCGCTGTATGGAGAGCCGATTAGGATTAGACAAGGAAACAAAAAGAATCATTTAGACCAAAAAGACATTATCTCAGGTGAACAAGTCAATTACCTATATATTAGGACAGACTGAATGTGGAATTATTACTTTGGTACTATTTGTACCTGCTAGCAGCTTTTGTCTTTACTTTTCTACCAGCTAGAATCCCATACTCATTTTAAAATCATGAGCTGCCAATCCTCTGAAGACGTTCACCTTACAAACCTAAATTAAGATCCCGAGTGTTTCAGAAAAAACTCATGAATGAGAAATGTTTCCAACCTCTTGGAAAATTACCCTTCCGGTGTAAATCAAAAGCATGGTGGTGTGAAGCAATTTTCAAGAATTCGCACTAAAACTTACATCTCGGAAACAGTCTATCTTATCATTTGTTAAACATAGAACAGCTTTGATTGGAACCTCGTGTTGTAACGACCGTCTTATTCCTTTCTTAATCTATTTGGACTGACAGTGAATGACAGAATACAACTGTGCTTACATTCTAAGTCATTTATTTGGCCCAGAATGAAAATGATAAATCATAACCTTAAAGCCTCACATTTTGCCGAACAATAGAAAAAAATACTGCATTTTGACTCTGAATTTTAAAGATCATAGCAGCGTATCCAGTTTAGCTCTAGTCGATGAAATGAATACATTTTTCAAAAAATCCACCAGTTCAACTTTTAACTTTTGTTTGCTTTTCTAATCATACAGAGACGATGTGCACTAATTTCCAAAACCTGATCAAACAACATTTCTGTAGTGTGTACTTTCTGAATTTCTACCCTGTCTGATACATTAACTTTTAAATTTATCATAATATTTATTTTAAGAGCAAATTTGGAGATATGTTAGTCAGCTAACTTAATTTCGCTTTGAAACTCTATAGTCCTTTCCAAACGTCTTCCTACTACGCTGGAGATTTCACACAAATTGGGTTCGTATTCAACAAGATCGTCAACACAGCCATGTACATTATTTCAAAAAGAACAATCTTCTGAGCATGAAAGTATATGCGGAGAATTCTTAGATGACGACCATCATAATCACCATCACGACAAGCAGATGTGCACAGATCATCAGACCGAAAATGAGTATGAGATGACTATTATAAATAATGACGCTGTTGAAAGGTGTAACATAAAAAAAGGTGCCAGTAGTCATCAAGAGAACCAAAATAACAGCATCATGGACCAGCCTAAATCTCAAATATTTGCCAGTTATATAGAAAAACAGTTCAATGTAAGTTGATAACATGAAGTAACTGATGTATATTAATCCATGTTCAAAAATCCACTTGGTAACAGTCATAGTATAGTCTTTTTAAAATTCTGTGAATCTAACCGTCTTGTCGCCCGTCTGATTTCCTTATCAACACACAAATCTTTATAGAAAACTATTTCCACTAACTTGGTTTTTAAGCAAATTAATACAGATTGTCATTTATGCAGACATCTCACTTTCTCTAGTGACTGAAAGTATGAACAGCTACATCACCTCGTTAACCCTGATTTTTCCATTTTAGTCGACTTATCGGATGTATCACACAGTGTAACAGCATCATTCAGTCGACTACGTTTCGAACACAACTTATTGTTCATCGTCACATCAAGATAACTTTAAATAGTTCTAATTTTCTTGCCTCTTTAGTTATATGGATAGTAGCATTTTCCATTAATCCGGAACAGGTCCTGAATCATTCCTGTTACATGTATTAGGTGTCGATTCGATGAACAAAGATTCAGGTTATTAATATTTCCTGTTTTGTAGGATTAGGATTTTCACCCTGTCCCATCCTAATGTGTGGTTGCATATATATATATATATATATATATATATATATATATATATATATATATATAGTTACAAACCTTATCAACCTCGCCTGGTTAACTTGTACATTAGTTACTAGCCGGTCTTAAGCCCAGGTAAAGAGGAAAGGTTGGGCATAGGGCTAACAACTTTACCCCATAAAACAAATCCAACCACTAAATAAACTTCAAAGCACAAACAAAGTATAGAAAATAAAAACAAAATTATTCCTCGCTGGAATCGGAGAGGCGAAATGACGCCAAATGGTGAAAGCCTTCGGAAAGTCAATTGGCCGATGTCTCTTCTCTCGATGAAAGCGAAAGTAAACGTGGGGAAATGGAATGTCCACACCATGTTTGAACCTAGCACGGCTGCCCAGATTGCAAACGAGATGAGAAGGTATTGCATTGAAGTGCTTGGAATCTGTGAAAACAGGTGGAATGGAAGTGGACTCCCCAAACTGTCAACTGGAGAGTCAATAATCTACTCCGATATTGTCACCCAGATGACAACCATGACCACACGGAGTTTTGGAGTGGCTATCATGATGTCGCCCAACAGCATCGAAGGCATTCCCTCATGCAGTGGGAACCAATCTCCACCAGGATTATGACAGCAAGATGGATTCAACTCAAAAGGAAGGAAGGTCACAATCATACAATACTACCCTACGCACCTACAAATAATGCAGATGAAGAGAAGAAGGAGGAATTCTACAGACAACTGCAATCAACACTGGACAAGACCTCACTCTAGATGGCGATATCAAAATTCTAATGGGTGTGGTGACATGAATGCCAAACTGGGAGCGGACAACACAGGAAGAGAACTAACCATGGGTCGAGAAGTGCTCAGTGAGGTGATGAACGAGAATGGAGAATTGTTTGCAGAATTCTGTGCATTCAACGACTTGGTGATTGGAGGTGAGGCAATGTGTTCAAGCACAAGGATATCCACAAAGCGACATGGATTCCAGTTCACCAGATGGACACACTAAAAATCAGATCGACTTGATCTCAATGTGAAGAAAGTGGAGACGCAGCCTACTTGACCGTGGGTCAAGAAGAGGAGCAGATATAAACTCAGACCACTACCCAGTGCAAGGAACCAAGCTTCAAAATCAAGTTGAAAGCCTTCAGGGAAGTTGGTGATAGACCACAGTTCAGGTTCAACAGTTGGAAACTGAAGGACGAAACTACAGAGGACATCTTGACATCATTCAGCCAGTCAGTCAGACAAAATGGGAGATATCGAGCAGCATCCCTGAAGAAACCTGTGTGGATGAGCACTGCAACTGATTGAAAGAGATGTGGAAAAGAACCTGCATAACCGAATTAGGAAGGAAGAAGAAAGAAGACAAGGAAGGAATGGATCTCGATGGACACATGGAGGCTGATAGAGCGGGGAGAGGAGGATGGTGAAGCAGAAGACAAGCCAGTGGAATGATGCTCAAAGAGAAGAGGAACTGAGTACAATGTATAAAACACTACACTGGACAAAGAAGTGAAGAAGAGTGCATGAGAAGACAAAAGACACTTCTACGAAACACTGGCAAGTGAAGCAGAACAATCTGCCGGCTGGTAGGAGAGACCTGACAACATTGTATCAAATAAGCAGGTTGCTATCTGGAAGAGAAGAGATCAACACACATGAAACCTGTAAAAGATGGAGAAGAAAATTTAAGTAAGAGTGAAGAGAAACAAAGGAAATGATGGGCTGACCACTTCAAAAAGCTCTTGAATCGACCACCACCACCACCACCACCACCAACTACACTTCGTCCAGAAATACCACATGCAGCCCAGTCACAGAACTACAAGTGAACATAAATCCTCTAACAAAAGTTGAAGTCCTGAGTGCCATAAAGCTACTGAAATGCGTGAAATCAGTAGGACCAGATGGAATCCCACCAGAAGCTTTGAGAGCAGACGCATAGACAACAGCAGACATGCTCACACCACACCACTATTGTAGAAGGTGTGAAAGGAATTGAGGGTACCTGTTGATTGGAAGAAGGGCTACCTTGTCAAACTGCCAAAGAAGGGAGACCTGAGTGTTTGCAGGAACTGGTGAGGAATCATGCTGCTGTCCACCTCAAGAGAAATATTTTTCGGCATCTTGCTGGGGAGACTACAGGATGCACTGGATTCAAAACTACGACCGGAGCACACTGGCTGGCTGGGTTCAGGAAGTAAAAATCATTTGCCGACCAAATTGCAATGCTTCGCATCATCATAGAACAGAATATAGAATGGCAATCAAGTCACTTCTGCCTCAACTTCACTGACTTTGGTAAGGCCTTTGACAAAGTCGACCGAGAGGTAATTTGGAAACTGCTTCAATACTACGAAATACCACAAACCGTTATCAGCCTCATTCAACAACTATATGAAGACACTACATGCCACGTAATTCACAATGGGAGCTCAGTGACACCCTCGAAGTGTAGTGAAGACAATAGTGAAACAAGTCTGTCTACTATCCCCCATGATATTCCTGATTGTGGTGGACTGGATCATGCAGCAAACAGTGTGGAGCGAGAAGAGGGGGATACGCTGGCTGGACTGCGGAAAAGAACCTAGAAGATCTGGATTTCGCCAACGATGACTTGTGTCTGATGTCACACAAACTTGAAGATGTACAGGCGAAAACTAACAAGTTGACAGGAGAGGCAGGGCAGGGCAGCGAAGACGGGACTTCAAGTGAAGGTAGAGAAGACAGAGGTGATGAAGATACCCAACCAACACCACCATCATCAACAACAACAACAAGCTCCAATCACCATCAACGGGAGAAACTTGGAGGAAGTAGTCTCTCATACCTATCTAGGCAACATCGTTTCAACTACAGGTGGCACAGACGAGAACATCAAAGCCAGAATCGGAAGAGCAAAACAGGCGTTCATTAGCCTGAAACCAGTGTGTGGATCTTCTGCACTCAGCATGTGGAAGAAGATGCGGATTTTCAACACCAACGTCAAGTCAGTGCTTCTGTGTAATGGTTGAGAGACTTGGTGCGTTACGAATGTGATTTCCAACAAACTACAGACATTCATCGGGAACTGCCTACGTTGGCTCGTTACTGAAGCTCAGATGGCCAGAAAGAATATGCAACAAGGAACTGTGTCTGGCTGTCAACGAACCAAACAAGAATCTATCACCCAACTAGTATGCAGTTGAAGGAAGTGGAGATGGATTGGATTGGGCATAAACTGTGAAGGCCGACTGGGGACATCACGCGCCAGGCCAGGCTGTTGAGTGGAACCCAGATGGGAAGCGACGAGTTGGGCGTCCGAGGTGAGGGTGACATGGAGGGGATCGTGTGAGGAAGAAATGAGAGCTTGTGGGCTGTCGTGGAGCCAGGTTCAAAAGATTTCAGAGTATAGAGCGCATTGGAGACGGGCTACTGGAGCCGTATGTTCCACTAGGAACCCAAGGGACAAATAATAATATATAGTACAAGCCTTATCATGGGATCCTAAGTTACACGACGGCACATAGAAAGTTAACAGACTCCACAGTCAGGAGCAATTTGAAAATCTAAGTAGTCAGACTGTCGATCTCGCTCCACCACCACCACAGAATTTACAACGGTCTAAATCCAATATTCTTAACTGGTGTCAACAGTTCACTTATTCAAAGTCTAGTTTGAATTATCTGCCTACAAAGGCCTGTATAGCACAACTCAAGTCATTCACCGACAATAATGACATCATCTTAAGTCGTTCGGATAAAGGAGGAAGGAGGTGGTGTTCTGATGTATCTTCAGCAGTACGTCGATAAAATGCTATCTATTCTTTACTCTGAAACTAAGTCCGACAAACCTAAAAGTGAGAAGTATAAAACAGCAGATTAAGATGCAACTCACAGGTATCTTGAAGAGAATGAAGGATAATGCATTAATTTCCTCTAATTTGTATGAACGCATCCGACTCGTTGGCTCAGTAATTTCACTGCCCTATGGATAGCCGAAAATATATAAAGCAGGACTGCTCCTTCTCCCGATTTTGGATATGTCAGGTTCTCCTTATCATTGCATCACACAGTGGCTAGCTGAAATACTGGAACCGGTCAGAAGCAGATTTCTTCTTTGCTCTATTCGTAATATATTTGAGTTTTTATGGATAGCATTAAGGATGTTGACATCACCGGTAAAGTTATGTTTTCCCTGGATGTTATCTTATTGTTCACCAGTGTATCACTTACTGAAACTGTTTGTTTAGTATGTGATTTCATCGATTCATACAATAAAGAAATAGGAATTCCAACAAACTAGTTGAGAGAGCCATTCATGAAATGTATTTTTAATGTGCGATTTAGTTTTGATGATGAGATATATTGATGGGATTGCAATGGGATCCCCACTGAGACTTATAATGACAGACTGCTTCATGTTAAAAGTACAAAATTCTAATCTTAGCCAAACCATTAATCATTTTGACATCTATAAACGATATATGAATGATGTACTTGTTATGTGTGTCTCGACTATCGATCTGGATAACTCCTTGCAGGAGTTTAATAACTATCACTCAGCGCTAAAATTCAATACAGAGAGGGAGTTGGAATCAGCTTTTCCTTTACTTGGCATGCTTATTACGAGACGTAGCAATAAATTTCTGAAAGGATCCATTCAAAGGAAACCCACATGTAACGGACAGCTAAATAAGTTCTACAGTTGCTTGCCAATCATGCTATCGAACATGCAATATTTGTAGCACAGACTGTGTGAAAGTTGAACTTGACTTCCTAGGACAGACGCTCATGGAAAACGGCTATCCTAGCCGATTTGTTTAAAAGAAATCGCGAGAAAGACATGTAAAACTAGTTATCAGCTCAGTTTCTAAGAAGAATTTGTTTGTGCATCTGAAATTTAAAGGTGATGCGACATCAGACATACTGAAAAATCGTCCTTCGAGATCAATTAGTAGGACTTTGGTAATGATACTTGTGCTTTACAGAGCCGAATCGCTCGACCTCTGTGGCAGATGGGCCCCTATGGACATTACTTGATACCGCTAAATATTCATGATGTTACATTGAACTTGATGACTAGCAGAGGAATACAAGATGCCCATTTCGTCCTGTTTAGGATACGTCAGCTGGATGTATCTGCCCCCCAGTGAGTGATGTTGTTCCCATTGAGGCTCGAAAAAATACCCGTCGCTTCAAACGCCAGAGCGCAGTCCACTAAGTATCATAACAACGACTGATACGCGTTGCACAAGAGGTGGCTATCATGGCCCAGTGGCTTAGTGGATAGCGCTCTGGCGTTTAAATAGAAGGGTGCTGGGTTCGAGTCCCAACGGGAACAACACTGACTGAGATGCAAGTACATCCAGCTGATGAGTCCCAGACGAAACGCGCATCACAGTAAGACCAATATAGTAGGATTTTCTCCCACCCATACTTCATTCGACCTTTACTGGTGGTAAATTATTCTCTGTTTGTGTAAAAGACAATGGTCTGCCAAACCACGGCTATCTAAGTCAAAATAATGAAAAACAATATCCCTCGACAGCCCACTTCCATGTATATCTACCAGTTCACCTACTCGTGTGGAGCAAGGTACATTGGCCGTAGGCAGATATCTCTGTCAACACGTATACGATAACATATTCTTGCCTGTTTTTATAAGGGTGAGAAGAAATGAATTTGAAGTTTTATTCTTGAGCATCTAATTATTCAGCCGACCCCAAAAATGATTTTAAAGTTATCTATCGAATTCGCTCAAACATCTCACGTTCTCCTCGTCATTAATTTCTAAAAGTAGCACAGACCTTGACTATCCATGAACTGAAGCTGGACCTTTGTGTACAAAAGCAGTATCCACCGTCTTTGTCTGTATTTTGGCCTTAACTTATCTTGGTCTTCGTGTGCTTCGTCCCTTGTTTTGGTTTTTCAACTTCCCTTTTCCTCAGACTAAACTTTTATTTTTACATTTAATAGTTCCCAATGTTATTTCATTTGATCTTCCTGATAAACGCAACTTTTAATAAAACATATTCAGTTGATTTCAATTAACTTGTCTCATTCATATTACCTAGTGTTCTGATTGTTTATTAACTCTAGCACGTTTTCACACATTTACAACCTATATAAAACATATAAAGGACTTGAAAAATCCTCCGTAACCCCTTTTTGTTACCATTCAGCCTTTGCGTCATCAACTAGCAACATTGTTATTACAACTATCATTATTGTTATTTCAACCTCCCACTACTTAAGTCTTCCTCAGGGATTGGAGTCTTTTAATATCTTAAACGAGTGTACATCCTGAGAATAAGTTCATTGAAATATTTTGTTTTCGATGTCAAAATGGGAATTATGAATGTAATAACTTATCCTCTGTTTATCGAATCAACGCTAGATACATACAAATGGGATGATTTAGCACCTGTTTCGCATATATGGAAAATCCACCTACCCATTTCACGAAGGAGGTAAGAAAATTAGAGCTATATAAAGCCAGCCTAAAAGTTACAGAGTTATCTTGATGTGACTAATAGACAATGAGTTGTGTTCGAAATGTAACTGACTATAAAATACTGCGATACATCTAGTAATTCAATTAAAATGGAATTACATCCTACCACCGTGCTCAGTTTGTACTCTTATGTTAACTTTGAGTTTTATTGTTACCACAGTGAAGCCAGTTAACTTCTGATACGTAAAGCAGCAAAAGTAAGAATTCGAACCAAGCATAGGATCTAAATGAAATTTGGACCGAATTTTTATTTACCTCCTATTTCAGATAGTCATATTATTTACTGTTTCTATAGTTTAATCCATAAATTATACTGTCTGAAGAACTAATGAAAAAAGGGAAGTAATAAGCTTCTGTTTTCCTATGCTATTCTGGATTGCTTCGGCAATGGGCAATACCATTTATCCAGTGGATTTCTTGGTGAGAATACTAACTTTTTGTGATTTGCAATGCTGAACCTTATTGTTTGATCAATTTAAGGGAAAAACTTGGGCAGTGTGGTAAAGTATAGTTTCATATTACATTGTTACTGGGTGATGTATCAAATAAACAATCTAATATGGAATTTACTGTTGAATATTTTCTAATATCGTTTTGTATTTGTATTTTTGCTGTGACAGTTATTACTTTGGCTGTGAATTAAGAAATGTATCAATTACTGATTATGACATCTAATATTAGTTATCTTTTCCCCTTCACTTTCTAGCACATGGTAAAGGAAATAGAATTACATCTCAGTGGTTCTATTCAAGAAGAGCATGATTCACTTGTTCAGTTTTTACAATATCCAATGAATTCCATAGACAATTTCTCATATGACTCATTTATAGCATCGTAAGTACTTGTTATTTGTTTATTTTCTGTTTATGTAGAGAATTATTATTTATTATTTTGGGTATTCGGTCTAGCTGTTCTTGATAGTAGCAGTTACACTTTAAGTGACATTAGTGGTTAGAATTATTGTAAAATTTTCAGTTTTTCGAAGTTTTGACATGATACATCAGTTGTATGTACAACCGAGTAAACCACACAGATTTAAAGTTACTACACATTAGTGAATAAGAGACAAAATTATGACCTCCGACAAAGGTACTCTTAAACACCACTGAAGTTCTCGATACCCGTTGTCATGAAGTTTATCCTCATTTGTTTTAATTGTAGAGACACTGATCATCGTCTAAAAGGTTGTAGAGTGCATTTATCAGCTTTGAGGTCACCGATATAAGAACCTGTGAAATACACTTCTTTGTAATCCTAGCGAATATATTTATTTTTGATTACTTTAGTAATTTAGTGTTTTTAAACTTCGGCATTTATTATTCATTGTATTGTCACCTGCCTTGATGGGATCATCAGCAATAAACTACTGTCATTGCCATCCAGAGATGCAAATCTTCTTTATTGTCCAGATCATTTTTCCAATGCATGAAATTTTTTTGCAAAGTCTGTGAGTTATTTGGTTAACCTCCTTATGTCATTTGTGTAGATGTTTGACAAATAATATTATTACAGGACTAGGGTAGTCTTTAATTTACATCAAACGAATAGGCACAAATAACTGATGTTTTGAATTTTCTATGACAGTTTTTACTAGGTGTAGTTTCAAGGTACAGATTCGAAATATTTATACTTTGGCTTCCATATTACGCAACTCTTGAGTAGTCAATATATTACCATCTGATGAAAGAATCTGATCTCGAGGTTAAAGAGATTCATCGGAAATAAATATTTAAATAAAGCCTGTATTTAAGAATTTAAGCATGGTAATCAGTAGCAAGATATATCCTCAAGCTTGAAGAGGTAAGACTTTGATGACTACTTTCGTGTTCTTTGGGCTTTGCAGTTTGTTTTTGCATGTTTCATCAACAGGCTAAGCGACTTTATCGGCATTAACTCTATAAAGGAGATTTCCTTTAAAATTGTAACTGCGGCATGTTTATGCAAGATAACATAAGACCTAGGGTTGAGGCATTCTCATAGTTAACTTTTAACGTTTAAAATTAACTACAACTCAGCCTGATTCTATGTTACTTCTCACATGGGATAAAATGATGCTTTTTTGGCTCTTTTTCTCAAGTATGCCATCAAGCCTCATATGGTGATATTTTGGCGTAGAAATAAATCTGTTTATGTGTAAGGCTGCATTACCGCAATTCAACATGAGTAGATGTTCGACAAATTTCTACTATATTCCAGCTATGAAGTAATGTTTCAGATATAGATGCTCTTAGTAAAACGTAAGAACTTATCAGCATTAAATGGTTTCGCTCTTGGGGTGCATCATTTTTTTCCAGCGGAAATATAGATCCAAGCACTCGAATATCCTTAGTCTTCGGACACCTTTTCTACTTTTATTTAAAAACTGCATAATTAGAAACACAAATTTTTTGTGTGTGCTAGCTGTCAGCTGCCATTTAAATCTCTTTTATCCGTAAATCTTATTTAGTCATTTATTCTCTGTAAAACTGTAGTATTTACAGATAAAAAAGAACATATTATCGTGTTTGTTTAGTTAAAACTTGAAAAAGCTTATGCGATAGATACCTTGGAAAATGGAGAAAAGAACTTGATAAGAGAAAATGTGTCTTTATAGTAAACACATTTATACCAATTTCTAAATGTACATTAACTAAGTGTGCGGAATATAATACATAGAATGATGCTAAGAACTGATAGCACAGTGACCAAAGCTTAGGGAACACTAATATTAGAAAAATGAAGTGCAGTAGCACCTCATCCTTTTCATCATAAAGATACTATCTCAATACCAGACAATATTGTTATCAAAAAATGGTTCAGCTTTAGCAAATACAAAAAATATACATGTTCAAAAATATTTTGATAATTTTGCATCAGCTAGCTTGACCGATTCATAGTATGAAAGTGGTACATATCAACAGATTTTTGTGTTACATGCTAGAAGAGAAAATTCCAAAGAAAACCAAATTGTAAAAAGTGACAAGTTAAATGGAAATGAAGTCATGCTCATTTTAAGAGATGATAAGAAGAAAAGGTTATCTGTTCATCGGTTCAGTCGGTGCAAAATTGTAAAATCTAATGAAAATGTACCTCATGTTCTCTAATTGTATTCTAGTGTTATCCAATGATATGTTATGATATATATATATATATATATATATATATATATATATATATGTATATCCAGTGTGATGTTAACTGATGTACATGTACGTGTATACATATTTACTTGAAGCTTAACTAAACTCGTTCTTTACTTTGTTCATCATTATTTCCAGTTTGGTACAGCACGCATTTGATCTCATAAAATTGGGCTCTGAGGATCAGTTTGTTCGGCTTCTTCAAGTTTTCAACTCTTTATCTAAAGCGTCCATGGAAAAAGTAATTCACTTAAGTTTCCTTTCTTTGTGTCTCCTGTGTTTTTTATTTCTTAAACATAACACTGATTTATTTTCCAAGATTTGCTATTTGAAATAACGAAGACCTCTACACCAATAGCTGTAGACTGTTTTGAGTGTTTGTATTTATCCAAGTAGGGGAAATATCTGTTTTACCAATCATTTATGCGGCGAAGTATTGTTCAAGGAATTACTTGATTTATCGTTCATTAGTTGAAGCCTTTGCAGATAGTTATTAAGTTATCCGTTAAAGGAATACATTCAAAACTTAAATTTAGCTACTTTAACACACTTTGCAATTCTTGAATAAATACAAGTCATGTATAACAGAATTTTCATGCGTCTATCAGGCAACTTAATAATCTTGAAGGCCTAAGTAGTTTGCAGATCAAAAATGTTGTTTGTCCAATGTTTTTGACTTTATCTAGTCATGAGACGCGTAGGTCATCAAGACGTCGAAAAACTGGCCTAAAAGTTGTAGCTGTATTACCATGCTGACCGAGGTTACTAAAGTTCTTAGAAATAACAGTCACCTGCAATATTATACTTTGTAGACAACATTACTCGTGAGAAAAACGTGATGTCACAGTTTTTTTATCATTACACCAAGTTTCGTTGAAGCCAGTTAGCAGATGTTCAACAACTTATGCTGTAATCATGTGTTCTAGTGAAATGCATGAATGAATAAGCTAAAAGTAAAACTTTTCTGATACATTTTACCAGAAAAATACTTGGACTAGGTTAATATACACAGGTAAGAAGCTTGTGTTACGATTTTCTAGACCGCAGTTAAAGAATAAGCAGTTTCACAGGCGGTTTGCTCATGTTCCATCTTATTTAAAGAAATGTGAGTTATGTTTTCAAATTAAATGGTTTCTGAAGCTCTAACATGTGAAATCATTCGTCCAGTCTCAGTGCAGTTTATTTTCACTAACCTGTTGTTCAACTGAAAAGATGCCAATTTAGGTTAATTTATCAGTGACTTTCAATCTTTTAACAATTTCATAGGTATTTTATTCTTCATTTTAACAGAATATCGGTACAATATAAAAACAAGGAAGATGCTACCATTCTGTCGTGTGAAATTCATCTATTTTACGAAAGCTAAGGAAAATCATTCAGAAAAACAGTTTTTATTACGTCATTTTGAGTTATATATAGGAATTATTGAACAAAGCTTACTGGTGCAAATAGTTCTAAGCTGTTAGGATATATTCTCTGACTTTTGAAGTCCTCACTTCTTTCTTTTACCTGCGAATATAGAGCGAACCACTAAAGCGTTGTATCAGCCATTAATTATTGCAGCTCGTCAAAAATATTTTCGTTACAGTTTTTTTGAGTTTCAGTTCTTCATGATTATTCTTAATACAACCATATTTTCAAAATCTCTTACTTATATATTTCCACTGTCCAAATAATTGTTAACTTTGACCTCTCATTTCAATCCACTATCTCACCTTGGAGTTTCTTTTGAATCCATCTCGTCAAATGAGTAAGATTCTACAACCAAGGAAAGGATCCTAACTGACGATAGATAATTCAACGAAGAAAACTTTCCCTTTGTCCAATCATTTTCACAAGCTGTACAATGAGAAATCATGTCCATCAGCGGCTAGGAGGCTTTCACAACGTCATCAAAAGTTTGCATTCGACTGTACTAATAAAATGTTTATAGAACCAAAAGGTGATCAAGTAACTATTTGGAAAGTAATATAAGAATATTAAAAATTCCCATTGTCAAAAGTAGAGGAATCAGACAATCAATATTGTTTTCACTGAGATCTCATCAAGCTTTACTCTAACATACATTCATTTTCTCATACATAAAACATAAAATCAATCATAGTGGATTCTTTAGGTTGCGGTAACAAGGAAATGAAATATGCAAACAATAATACAGTGAAAGATGTTATAGGCAGGTTATGATAAAAGTAAATTAAGAATTCAGATATACCACCTATGTACCCACCTACCAAGTTTCAACGTATGAATTATCAAAGCTTTCAAGCCCGCACTCCCTTCAACAAGTTTGGTTTTACTTTATGAATGAGTTCAAAAGAAGATCTTGGTAAAGTAGGACAGGGGTGTGCTTACATCGAACAAGCTTGAACGGCCTATGTAACCAGCTTAACAGGAGCAGGTGGGTCGGACTAGACATTTTCTAGGTTGTAAAACCCATTATTCGATGAAGTAGTAATAATGTTTGGAGACTGTGAAGATGTTGTTCACGCAGAGTCATATCATCATATATAATTCAGTTTGTCATACCAAGTAGCTTTCTCAGGGAATTAATTTTATATTGGCGAAAGCCTCTGTAATACCAAGTATCTCATCCATTATGACGACATATATGTACATGTGCATATTCATTAACTGAGAGTCATTCTTTGAAAATATACTCACTCATTTTTTAGCCTATGTTACTGAAGCATCATTGTATACCACCTTGATACTCTTTATAATAGAAAAATGTAAATTATCAAGCACATGCATCTAAGCAGTAGTCTATAGAGTCATGACTAAAATACATATGACTTGATTTCACTCGATTGTTCCTAATCGGCTTATTGCTTCATATTTTTCTGATTAAAAACAGCTCGTTTTCGCAGTGAAACTAGTAACGTAGTGATTAGTAGAAGAAAACTTCTGGCCACTCTGAGGTTTATTTATGTAGACGGCTTAATATCTATTCACCGTGGTTTGAATTCTTGTTTTATATTTGGGATTTTTTTTCAAAACTTATGTTTGATTTGATCCAGTATATGCATTGCTTTCCAATGGTTATCCATATTTTTTTACAATGCATTGTTTCACTTTTACCCAGTTACTTGGCTGAAATAAAGTACTTTCGTTTTTTAAACTAGCCTATGGTATCTGAAACTGGCCAGAATACAGCACACTATATTCTTTGTTCAAATGGAATTTGTGATTTGATTGTAAGGTGTATAGAAAATCCAAGTACCTCTGAAACTGTATTTATAATGGCGATCGAATTGGCGATAAATTTATTGAAGTATGGAAATAAGCATGTACAAGTAGGTGCTTACATATGGAGATGATTGAATAATTGCATTTTGTCATGAAAAGTTTCGTGTTTTGTGATTTCTGATAAAAATACGCTCTGAACTGACATTTTTACCGTCTTGTCGTAACAAATCGTCTTTGCAGGATATGCCACAAATTATCTTAACCATATTTATCCCCCTCGAAGGCTTTCATATTTATAAACAAACATTTACTTTGATTGGAAATTTAGTGTCGCTATGCGTTATCTAATTCTTGTAATGACAAGAAGCGACTAACAGACTTCTATAGCCGAACAACTCGTCAGTATTCAGTCATGGATTTTATTTCTTTCTTTCCACCGGTTTTTCCTTAATCTGAGTGTTTTTAATTTTATTAAAGTCATTTCAGTATTTCAAAGTAGTGTTTATCGCACACCGACGTCACTTTTGGAACCACTGGTCAGTCGTTTCAACCTATTATAGGACTTACCAAGAGTATGCACCCATGGCCGTGCTAGTGGTTGAATTCAGGACTATCAGGTTACACGTTGAGTGTTCCGCTATTAAATTGAGATGCAGTAGTCTACATTTTCTTACTTCTGTCAGTTTTCGTTATATTGCGAGCATCTTCCAACACCAGCAGCGAGTAACTGTCCTCACTTTTGTTCAGTATTCCTTCTAATGAACAAACTTCTTCCAGAGGTCGAACTACAATATTATGATGACGAAAAATTGTATATATATCGGCAAAATCTCTCTGCTGATTGCCAATACTTTTGCTTTACCAGAATACGCTCACATGTAGCGTGGCCGAAAAATAAAGAATTGTCATTTAGATATGGTTTCATTTATTTGCGGATGTCTGCCTGGCATCTGCGAGTTCAAGACCAAATACATAGCATAGCTATTCCCCATTCTTACTGTACAACCGTGATAAACAGTGGCTGAAGGTAAAAACAGTGTGGCTTGGATGTGTTTAGCCATAAACTGAGCGATGTTGAGAAAAGTCGTTCAACTGCAGAAATAAAATGAAACTTGACAAAACGTTCTGAACCTCCACTAACTGTGGTTACGCGGTGTTTTGCACATGCCAGTGTAATATCCAACCAGCAGCAGGACTCGGGCGAATTCAGTGGACTCAGTGAATTCTTACTTAACAGTCAAAGGAGGTAGTTTATCATAACACACGAAAATAATTTTTTTAGGCATTGGGATCAAATTTAACCTAACAGAAGTGCTTAAGTTGAGCACTAGACAGATGATTTATAAATGTAATAAACTTCTTAAAGTTCTGGATGGATTTTAGATGGATTTTAGAGCATCACAGTTGTATGAGCGTTAGACATATTATAAGGAAAAGGGTGTTGGGAAACGATAGTGACATATTCATCTGAGTCATTTCCTTACTGTAACTATTTTGTTTAAAAATATACTTGAACAGTCATTCTTTTGGTCTCACCTTCAATCACAGGAATGCTTTTACAGTATTCTTTCAAAGCCTAAAATTCATGAAGACTTCTTCAATGTTATATTCCAAAGAATTCATAATGCGTACAGTCAAGCGGAAAATTTAACAAAGAATAGATCATCTGTCGAGGAAGACGTAATGACTCTCACAAACTACCCAGGTTAGTTTTTTCGTTTCGTTTAATTTTCTTGTCTATAAAAGTGAATCTATAGAATAATCAAAATCCTATCGTCGTAAATAATTCATTTGCATATTATCTTTCCACTGGAGTTTACTTGTAGATTACAAACGTGAGTTGCTCATCAAAATATCAACACTGTTATCAGAAGTTTAACTTTCAATGCAGACCGAAATTTATAGATAAAAATTTGTGCTATGAGTATTGACCTAAATTATCCAGCATCCTGATATATCATCTTAAGCATGCAAAATACTCCTAAGCCTTTCATATGGTGATTGGCTGTATGATCCAAATTTAGAGTGTGACACAATCACTTCTAACTAGCATGTGCTAAAACCGCGTTATGGAAGTTTGAAGTACATTAGATTTTCAAAATGGCTATTTCTAATACTATAAACATTCAAACCATAATTTTTGCAAATATCTTGGAAAAAGTTGGGCATCGTTTCTGATTTAATCATTATAAAAGTATACTTCTGGACAATTCCGTATTGAGAAAGTTAAAACAAGATATTTACAGACGATTCGCTGAGTAATCCGCGGCTTCTTCAGCAGGATATAAGGATTTTTATTACATTAAGAACTGTAGTTGCTGAGAAGATAAAGAGCAAATAGGTCGACAAAATTAAATATCTGAAATTTCAAGCCGGTTATGTTAGAGAAAGTTGTATACTCTTAAAAACTAGAGTGTATGAACACAAGTTACGTTCAAAGCATCCACCGACGAACCAAGATGAGTTGAAAAGTCTAGAAAAGTGATAAGCAATCAGTACGCATGCAATCGAATGTAGACATATGATTGACTTTGAGATTGCAGACATATTAAGAAAAGGTTTCTGTTCGCAAAAAGAAAGATTACCTTCCGAAGCCCTGTATATTTTGACAACATCAAAGGGTATAAACTGATGAGAAGAAACAGACTTGTCACCTGTTTGACAAAAATGATTCCGACAATACCATTAATGATGAACTTTTCAATTAAAGCTTAAATAACAATAACAATCATTGACAGTTCATAAATAAAAATACAAAAAACAACTTGTATTCTGCAAAATATTTAGACAAACACACACGTTTTGACTATCCTATCTTTTAGTTGACAAATTACGATAACAAGTGTGAACTTGTGTTGAGTGATCATAACTACTCAATCTGAATACTAAACCACTTAATCAATGACCAATATACACTAAATATTCGATGTACTGTTTGACTATTTTTTCTGATTTTAATAAAAAAGCTGAATATTCTTCTGGGAAAGTAAAATGTTTATAAAAATCTCCTCTCGATTTTGTAAGCGCGGGGAGGTTGTATTAAAATATATCCTCATATTTGTTGTCGATAGATTTGGTTGAGCACAAAGAAACACAGGAGTGAATGAACAAAAATTTAAGAAATACAACTAAGATTCATAATCTCGGGGAAATTAGGGTTTAATTGTAAACGGATACGAAATTATGTCGCTTAAATCAAATGGATGGACATAAATTACTACAGTTTATTAGTTGTCTATGATTTGTGTCCGTTTACAGTAAAGCTCTAATCTTCATAACTCTGTTTCGAGTTAGGGTTTTACGTGGGGCATGAGTATTTTGAAGAGTCATTAAAATACCATATCGTGATTTTGCGTATTCCAGACAGTAAACAAATGCTCATTCATAAATCATCATCAGTTAAATGGTAGGAATAGGTTTAGCTGTTAATATTTCAAAATGATCAGTGACGGTTAAAAACTAATCACGAGAGTAGAAACGCACTTCTCATATATCTTCTAATATAAACTAGGCAACGTATAACTCTATTACTATTGTTTTCCTTCTCAATAAACTATTTCGTATTTGTCTCAATAATTTACCGTGACCTATGAATTCCTCTTTCTCTGCTGGTACAAATTATGAGAACGTGAATCAACGCATTTTTGAATATGGTTCTACCCTTATGTTACTAATATTATCATTCATGTTCTTTAAAGCGTTACTAGATATGTAGTTACTGACCGAGGTATTTCATGCCGAAAAAATTCATTGTCTTTTAGCACACGAATATAAGTTTATACATGGGACTGGTTGACATTTCAAATAAATTGAATTGCATATCGTTTCGGATGTATTTCATAAATACTATTATTTAGTCTCTAATATACAAATATATCAAGAGGTAATTAATTGCAATGAATATGGATTCACTTGGTGTCCCATGAATACAAACTGTCTACAGAGCTGTCCTCATCAGAAAACGGTATCGATTGGTGAACCACTGAACATCTAGAGAAAGTTAACAACTGTTTCTTCTAGTTTGAGTCTCACCAGCGGTCGATATTAACAGTTTCCTGAGGGATTCAGCCAAGGACTGTCACTTTTTAAGGCCTTCAAGTTGTCATTTAGCTACTGGGTTGTAATTAGGGGTTCTCAAACTGGGTTTCTAAAACAAACATGTAGATACACCGCTTGTTAGCTCCGTACAAATCAAACAAAATATTTGTCCGTTGTTTAAATCTTCAATGTCTAGTTAGTGTAATTCGCAGATTCAAATGAATAGTACTGATCAATCACGTTGTCCAGCAGTATATCCGAATAATCTGATTTGTTTGTTTTAGCATCTAAACACTTGACAAATGAAAATTTTTCTTTCAGAAGCATTGAAACTGACAACCTTTTGAAGCGTCAGGAAGCCACGTATTCACTTTAAGAATCAGAATATTTTGAAATTCGCACACAGCTCCATGTATTTATCGATCTATTTATTTATTTATTTAGTCCCGTTACTCAATATTTAAAACCTTAAGAAGGTAATTTTATGAAGAGTTGACATTGCCTGAAAGGTCAACGAAAGTTGGTCACTCGTTGTATCTTAGACAAACGCTTCAAAATTATGAGGATGACCTGACTAAAGGAAATCGAAGGCAATGGTCTAGGTGATGAGTTGAGTTCAAAGTATTCATGAAGAAGAGCTGTCATGGAAGAAGCAAATACTCACTGCAGGCTTCTGAGATTTCGATAGTCCTTTAGCCACTATAAATTCAAGTTTTAAACTGTTAAATACTCTTTGCAGAACGTATAAAATGCCGTATTATTAACATATAATTAAGGAATAATTCAAGATTATTGACTATTAGTTACCAAATTCTTTCCAGGTTATACTCATCAGGTATCAATTGTAAAGAATGTTCCAGCAGTGAAGACTTTGAAGTTTTTGCAAACTCTGTGTAACCGGAGCAATTTAAAGCTACAAGTAACCTATAAATTATTAAAATTTGTTTACCTTCAGCAATGACATTTATTGATTGACAAATAATTTTACATGTTTTTCCTAATCTTATGTATTCTATTCGCCCGTCCACGTTTAGGTGTTACTATAGTGATCACACATTTCCGGCATTTATTATGTTATAAACTCGATTCGGGCATTCATCTTTCAGATTTTTTGCAGTTCACTTGGTATGTCATGCATTTTGTTATAAAAATCGATGCAGTATGGCTTTCTTTGGAGGTAATGAATGTAACAAATGTCCATTAAAAATGCTTTTCCTACCCTACGCTAGAAACCTTCATCTTTATGAGACGATTATTATCTGTTTGAATGTAGCAATCAATGACTTTTACGCTTAGTTCCATCCTGAGTATTATTACTCAGTAATGTTTCTGGAAACTTTTATAACAGCCCATATACTTGAGGCAGTAGCCCAAAGAAAGTGTACATAAAGTCAAGAAGCAATAAAACTGAAAAAGTGAAGGTTGAGACTTAGGAACATTAATTTTATTTGTCAACATAGATAAAAAGTAATTGAAGAGAGATTCTGATTTTCTTTCATAAATAATTTTGCTTTCTGTTTTCATGGGATTACTTTGAAGTTGATCAAGTATGCTATTCTAATTGAGATACAAAATTAATAGGGTTATCATTGGAAAACATTTTTCATAAAGCTAGATGTTTTATTGCTTCCTAGTGAAAAACATCAGAGAAACAAAGACATCGTTATTGAATCGCTGTAATTCACTTCGAGTGCTCTCGTTCTGATAAGAAATAACCTGAAGTATAACAAAGTTTGGGGAGTACTGGTTACTACTGTTAAAAGCGCATAGCGAAAATTTAGTAATGAACACAAAACCTTAAGGTTTCCCAATGAGCGACTTACTTGAAGAGTATTCATATCATATACCAGGAAAAAAGTAACATAATTTACCTCCCTATTTGAATCCACCACATTTGCTCTTACTGAAGCAACTGCTTAATAATGTAAGTATGCACAGCTGAAAGGTATGAAAAAAGATATCTTTGCTTATAGTTTTAGTCTGTCATCTCACAACAAGTAGTTAAAATTCTATTTGCTGATCCTCAGTATAAGAAGCCAGCTAAAATGATCATTTCTCATTCTCCAAATCGAAATTCACCATGGACTGAGATCAGTTGGAGAAACATTAGAAACCTTGGAGCACTGGATAGCTGTTTCGTCCCACTATGGGACTCTTAACTGGTGCACGCAGGCCAGGGATCGAACCCAGCAGCTTCAGGTTCCGTGGTCAGCAAGTTACCATTGAGCCACTGGGTCGAAATCTAGTGGTCCATATTTCCAGGGTCTATCAGTTCACGACATAGCGCGACCGCCACATAATGTCGTCGTAGAGTATTTGTCCTCAGGGCCACCAGGTTTTGTTTATTTATTTTATTAACATTGTAACCCTTATTTCAGGAGATATTACGTGTTCAACCGCACAATGTAACCACATTCAATCTGGTTGAAGAGATGAAATCATTATTTTTGAAGATGTGGGAAATGAATGATCACATTGTCATCACTTCGATTACTACTGGTAATAATGATAAAAGTAGCGATGACAATCCTCAGCTGTTTAACGCCACTTGTAAAAAGTTTGAAGAACAACGAAAAGTTAACCACATGACAAGGCTAAAACCACACAGCCCCATTGAAAAGAAAAAGGTGAAAAATATACCCAACTATACGAATACATATAAGAGATCAGTTCAAACCTTAATATCGAATAGAGCAAATGAAAATCAAGAAATTACACAAACTCAGAAGAACAGTAATAACAACAATAACAACAATGCCAACAACAGTGGCCCACTAAATGCATGTCAAGCTGAAATTATAATTCTCATTTTGACCTGTCTTACTGAATTTTGTCAAGGCCCTTGTGTCAACAATCAAAATGATATTGTGTTCGGAAGCCCCGATATTTTGTACAAGCTAGTGAATTTAATATTGGACACACCAGGATGGATTATAAACAATAATAAATTAAAGGATAATACGTGCTTACTAACTGATATTAATGTACGTTAATCTTCTACTTTTACTTTGATATTTTCTCAAGTTTTTGATTTTCGATTGTAACTCAGTAGGTTAGACAAGAAGCTCTGACTACTGAGTCACAAATTCTCGATAAATCTACTCATGTCAGTCTGAAGGTCAAAGACAGTATTGTTGACCTCTTAACTTATTTTGATTCACAGATTAAGACATAAAAACACTTTTCAGTAGCATATTTCTATGGTTCATGGTAAAAGTAACAAGGACTCCGCATACCTTTGGATCTTGACTGGTTGATTTACAATGGAAACCCTATTAACACCAGAGTTGTTTCGTTGAAAATCCACTCAGATATGACATATGTCAAAGTGAAACATGCAATTTGTAAATAACTTCCTAAATGATCATCCTATTTATGTTAATGGGGTCTATAGTGTTTTCGTAGAAAATCATCGCTCTGCGATCAAAAGTTGTGATGCTTGACAAAAAAAACTTATAAACTGAAGAAATATTCTGATAAAAGACATTAGGAAACAAATCTGCCTTATGGAATCGACACATTTAGTAATTCTATTAGTGATATCGGATAAATCAAGGTAGGGTCGGCTAAAAAGGTGTACCAAATGAAGTGTACAAACCTAGAAAAGAATACAATTATAGAGTGGAGGGCAGTTGAACGATTCTAAAATAATGGAAAAAATGAGATGATGGGGTAAATAATTTGTTTCGAAAAATGCTCAAGATTTGGAAATGGATATAAAGATAATACGTCTTCACTGCTTTGAGTGATTTCAAAACATTTTCCTGAAAGTCTTCGGTAGAATATTAACTCCTTTTTCGTTGATTTTCTTCAGCGTTACAACTTTGGTCAACGCATAAATTTAAAAGGGTCTATATCGACTCATCTAGTTATCAAAATAAAAAGGGCAGACGATACTATAAGATAAAAAAATGTGTTACCACTAGTCATCTCACTTTATGACTGTACACGAAGCTGATACTGATATACATAAACTGTACCACTACCTAGAAATGTTTTTGAGTGTTGAAGAAGGAATTCATGCAGATATGACAAAGAACTAGGAGAGACAATGTATTATCCTGACCAGTGAAATATCGTGTGACTTAAGAGACAATTAAAAGCAACATTATTAAGTGAGAATTAGGTTTGTGAAAGTGTTGACGTAATGACTGAACACAAAATGTTCTGATAAACATAAGAAGCCATGTTTTGTATTTTCAAATTATTACAATTTATAACCTATTTTTCAGGAAATCTTTAGGGAATGTTATGAATGAATTCATGTTTTAAATATTATTTTCCTGTATGTTGAAACTTATTCTTACCGATTACGTAAGTATGTTTCAGTGACGTTTATACAGTTTTAAAAAATAGATGTGGTAGATTTGTGTCCTAGTATAACACATTGGTAACCATCAGTGTATAGACTAAATAATGACGCAATACGTCAAAAGTGGTTTATTTAGTGCTGTACGAAAGCATTCGTCTATATGATAGCAAGCAACGCACTCTGGATAAATGTTTACTGAAATTTTATCGTTTAACTTTCCAGTTATCATCAGCGTAACAAAACGTAAGGCGATTCACACTTCAAAACAAAGCAGTAAAAGTTATGATTGTATAAGTGTGAATAAGGAGTCCAAGGGAGTTTGATTTATGTAGTAGGTTGACATGCTATATAAACATGTTGTTCAAATGCATGTGACAAGTTGTTTCATTCACTGAAGTTTGCACTGAGAAGCTTATTTCTAGCTGCATGATGATGCTACAAGCCAGGTGATTCACAAGGGAAAGCTCAGCTAAGTGATGCCTTTGAAGTGAAATGCAGACAGGAGTAAGACAAGGTCGCCACCTACTATCACCAATGATCTTCTGATTGTGGTCGACAGAATTGGGTCATTCAACAAACTGTGAGGAGCGAGAGGATGGGCATACTCTGGACCGATGAAGAGAGCCTAGATTTGGATTTCGCCGATGATTTGTGTCTAATGTCGAACAAGTTTGAAGATCTACAGGCAAAAGCCAACAGGTTGATAGAAGAGGTGAGGCAGGGAAGATGGGAATTCAAATGAAAAGACAAAGGTGATGAAGATACCCAACCAAGCAAAACAACAACAAACACCAACCACCATCAACGAGAGAAACCTGAATGAAGCAGTCTCTTTCACCTACCTAGGCAGCATCGTTTCAACCACAGGTGGCACATATGAAGATGTCAAAGACAGGATCGGAAAGACAGCAAGACAGGCCTTCATTCATCAATCTGAAATTAATGTGGAGATCTACTGCAGTCAGCATAAAGTGTGAACAACATCCGGATTTTCAATACTAATATCAGTCAAGTCAGTGCTTACAAAAAATACTTCTAACAAACTACAGACATTTATCAGCAGCTGCCTACGCTCAATGCTGAAGACAATATGGCCAGAAAGAATAATCAACAAAGAACTCTGACATGGCAGCGAACCAACCTAGAACTCACCACGCAACAAATATGCAGAAGAAAGTGGAGATGGATTGGATTGGGCACACACTGAGAATATCGTTTGGGGATGTCAAGCGTCAGGCTAGGCCATCGAGTAGAACCCGAATGGGAAACGACTAGTTGGGCGTCCGAGGTGAGGGTGACATAGGGGAGATCATGTGAGGGGGAAATGAAAGCCTGTGGGAAGTGGTAGTACCAGGTTGAAAAGACTGCAGAGATGAGAGTCCAATGATGACGTGTTACTGAAGCCTTATGTTCCACTGGGAACCCAAGAGGCGAGTAATTATAATTATATTCATATGTGTATAAATTGTACACTCTGTGGCTGGTGCTTGAATAATCGCTGACAGACCAGGTTGCTGATTGTGGTTGTGGAATATGGGCGGTTCACCTTTATTAGGTTAGGTGTTAAATTTTCATGAGGGTAGAAAGATAGAATTCCGGAAACATAACGAGTGTATATGTACGCGATATTTTTATACCTGTTATATATTGTAAGCAATTTTATTTATTACGATGATACACTCATGTACTTCAACATTTGCTTCTGTAGGTAACCAAGTTTCCCTTTCTGAACTTTTTCTTTAGTTCTCATCGATAAAATTACTACTAGCAGTGCTGGAAGGTCGCATTGAGGATAGTGTCTACCAGCGACTCTTAGATCTTTGGCCAATCGATAGTTTAGTAAGTTCATAAAATTACAACCTTTACTGCTCTCTCTTTGTCAGATTTTACTCGAGGATACATGTGGTTTGTATTAGTTGCATTTAACATTTTCTGATAGACAAACAAAGGCATAATGGTCAGAAAACCAACTGACAGAATTTATACTAGCTCTTTGTATGAGATTTAAGCTCTCCTAAGAAGAAGAAAGTTGAAAGTTAATATCCTTTCCATAGAATAAAGGCTTTGTCCTCTACCTTTATATTTATTAATTTTCTTTTCGTATAATTTTGCAGCCAGCTTATTTATCAGTATTCCTGTTGATTCTAAACAGTGTAATACGCCTTTTCAATTTATTGTTGTGTTAAATACCTTAATTAACTCCCAAAAAGACTAACAGATTTTGACAGATGTGGTCATGCCTACTGTCTTTTTAGGTTTGCTCACATCCTATGGATACTTCATGTGTTTTGTCAGTGTTTTACGACCGATAGTTTGGTATAAGAGACATATTCATGCAGTGGGTGTAGTCATTCAGCTAATTCGGACTCACGATGTTCGGTAGACTATCCTTAAAAATCTAAATAACCTCTACATGAACCATGGTTAACCAATGCAAAAAGTGACACCAATCCATTTCATTCACATTCCCCTTAAACTTCTGTTTGCAAACGGTGAAATCGCTAATTTGACGCAGAGTTTCAGTTAGTGAAATGTAGTCAACTAAATAAATTTGAAACTAGTAATAACTGAGGTGGCTGTAAGAAGTCCTGAATATCTCAAACTACTACGCAGTTGCAATAGTCCATCATGTTATAAACTGTTGATTTGACTCATGTTTAACCTCTCTTTTCATCTTCTTCGTTAGTTTCTGATTTGGTATAGTTAGATGAAATGTAAGTGGACGGTGTTGGTACTGAAAGTTTACGTCATCGGTGATCGTGAGGTATTTTTTGGTGAGCTTCGCTAACTGTAAGATAAACTGATGTGCAAAAATGACTTATTTTAATACATCTTTATATTCCTGTATCACCTCCTGCTCATCGTTGTCTCTTTACCCCTTCAATTTCTTAACAATTACTTCAATTATTCTTCGATATACCTCATAATTTATTACGTATAAGTAGGTTTTTTCAAGGATAAAATTAAGTTAACTATTAAAGTATAAAACCTCCCCTATTTAACTGGTTCACTAGTTACTAGCCGATCCTAAACCCGGATAAACACGGAAGGTTGGGCGTACGACTTGCAACCCTACCCCAGAAAACCAATCTAACCGCAAAAGAAACTTCAAAGCACAAACAAAATATATAAAATAAAATTAAACTTATTCCTCACTGGAATCGGAGAGGAGAAATGACGTCAGTTGGCGAAAGCCTTCGGGAAGCCAATCGGCCGATGTGTCTTCACTCGATGAAAGCAAAAGTAAGAACGGGAACATGGAATGTCCAGACCATGTATAGACTTAGCAAGACTACCAAAATTGCAAAAGAGATGAGAAGGTATGGCAAAGAAGTGCTTGGAATCTGCTAAAGTAGATGAAATGTAAGTAGACTTCCCCAACTATAAACTTGAGAGTCAATAATCCATTCCTGTATTATCACCCAGACAATAACCACGAGCACACTGAGTTTTCGAGTGGCTATCATGAAATCCCCAACAGCTTCGAAGGCTTTCATGCAGTGGGAACTACTCTCCTCCTCCAGGATCATGACAGCAAGATGGATTCAACTCAAAAGGAAGGAAAGTCACAATCATTCAATGCTACGCTACGCACTTACAAATAATTCAAATCAAGTGAAGAAGGAGGAATTCTACAGACAACTCTAATTAGTAATCGACAATAACTCACCTCAGATGATGACATCAAAACTCTTATGGGTGACATGAATGCCAAACTGGGAGCAGACAACACAGGAAGAAAACTCATCAGGGATCGAGAAGCACTCGGTGAAATGAATGAGAATGGAGAACTGTTTGTAGACTTCTGCTCATTTGATGACTTTGTAATTGAAGGCAGTGTGTACAAACACAAAGATATTCTTTAAGTGATATGGATCTTACCAGATGGACATACTTAAAATCAGATCGACTTCATCTCAATTTGAAGAAAGTGAAGATGCAGACGCAGCCAACCTACTGGATACAAGATCAGATCAAGAAGGTTCACATCACTCACACCACTATCTAGTGCAAGGAACCCACCTTCCAAATCAAGTTGAAAGCATTCACAGAAGTTGGTGGTAGACCACAGTTCAAGTTGAACACCCACCGAGAACAGAAACTGAACTGAAGGACGAAACTACAAAGAAAATCTTCACGTCAGTCAGTCATCAGGATGAAATGGGAGATATTGAGCAGCATCCTTAAAGGATCGGGTGTGGAAGAACACTGGAACTCTTCGAAAGCTATGTGGAAAGAAACATGCATAACCGTATTAGGAAGGAAGAGGAAACAAGACAAGGAATGGGTCTCGATGGATAAATGGGAGCTGATAGAGGAGGGAGGGGGGATGGTAAAGCAGATGAACCAGTGCAAGGGTGCACAACGAAAAGAAAAACCGAGTACAACGTATACAACACTAAGCTGGACAAAGAAGTGAAGAAGATTGGCGCCAAGACAAAAGACACTTCCACGACACATTTACAAGTGAAGCAGAACAGGCTGCAGGTAGGAGAGACAGAGACCTGACAACGTTATATCAAATAACCAGGTTACTATCTGGAAAGAAAGAGATCAACGCAGAAGAAACCAATGAAAGATAGTGAAGGAAGGCTAGTTAGCCAAACGGGGAACCAGAGGACAAGGAAACAGAGGGCTGATCACCTCAAAAAGCTCTTGAATCGACCATCACCTACAACTCGTTCAGAAATATCCCTAGCAGCCCAGCCACAGAATTACCAGTTAACACAAGCCCTGCGAAAAAAATCGAAAGTTAAGTTCTGAACGCCAAAAAGTTGCTGAAGTGCGGAAAGCGGCAGGACTAGATGGAATTCCTCCAGAAGCACTGAAAACAGACGCAGAGACAACAACGGACATGCTCACATCACTACTGTAGGAGGTTTGCAAGGAGGGAGTGAAAATGTACTTGCCCATTGATTGGAAGAAGGGCTCCATTGTCAGACTTCCAAAGAAGGGAGACATATGCCTTTGTAAAAACTGGCGCGGAGTCATGCTCCAGTCCACCCAAAGCAAGCAAAATATTAGGCCTCATCATCCTGGAGACACTAAAAGATGCGCTGCATTCAAAATTACAACCAGAACAGGCTGGCAGGCTTCAGGAAAAACAAATTATGTCCCGATCAAATTTCAAAGCAACGCTGCGCATAATCATAGAACAAAGTATAGAATGGCAGTCAACTGGATCTTTACTTTAACTTCATCGACTTTGAAAAGGACTTCGAAAGCGTCGATCGAGAAGTAATTTGGCAGCTGCCTCAATACTACGGAATACCACAAACAATAATCAACCTCGTTCAACTGCTATATGACGACGCCACATACCGAGTGACTCACAATGGAAAGCTCAGCTAAGTGATGCCTTTGAAGTGAAATGCAGACAGGAGTAAGACAAGGTCGCCACCTACTATCACCAATGATCTTCTGATTGTGGTCGACAGAATTGGGTCATTCAACAAACTGTGAGGAGCGAGAGGATGGGCATACTCTGGACCGATGAAGAGAGCCTAGATTTGGATTTCGCCGATGATTTGTGTCTAATGTCGAACAAGTTTGAAGATCTACAGGCAAAAGCCAACAGGTTGATAGAAGAGGTGAGGCAGGGAAGATGGGAATTCAAATGAAAAGACAAAGGTGATGAAGATACCCAACCAAGCAAAACAACAACAAACACCAACCACCATCAACGAGAGAAACCTGAATGAAGCAGTCTCTTTCACCTACCTAGGCAGCATCGTTTCAACCACAGGTGGCACATATGAAGATGTCAAAGACAGGATCGGAAAGACAGCAAGACAGGCCTTCATTCATCAATCTGAAATTAATGTGGAGATCTACTGCAGTCAGCATAAAGTGTGAACAACATCCGGATTTTCAATACTAATATCAGTCAAGTCAGTGCTTACAAAAAATACTTCTAACAAACTACAGACATTTATCAGCAGCTGCCTACGCTCAATGCTGAAGACAATATGGCCAGAAAGAATAATCAACAAAGAACTCTGACATGGCAGCGAACCAACCTAGAACTCACCACGCAACAAATATGCAGAAGAAAGTGGAGATGGATTGGATTGGGCACACACTGAGAATATCGTTTGGGGATGTCAAGCGTCAGGCTAGGCCATCGAGTAGAACCCGAATGGGAAACGACTAGTTGGGCGTCCGAGGTGAGGGTGACATAGGGGAGATCATGTGAGGGGGAAATGAAAGCCTGTGGGAAGTGGTAGTACCAGGTTGAAAAGACTGCAGAGATGAGAGTCCAATGATGACGTGTTACTGAAGCCTTATGTTCCACTGGGAACCCAAGAGGCGAGTAATTATAATTATATTCACCTGTATTTACTGTATAGTGTTATTAGAAAGGTCAATTAGAAACGATTTCCAAGTATTCCATTTATCTCAGAAAAATTGCATGATAGATTTAGACAAAATTGAACATTGTATTCCAACTCAGTGGCTGAATGGAAACCTGCTTGTCACGAAACCTAACTTCACTTAGCCTGGTATTTCTTAAGTTCCTTGTTGCACATTGCTGTGTAGTTCTTAACTTGGACAGTGACTGTCTAATACTCTTTTACTTTCAGTAGTTCTCCAAATGATGTCAGTCCGTGATGAATACAACCTCGTAATAAATAAGTTTCCACAAACCACCAACTAATGGTTTTAAATTATTTTCCCCAGCATAGAATTAAAAAAATATTGTGCTTCTCTTATATATTATACAGAAGTTTAGAAATGGCCTCTTAAGTATACTAATATGCCAGTTTATTATTATCGTACACATGAACCCGTAAAATTGAAATTAAACTAAATATAGGTTAGTTAATCTCATTTTATTGCTGATCTAAACTTGTTTCATAACTAAAAATACAATGTTTATCAATTGAAAGATGGATAGAAAGATCTTTGTGAATAGCATTACTAGAAGTAGGTCACTGTGACCCTTAATTAAAATTTACATATTATAGTGCAGAATATAAATCGAAACGTTATAAAATACACAGAGAGTTAGCCAAAATTATGTAAAAAATGCTTCATTGTAAAAACCAGAATTCATAAGGAAAGCAAAGTTTTCATGTACAAATACATACAAGACAGGTAACCATGAATACTCTTCTGAACCTCAGGCAGTAATGAAAGTTAACTTCGTTCTGACAATGATATCCAGAGACTGGTAGTTAAGTAAACTTTCAGAGGCGTATTTTCTGTTATAAATATGGAACTGTTATAGTTGCTGAGGTCGTCGGCTAACTGATTTAAGATTTGACTACTTGCATGTGTTTAACACAGTAAACTGACTTAATTTTAGTATAAATGTTTTTATATTATACCGTCGTTGATTGAACCGAATTGATGAGTCTCTGTTGGTTTATGGGCTCCTGTGCTGATGCCTGAATATTACCTGTGTTCTAATTATAGTAATAATTGGTCATCGACGGTATAATATAAAACGTTATACTAGAAACCATACCCATCGTACAAGAAGTGACTATCTTGGCTCGGTGGTGTAGTGGATAAGGCTCTGGCAGTTGAAGCGATCGCTCCCGTGTCAGAATCCCAGTGGGAAGAACAGCACTTACTGGGTAAGCAAGTACATCCAGCCAACGATTCCCAGATGAGACAAAGTGCGCATCCTGGATTCCACTGCTAGCACTACCCATCACAAGTTAATTTTATTCACTGATGCCTCGAAACAGATGATTTTTGCTATGGATTATGTTGTCATACCAGTGCGGTCCTTACGCAATGAAAATTCATTAAAAAAACGATGTTTTTGCAATCGCAGTTCATAAGTATTGTTGGCTTGTTATTCTTTTCAGATAAATACTGTCAGGAATTATTACATTTTGTCGCAGAATTCGGATGTTGCACGGGATCACTCAGGAGAATTAATTCATAAAAGTGGACATATGTTATTCATTTTGGCACAGCATGTAAGTGCTAATTATTCAGAATTCTTTCTTGATTTTCTCTAGATGAAATGTAGTAAATGTTCACAAGAAATAAAAGTAAGCATAAAGAAGCTGACATTAGCCGCTAAACTGAAGTGATTTTAGGGCTAGTATATCACCATGACCCAAAGAGCTACACTGGCTTGAACGCTAGCATACTCGAGGTCCTAATAAGCTAGAAAAGTCTGTTAGCTAGTGAGAAGAATAAAACAACCGGCTTTCATTGTCGTGTAAATTGCTATACTATGGTGGGGGACGGAGGACGAAATCGAACTGCTGGCTCGGTAGTGTATAACAGCAGTAAGGTATTTGTCTTGGATAGCCAAGATGCTGTACTTCTAATACGGAAGGGGAAAACAATAGGTTGACTCGGAAAATAGAAAACTCCTGTCCTCTCCTTGGTCTTCCAGTTGTGGCAGTATTGATTTTCTCTATCCAGCTTTAGAAAAACTAAATTTGAAAGAAATAACCCGCAAGAGGCTGTGTGACTGGCCTCAAGCAGATGTCCTGTGGGCTGTACGGTCACAAAAATCTTTTTCTCTTTCAGGTAGCCTAGGAAGAGACAAAGTTGCACGCTGTATATTATGCTGAATAGTCTTTCTGTGATGAAGTATTTGATAAAAATATGTAATCCAAGTTGATCCTACGCCTTGATTGTGAAAATTCTACTTTCTGCCTTTTACACGGAATACTGGGTTCTTGTATGAATGTTTTCAGTTGAGATTCTCACTTGTGTATGTGATTAGGTATTCATATTTGATCTCCACTGCTCATATATTCATATACCAACAAGAAAAGAACATGATGACAACCAGAATGTTATATGTTTCACAAAATCTTGAACTAGATGATAATGGATGCATACATTCCCCGGCAAAACATATACTCCAGTTCATTATAATTAGTCAAACACCATATCCAAATTAAGGATGACTATCATAGGTTAAGACGTCTATGAGTTCAGAAATCACACAAGCTTGCTTAAAAAGTTTTCTTATAAAAAAATATGAAGACGTTGACCAAATACGGCAGGTGAATTTGAGGATTTATTTATAGATAGAGTGATTCTTAAGGTAATTCCAGTAACTGTTGAAGTAAATAATTAGGTTTACTTTATTCTAAGAGAAAACTATCTGCCTAACTGAAATAAAGATGCATAATAATAGTAACGGTTACTTTATTCCAGACACTATTTTTTAAAACAGTATGAAATTTTCAGTATCATGACTAAAAATTTACTCCTTGTGCATTATTTTTAATTTAAATGACCGTCGCAGTAGAATAATGTTAAAAACAGCAGTATTAAAAGCAATACTACACAACGACTAAATGTTTTCAGGTTGTCGTCTAGTTTATGGGTATGTTACTGCATAGGGGGACAAGTGGAAAAGCACCCGTAGGTTTGGTGGTAGATTATTCAACTAGCATAAAATTTTGCAGTTCCTGTTAACCACCCTTGTAATATTTATGTGATGAACAGCTGCAAACTCAAGAGTCCACTGCCATCTACCGTGATATGTTTTGGCGGCTTTGTTTTATACCAGCGTGACGATAAGTTGGAGACATTTTGAAGAGGTGCGAGAGTACATTGTACGATAACTTGACATTTGAGTAAATAAAACAAGTACAATAGGAGGAATTCAATGTAATGTATGTCGGAAAGTATTTGGTAACCCAAATTTTAAAGTAAGCCGCTTGAACCCAAGGACAGCTGGCTATTTCAGCAGCCACTGAGGTAGCTTCTAGAGTCACTTATAGCACTCATATTTTTCATTGTTAGGTACTTCGAGAAAAGTGACTCATCATGAATTCATATTACTTTATTTACATTGGAATGAGTTTACAGGCCATTCTATCGACGGCTGAAATGATCAACTAAATGTCTTTCTTGGCTGCTCAGATTTTTAACAAATGTAGATACCTAATAAATTAGTTCAGCAGTTACTAGGGTAGCTTTCAGAGACGCTAATTACAGTGTTTACTGTTACTATTCTGAATACAGAACAGCCTTCTGTTCAGTTTCATACATATTTTACACTAAAAAGGTAGCAGACTTGGTAGTCGGTCACTTTGCTAACGCTAATCAATAAACTGTTTAAACTGCGCCTAAGAAATCAGTTCCAAAGATGTTACTTAATTAATGGCAAAGTGGTAGACTTCAGCGCGGAACAATATACGTAAGAGTCTGCAAGACAACACGAACTACTCAGAGGTTATAGGCATATACTACGGATGAGTCAAGATCAGACATAAAACATGGGGAGACAAAGTTTCCTCTTGGACATCTCAAAACATTCACCACTAAGTCAGTCATATGTTTGTTGTTGCTTTCGTAAAACAAGTATGAGGTACTAGGCAACATAAGTGGCATTATTTGTCATTCTTTTTTCAGTTTCTTATCTGGAAATTATCTATATCTCAGCATTTCAGCATTTGCAAAAGATTTCAAACGTCAGGACAATGACCGCCAACCATTTTTCAATCCTTTCCTCCCTTGCCTAGTCAAAATATACAGTAGTCCATAAAGTACTCAAGCAAATAATCTAATTGATAATTGAACATCATGTAAGATGTATTTTCAATCAGTGTATGGTTTATCTTCTTCACACTAATATAAGTCACTTCAGTGGTCTATCAACTGTTAATAAAAACTACTACTTGCTGGATTTTGCAGAGTGATGATTAGTTGATTTTTATAGGAAATCAGCTAAATTTCCACTTCATCTCATTTCAACCATCAGTGAAACTAGATGGTGTTTTAAGCTAACTCACTTTATACATCAGTTAGATTAGGAAGTTTTGTTTTGTGAAATATGAGTACACCGGTTTCCGATCAACCAGCGTCCGACACCTAACACAAAATGACACAACACCGCAGAATTGTGTATTAAATGATAGACTTTGGTTACTTCTCAGCTCTAAGTATTAAATAGCCTAGTGGAGGGGCCACTGGTAACCAATTCTTGCGTGTAATAGTAAAACTGAACTTTGTCTACTAGATTGAAACCCTGCAGTTTCTATTTATCCGTTATATACACAGTTTTAATATTATCTAAAGAGTCCTACGTACTCTTACTAATTAAACGCTATTTGGAATCCCGTAAGCAATCTGTTTCATGAACCTTTTCACTTCAATCTGGGACAATATAGGGCTTTCGTTGAATCTGAAGGGTAAATTCTTCGGAATCATTTACAACAGTGACTGTACAACGTGTTGTCCCTAACATGGTTGCTTTATTGAATAGATAGGATTCGTTCTCCTAGGGTTAATTAGTGGGTATCCAATAAAATGAATGTTTTGTCTGCGGGCTCTGGTTAATGAAGTATCTGATCTCCAGAATAACTCCCTACCTTTTGAAATATGACTTTCTTTTGTTCACCACTGCATTTGCAGTCTACCATTTTAATACTAGAAACAGCTTAACATGTGTGATGCCAGTTTATCAAACAAGGAACTTTATAGTTTTTATGTCAAGAAAATTCTGTAAGTTCCGAAGTCGGAAGGAATAATCGGATAATCACCTACTGACTAGTTTATAAGAACTGTTTTTACTAGATTTATATTTTACAACCATACTTAAGTGATATATCTTATCAATATGTATTTTACTTTTATCTGAAACCAGCTGTATAGATGTTTCCCTGTAATCCTTAAACACATGAAAATCTCTGATAATAATGACAATAATTTCAGTAAAACTGATTTATCAAGGACAAAATGGTCTGAATTGAATTATCAAAACGCCATAGAAGCGAAACATTTATACAGATTGGAATCGATCGATGATAACAGTTCTTCGACTAATGATGTTCGAAAGTTAAGATTGGATATCACTATTATAAAACGCTCAATTAAAAATCAAAGTGATAGTTTTTCATGCCTTCAACATTATTCTATGAATACAGCGCAAATAGAGGTAAATTTTTTATAGTAACGTTTGTTGAAGTTGGCAAATTTGTGCAAGCCTTTCAATGTTAAAAATCTTATGGTAGCGATAAGATGCACATGACCGGTTGGCGTGACCTTAAAGCACTTTTGTAAAATTGCGGCTGTGCAATAATGTTTTTGAAAATGCTTATCAGTCTATTTTTTAAGTGGGGAGAAACAGGTTCATAAAACGCCTTTCTTCAAAGTATCAACAAACCATTCCCCTCATTTCAAACTGCAATTCAGTTACTTCAGACTACACAACACCACAGATACAGCAGAAAAGTATTAAGTAATCATCTGTCATGACCCAGAGGAATGCTACTTTTCATTCAGAAGACATCAGTGTACTGACAATCTCTATTTCAAGAGGAAGGTGTTATAGTGTGGAATAAGATTACCAAAATCTTCATAAGTAATCATGACATGTTAACACCTTTTCCAACCAATCGCTTTGCTTCAAAGTCTCTGAAAAAACAGCTGAACCAACATGTAAGTAACAGGGTGGATGAAGAGGTGAAATATCAATAGAATGTGAAGTTTAGTAGGCCTGGAAATAGCCGACGCGCTTGAGATAACTATTAGCCTTGCATTTTTTATTTATTGTTGACGTTGCCGTTGTAAATATGTCTTCTGTTCTATTATCAACTCTCCCTTTCTCGATAAACCGAGCGACCATTAAGAGTGAAATCTGAAGGTATTTGTACACGCGTCCACATTTACATAAATCGGGCCGATATCAGGCCACTGTAAAGATGGAAAAAGTGACGAATGAAATGGTCCAAACCTCCTACTCCTATCACTTCACGACATAGTGTGACCTTCATGCAACGCCATCGCTGAGTCACTTTACTCATGTTCGACTTGATTTGGCCCACCGGTCATGACCTCATGAAAACTTCAGGAATCACCTGTCGCAGCTAGACACCAATGATCACTAGGTCAATGTAATTTAAGGGTTTGTGGAGATATATTGATTTCACGTTGGCTACAGAACCTGAAGATTCTGGGTTCCATCAATGGCGGGGTCAAGGGTGCGCACTGCTGGGGAGTCCCATACTAGGAAGAAACAGCTGTCCAGTGCTCCCAGGTCTCCACTGCTCTTTCAACTGATTTTAGTCCATGATGAATATGAACTTGAAATCAGTCAATCCCCACAAACCCCCAAATGAAATTAATAAAATTTAAGAAGTATAAGATATCTCGCCATACTAACCGACTTCCGAATAGTCTGTCAAATATTCGACTATTGTTCATGCATAGTATCATAAAGCGATGATAAAGTTGTGTTACTCTTGAAATGTAGATTTTGTATTCAGTGGCTAGTCTAGACATCTTTGGTCAACAACACAGGATCTTTTAAATGTGAAGTGTTCGAAAGATACCTGACTTCTTTTTATTCTGTTGCTGGTCAGAATTACGAATTGCTGTTAGCAGATAATCTCTGATTGAATTGAAACACCTTAATTCTTATTGCAAAAGTATTAGTAGAAATCATATTACTGTCTTGAAATGTAAGATTTAGATATCGCATACACTTAAATGGATTCAGTCAAATAATTACAGAAGCTTGAGTGTACAAGCAGGTCAATGAAGAACATCCAACGGTGATTAACAGAGCTTTCATGAATAATTCCCATGATTAAATATCTCAGTAATTAGTTGGGTCTTTGTTAGTTGGTTGGAGGCAATCGGCAGGAAGCCCTGGACCTAGGTTTCATGCTTTTTGGCACTCGTCAGCAAGGCGTATCTGTAACCTCGACGGAACTGATGTCCTGCCTGTGATTTGAACCCGTGTCACCCAGTGTTGTAGTCAGTGACTTTACCACTGAGCTATTCGGGCCGTGACTGACCTTCTGTAGGACTGGCTTACATGCATTGATTAGTCACGGGAGTGCAACCAATTTCATGTTGTCTAGCTTGGTTGCCACATTGCAAATATGATCGATAGAATTCGATCTGCACTCAGGACTAGACAACATGAAATTGGTTGCACTCCAGTGACCAATCAATACATAGTTGAGTCTTTGTTTGGTAAATCGGCTTAGAAATAATTCAACATAGTCCCTTTTGTTGAGCAAATTTATTAGTTAGTGTCACTTCATTTTTTTTTAAAATGTTCTCGTTATGCAAAATACATTCATAGTAGTTGAGCTGAAAGAGAAACAGCTGTATCATTTATTTCTTGAATCAGTTATGGAACAAGAAGAATTCATAACTAATTAATCACTTTTGATTTATATTATGCATTCTTTCTATTAGACTTATAATCTATCATGCTCTTCTTAAAAAGATAAATTTAAGAAAAAACAGCAGCTTTATCTTAGTGAGAATTTTGTAATGAGCATCGTTTTATTTGGAAGAAAATGGAATCTACAAATCCACAAGAAATCAAATTTATCCATCTGAAAATGAGATCCTTGGTGGAAATTATTTGACTTGAATTCATCTTTTCTCAAAACTCATAATCATAGGTTTGATGTTTACTGATTATGGAGTAGTGCTTCACAGCTAACCTGTAAGTATGGCTATATATATACTGGAGCATGCACTGATTATTATTCAGCCTCATTGTAAGGATTTACTATAAAAGTTAATCAGTTTATAAAAGTCTTATATTATACCAATCTAAACGGCACACGAACTTCTGGTTTGATTCTTGTAAGACAGCTTCGGATTTACTCATAAACAACTCAGCACTGATGACGCTGTCAATTACTGATTACATTAGGCCAAATGCATCTCCTAACCTAATACATCTTCCTAACCTTGGACAAAAAAAATCACTTAACACATATTAACTCTGCACTTTAATGCGCCATTTTGAATAAGTTTCCTATTTCCCCAGCGAAAGTTTTCTGGTTGTAATTTTATTTCTCTGTTGCACTGTGAATCAATTTAGTATTCTGCATACCAACTTGAACCATATCGTAGTAACTGTAGGTCCTTTTAATAAATTTTCCGTCTGACCATGTGTCTCTGTGATTGTCTCATTCATTGCAGCCTAAACAGATCGTTTCTCATTGCATTATAATCTTTCCCAGTTCATATTCTCTTTTGTTAAGTTGCTTTTCAAAGTAATAAACTGTTGTCAAAGCAACTACTTAAAAACGTATGCATTATTCAGCAATCTTTGTAAAAACCATTGATTGCATACTTTCATCTTTGTTTTTCTTATAGATTGTTCGTGAGAATAATATTATTGAAAGACTCATTTATCCAATTCCCGAAATCTGTCATTATTTAACAAATGCTAAAAAACATCAGTTGCTAAATTGGACGGTTATGAATGATGATCATTCAAAAATACCTTCAATGTTTGAAATGATTGAAGACATTTATGCTGAAATGTTATGTGCTAAACACATGCTTGGTATGTTTATTCGTTTAATGTGCTATTAGTAGATTGTAACATTTTATTTCTAAATCTCAGCTAATATGACACACAAAGTTTAAGCATACTGTGTATCATCGAAAGTTTCAACATTTTAGCGGCCAGATCACCCATACCTCGGGTAAACTCATCAACATAAGACGAAAAGACAAAACAAGACAAATGAGGAGTGAAATCAAATGAAACTTTTCTTTCTCGGTTTTATGACAAACCAAAACTTCACAAACCATACGTGCCTCTAGAATAACTTGTTTTGCTTCTGGAGATGTCACCTTACAATCTATCCCGACAGCTTCCGAAGAAACTGAAATACCTTTCGGAGCCATGTTAACATTCCATTTAGTCAATAAAGGGATTTTTAGGAAGTAATTAAAGGCGTTCACATAGGCATAGAAAAATGAGGGGTGTCTACTGAATTATCTATGTTATGCACACCAGTTGCACCACGACTAGCTAAGAATACTCTATCTTCCTCCACACTGATGATACAAAGTTATCAAAACACCAAAAAGCTTCAGTGATCAGGTCTGATGGCAATCGCTATTCTTTGTTCAACAATGTACTTCTAATTCGATGTTAAGATATCCAGATGGATGAAAGGCATTCCAATGAGGCCACTAATATTCAAATTTTTTGGCAGAAGCAGTAATGTGGAGACTGGTAATCATCGTTTTATCAGCGATAAAGCAGAAAATTTCGGTTTGCTATGTGGATTAAAACTTTTTCGTCATCAAAAGAGTATGATTTAGAAATAACTTGCAATCTGATAGTTAACTTTTCCAACGACATAAAATTCACAATGGAGAAGAATTCGAACAACAAACTGCTATTCCTCTCTGTTATAATCAATAGAACCAATACTGGAAAATAAGAGACACAAGAGTACAGGAAGCCGGCACACACTAATCAGATCTTCAACTACACTAGCAACAAGCCGAAAATGTACAAAACTAGTAGCGTATAGACTTTACTCAAAAGAGCCAGAACACTGCAGTACAACAACTTGGAGAAACGAAAGAAATCATTTGACGTCTGTTCTAAAGAAGAAAATTTACCCACCAACTTCAAAATGACCACTATCAAGTTCATCTTTGACTACAAACTCCTCAAAGGAAATCAACAAATGGATCATCCTATCATACATAAAGAATATACCAAAGATCACAACAAGATTACTTAGACCATTTGGGATTGTGTAGCTCATAAATCAACGAACTCCCTGTGAACTACATTATGCAGGACACAATAGACAAGAATGAAAAACGGAATGTCATTTACATTCGACAACTGTAATGAACACTAAGTTAAATAAAGCGGATGCTCTCTTTACCTTCGTTTAAACGAGAATTATTTGGCCACTAAACGTCATGACACTCCGTCGTTCATAGTACACTGCATATGGACAATTATGGACGCGAATTCGGTTTTGAAAATGTAGTGAACATAGAAAAAGGAAGCACTATGAATACCAAAGAATTTCAAGAAGCTTGGCATTCAAGTTAATTAGCAAGCGACACATGATCAGACGAAGATTTAACCAATCAACCAATCAGAAAAGTGATGAACACCTACTAGGTTTACGCAGAGAAATGGCCCGTAAGAAAAATAGTTGTCTGTGACACAGTGTTTGAAAGAAAACAACTATCATGCATCAGTCTATCAGCGTGAGCTACTGAATCAATGATGAAGAAATCCTGAAAGCTAACTTTGTATTGCACTTAGAGCAGATATTATCTAGAAGGACAATTAGAGCTTCATATTTAAAACACTCAGCTCACAAAAGGTAAAACAAATAAGGGAACATATATACCATATAATTAAAAACTTTATTAACTGATAGCGAATAAGGATAAAAATAATTGGATACTCTAATACAAATCCGAATTCTTCATGACAACTAAATGTGTTGAAATTCGCCTAACCTATATGTATTCAAAGTACTCAGAAAATAGTTCATTTTAACATTGAGAAGACAGCTAATTTGAGAAAAATACCTACTTTTTGGGAATTTTCATCCAGCCTAATTGCTGAATATGAAAACGATTTACACAATAAGACACGCACCCTTCTAAACTACAATTTACATTAAAACGGAGAGAAATGAACATCAAATTATTTAAAAGTTCGAATGGTGAGTGAAAACTCTCTCTAAACACTATTTTCCTACATAGTTAGGCAGAATGATATCATTTAATCTCACAAATACTCATCAGCCGCACCTAGTATGAAAATACATTAGTTACCAGGACAAAGTTATGTAATCACATACTTTAAACTATTGTATGATGGCACATAACGTAATTTAAAAGTGAGCAAGAATCTAACCATTCCATTTAGTAGACACCCATAGACAGAACATCAAGTTGATAATTCTACTGCTTTTGAAATATAAAATGCGAGGACTACTACGCTTTGTGGGAACTACTGCTACATAGCGCTTTCAGCGGGACCTCTGCATGACAGCGTGGTCAATGTCTCACTTCCATGGTGACTGTAATTCGATTTGGTTTCATGTTAGTTACATAATCCTTTATTTCACCCACTTAATGATTTCAACAAAGTTTATCTCAATCTTACGGAAGTATTTTCTTCAGGTGTTACGTAATCTGGGAGTCAATTCTAGTTGTTCCCTTTCTTGCGTTTCTGACTCCTACTGTACAGTCTTCAGCCTCCTATTACATACTGTATAAATAAGGAATAATTTTAAAAAACAACATATAATTAGTTCTCTGGATTCCTTGATTTCGAATTACCTTACTTGTTATCACATATTAGCTTAAGGCATGTGATTATGTATCCTTATTCTGATAACCATTGTAATTTTAGACTCTATGCAGCTGATGAATATTCGTGAAGTAAAATGAAATCATTTTATTTTGTAAATCTAGTCTTTGCTTTGTTCACTTCTACATAGAGATCCAAATGCATGAAGGTAACCTGTCGACTGTTGATTTTGTTATTAAACATATGTCTGAGAATAAAGAAGAAAACACAGAATCCCATTGACTGATAGATTGCAAACGCTGCAGAAAAATGCTTCCCAATATGATTTATTCAAAGGATTTCACACAGAAAAACTAGTGCGTCACTAACACTTCCCTATGTTCAAAAAGCATGAAACTCAATGCTAACCAAGCAAAATTTGTAAAATAAAATAAAAATGAAGTTTATTTATGAAAACAGTTGCTTTAATAGTAGAAGGCCGTCTTCATACCATTTTTCTACGCACATACATCTACTCTTTGGGAATCCTAATCACAATTGTTTTGAATACCGAAAGTCAACAGTAAAGGTTAAGCAATATTTCATTTGAATATTTTCTTTAAAATAACACAGTTGGTATCACTTTGAGTATGAAGCATTAGCGTCTCTATAAGGAAACCATACTGCTTGAATCGACATAGGATGAAATGTATCTGCTATGATTAATTAATCAAATGGAAAATAAGTTTGATTAAGTTTGGAAGTTTGTAGGGATTTACAGATTTTTCAAGTTGGTATTCATCAAGGACTGACATTAGTTGAAGGAAGATTGGAAACCTGGGATCACTGAACAGTTCAACGATGGCATTGGATGATGGTCGCGCCATGTCCTGAACTGACAGAAGTTGGAAATATGGACTATTGGATTCTGACCCAGTGGCTCAGTGGTAACATGCTGGCCGTGGAATCTGAAAGTCAGGGATTCTACCGCTTGTGAGGTCGGGTGTGCGCACCGCTGCAGAGTCCCATACTGGGATGAAACAGCTGTCCAGTGCTCCCAGGTTTCCAATATTTCTCCAACTGATGTCAGCCCATGATAAATACCAACCTGAAAAATGTTTGACATGAAATTATCGATAGTGAATTTGTTTGCTAGTGAAGACATAAGTCGTGATTTAGATACAGGTGCATCCAGTGTCTGTCAGTATATATTTACTTACTACACTTACATAGCGAAATGAGACAGATTTCAGGTGAATTAACGTTTCCTAGCATCGAAAAGAAATGAAAACGCAATTTTGTGCTTTTGATTTGCAACTTTTTCTATGTCTTTGTCTCTCTGTTTCACAGTTCATACTTGGATTCATTGGTTTTCATTACGTTCTCAGTGGATATCGGACGCAAGTTTCTATCAAACATTGTGTTTGAACGTTTTATTAGTCATCTTTTATCCATTTCAAGAGGAATCACTATGTAAGTTGCATGATAACTTCACTTAAAAAATTACGCTTCTAACGACTAAAAGCTAATCAAATACTAAGGTCATCAGGTATCTGTTTCACATTGTCTTATATAAAAAGCTGTAAATATGTAGGAAACGTGAAGCCACTTAAAAGTATAGAATTCATAATAATACACGTGATTATATGAAGAAAAAAAATAATAAAAAACAGTTTGGTAGTAAAGATGTTTTCATAGCTGTAGCAAACCAAAACTTTAAAAAATTGGCACATGACAGTGAAGCACTAATTAGGTGGTTAGTTAAAGTTCAACTGACATAAAATTCTCATTTTAAATTATTAAACAAAGATGGAACAAATAAGGAAATATTCTTTTCGGTGATTTCATTTACAAAAGCTGCACAGTCGTATTTAAAGACATTAGAAACAAAGAACAGGTTATTGTTAATCAGTTGGAACTCATGAGATGGGTCTATAAAGCCAGTACATTACCATACCTTAGATAATAATGTCGAATTACGGATTTTGATGCTGAATGGATCAACTACCACCACCAAAATAAACCCTCGATTTTCTATTGATTCACTAGTTCAAACCAGACTCTAGTGGCTTTTACTAATGTTACCATTAATATTATTTAAATGCAATGATTATTGTGTTTGGAGTGAATTTGTTAGATAACTTACACGCTGAGAATTACAAACTGTAGCACACATGTCGTTTGGAATAGTTATTATTATTATTCTTACTATATTGTTCAAAAGTTGAATAGGAAGCTACTAAAGACAAGAAAAAATTGCTACTTTGGCCACGATATGACTGGTAAATGCATATAATGTTTTTGAACACATACATAAAGTTTAAGATTGTGAATAATCAACTATTCGGTTGGGCATAGATGACCAAGTTGAAGGCTCTCAGGACTATGGAAAGACACTGTAAATTACTTTGAATGAATTACCAGGAAGGGGTGGATATTCGGAGATGACGAAGTGTCCAAGAGTAGAACCGGTGATGAAGCTGGGCAATGTTCCATAACAAGCTTACTGACCTAGTGCTGTGCACGGCAAATATTCGTTGCTACACAGGAACAGGCATTGCGTTGGCCAGTATTGGTACTCTGCCCTTAACACATTGACAAGTTATCTCTTGTTAAATACGATTCTTAATCTCCCTACGTGAAATGTCTCCCACAAAGATCTTGAGAGGTGATTTTCAAGTATTTCAGACGCACTGTTGCCTTTAGATTACAGGTTCGTGTAGATAGTTCTCTTTGAGATGGTCCATACCTTTTGTATTTGTGCTTTTTCTTTAATGATATAGTCAAAGAATCTAGATAAGCGTTTTCCACTTGAATGTAAGTAGAAACTATGGCTTACTATCTAGTGTACCTTTACAGAAGATATTTAGAATCTCTGAACGTAAAAAGCACAGAAAGCTGTTTGCTAATGAGTGACCCAGCTTTGGAATTTGATAAACTGTCCAGTTGGTGTTGATTTTTTGTACACTGATTTCTGGATAGAATTATTCTATCTTTTTGTTAATGATACATCAAGAAATGGGAACCTCCAACTTGCTTCAAATTTTACAGTAAATTTTTATATACGAATACACGGCAGTGAAAGTTCTAAGTAGGTTTCTCAAATCAAAGTCTTCATCATATGTGATGAAAACTTTCACCGTCACACTTTTTGTAAAATCAAAGTTGTCTGATGAATCAACTTTCAAATAAATACTATAAGTATATGAAGGGGTTGTAAAACTCCCTAAAGAAAATGTGTTTACTGAATGTTAACTGACCAGCGGGGAAGATAAAGTTTATGTCAACATGTTCCCAACAAGAAAGTTAGGGTTCTTGATTTGGACTTTCATATAACTGTCTATGAAAGTATGAAACCCATCTCAAAGAATTTGTTACATGACAAATGATTTAAGTTGCTTTAATCTCATTGATTGTAATGTTACCATCAACCAAACAGGAAAAGGTCGAGCGTCTTATGAATATTATTTCTCGTTCGCAACCCAAAACGAAGAATGTGTTATATATATGTAAGCCTGGATATATTAAAGTCTAAGAAGATCAAACTGTAAACTGTGTTTCTCACCTACATGTCTTCTCCTAATTGAAGAAAATGTTTAACAAGCCACTAATTTTAAAGACATTGACATAACATTTTGGAGGTGATAAGGAGTGTAAAGGTCTAAGCCACTGTGAGCTATTTAGAGCTTCATGACCAACAGTCTCCAATGGATAATTTCTCCTATCTTAGAGACCCCACTAAAGTGATGTAAGCTTTCTCACATGAGTCAGAACTGTAGACTTTATGTCTTACGTTGATCGGACAGTTTTCTAAAAATTTGATCATATTCCATCTAACATGGAACTTTTAGAAAGGTGGTGATGTGACATGTGCAGTATATTTCAAAGATACCCCAGTGATCGTAGACTGACCACTCTATCATCTGACTTGGTTTTTGTGCCTAGTATTTATCATTTTGCTTTCAAGACTCCTCAATCTGTCGTCCTAATAGATTCAAGTTATCCTACAATGATAGTTTTTTTCAGAAACATGAATCAAAGGCTATCTGTCCTCAAACCTTGTAAATCTTAAAGTAACATATGTTCTTTTTCTTTGCTTTTTGTCTGGCCCTCTGATAAGACCTTTGGTGTTGTTTTCACTTTGTTGCTTTTTTATCGACCATACTTCGATGTAATAATGTCAGGTACTGAAACCTAGGCGTTGTACATTTATTTCAGACCCTATTTTTTACTTCCATCTATTTTTAATGTTCACAAAAATGAGATAATTAGTTCACGTTACACGTTTGTGTTTAATTCAGATGCCTAAAAGTACTAGCCAGTTATAAATTCAAGTGCTTTTTAATCTTAAACGTTTTAAAATCTAAGAGATTTTCTGTGTCTCAGATAGGAGCTCAGCTTTTTATTTTGAAAGGTCGCTATATACCTTACTGTTTGCTCGACATCAGTATCTTAGTTAACTTTAAAAAATCGATTAAAGGCGTCGAGACGAACTCAGTGCAACTTTCTGTTTGTTTCTGACTGGTAGAATTGATTTAGTTGACGAAAACTTTACTGGATGTCTCTGTATGGAGAGTCAGTTATTCAAATTAATCTGTTACCTGATACTGGGTCGTTATTAGTTTCGTGAGAGTTGATTAAGGCTGCTTTCAAGGGCTAATTAGAAAATTTTTATCTACTTTGGTTAGATGTGACAAGTTTTTCCTGGCAAATTTCATTGAGTTGGCTGGAACACTTAATTTTAATCAGCGTATAACGATGATGAGTCTTTTAATGTGATGAGCACACCGCAAACCTTGTTGTTGAAATTATACCAACTATCAGCCTCAGACCAAATGGTTACCTACTCCTCAGTGATCAATCAGTGGAAATAGATTTATCTTAGAATTTATAAAAAAATCCACTGTTCACAGCATTAGGTCTTCACACGGATGACATTCGGTTAAACATAACTGGATATAGTCTTCAAAATTATATTTGTAATTTTTTATGTACGCTTGTTTTGTTTGATGTAATCAGTTGTTTCCCAATCATTTACGTTATTGCTTTCTCGATTTGTTCTAGTTTTGATTTTTATATTTTTAACAGTAGGTTTCAAATTGGTGTCACTTTTTGCCGAGGACGATAACTCTAGTTTGCAAATCACTTTATACCGCATAATTTAACCTAAAAACAATAACTCTCAGAGACACATCATCTTAAATATGGATGCATGTAACGATAGTTTCGCAATATGAATGAGTGAAGTTTGTTTGACAGCACGTGTATGAACTGTTACAGCAGTTAAATTATTTTATTATCCCTAAGACATAAAGAGGAAAAATGTGACAGTGTTGTTATAACAAAGTTATCGATTATGGGATTCCGGAAGTTACATTATCTAACATAAGCGAACATACGTGAACGATTTAATAACAAACACAACCACGGTTTATTAAGTTTAACAAAATTACAGGAAAAATATGAAATAAAGAAAAATAATTGATGGAAAAACTAATTATCTTCTCCTTAGTATTGGCTATTGGACACTTTTCTTATCCCTTCAAAGCTTAAAATATCTACACCGTGGTGTATGTTGCCACCAGTGCTAGTTTAATTTCCTTTGAGGTCAATGTAATCTTGATTCATGGACACTGAAAAGCAATGGATTACAGACTACTTGAGTCTTAGTGTCTCCTATCTATGCTCACTAAGTTTCTCAGTCATCCACACTGATCCACTTCATTTTATTCTTTTCTTAGCTTTAAGCTTCACTAAAATTGAAGAAGAAATTACTTTAATACCACTGGCCATTTTAGCAGTTATATTATGCCTTATTTGTTCAAATCAGTTCACCGTGCAAATCTATGTTGGATTAGAGGCGTTATATTTATTGCTTGTATGTGGTAGTGAAAACATTATTTCCGTGATGGGTTTGACCAATGTAAGTCAAAAAAGTTTTGCCATTGTATTCTCAGTAATATTTTTTGAAGAGTATAGTTGTTTTATAACTACGTGAAGTAAAATCCAAGGTGAAGCCCGAACTGACAATCAGGTTGTGTTTCATTTGTGTCTGATCAGTCTTAAGAGACAGGTGCTAGTGAGGTATCATTTAGGCTATAAGTAAACTAAAAAAGGTATATATTCATTTCACTGACAGACGGTTCAACAATGTGTTGTTTTGTCACTTCTAAATAATCCTTTGATAATCTGTGAAGGTTTAACCCATTACTGGAATGTGCTTTGAAAATAGTCAGTCAAATAGTGCAAATTATGGGAGTTTGGATAGTCAGTGGATGACATGAAACCTTCATCTGGTAGGCCACAAAACAGTAGAACAAACAATACAATAATCAGCAAATACATATGTTCTACAACTTGAAGTAGTTTGGCAACTGTCGCTGAAACTCAATTCAGTGAAATTATACCACATTTTTCTATTGACAAACGTATATCTACATAGAAATGTATTTAAAATGAACATTTTGACTGAAACTAAGTATATATTGGACTGTCTTGCGAGACTATACAATGCTGACGACCTTCCAGATGAAAAATGTCGGTTTGCTTTTCCAATGAAGTGAAACTCAGTACATCCGTTACAAAAAAATGTTAACAAAAACGACTACATAGTTTTTTGGATATGAAGATTCGGCCCGTAAGAAAGATGGTACTTGCCCAACTGAAAACTTCCCATTTACAGTACTAGCTACGACAATAGAGATGGTAAATGTTATCAGCCTTGATTGGTTTTCGATATCTAGCTGATGAGATTAGGAAGTTTGGTTTTATTTCTTTGTTTAGGCTATTCACTTATCTAGACCCAAACCAGCTTATACCACTATGCAATGACTTAATTCATGTAAAATAATATTCACTGAACAATTCAATTTTTGATCTGCGATTCAGCTAGTCAGTGAGTAAACTTCATATTCACTGGCAATAATGTAACCTCTCTATCTCTCTGGTAGTTGGGATTTTCTAGAGTCCGTCGGACTGTGAAATCGCTTAACTCAAATGTGTTATGCACGATAACTGTTGTTTACTGATGATACCAAACCAAGAAGAAAAATCTACTGTCTGTTAATTTTGTTCCAAATAAGGTTCGTGTTAATATCATTCGAGAGTGAAAACTGTATAACCAAACTGCTTCTACCTGTTCACAGTGAGATATACACCTGCGTTTTAAGCAAAATGAAACTTTTAAAAATACACATCCCGCGCACTCTGTAATAAAGTATGCTGGTGAGGACTGAGATTATCTGATTCGCTTGATGAATTCAAAAAAGACTCAGTATTTTATAATGGGACATTTTTAACCAGCTAATGTTACAGAGGCATGGTGTTGTAATCGTTTATATTCTTAATAATAAGTTTACAGACCACTGTGTTCATAGTGTGTAAGCTAAACACTGTCGATGTTTATTGTCAGACCTCAATCACAACGACGGAATAAAAAATCCTTTACATTCCCAAAAAACAGTTTACAATCACCGCATGTATTTCCTTATTACCATAAATACACATTCTATTTCTGTTAACTATTGTTGTTTTCTGTCTCAGTTGATTTTTAGACTATTCAACTTGATTATAATTTACAAACAACATCGTCTTATAATGCAGTATAAAAATCATTTGTCCACAAATCAATCAAAATCAGGTAGTGAAGCGTACTCTCAACAGCTTACATCATCGGAAATATCTGAAGAAAAACAAACAGTTTTTACTTCATTATTACATTTATCTTTTCAGAATTACAATTTCTTGTCAGTAAAAAAACTATTGAACTGGATTTTTTCTTCGCTAATTCATTTAAAAAGCCAAAATATTAGCCAGTTACATAATAAGGTTATTCAACATGCCATACTTATTATATTTGCTGTTTTTGGAGTTTTCCTGCACCCATTATTTCATAGCCTAGTGGTAAGTGATAATAAATGTATGCGACCAGATTTTACTCATATGTACCAAGTTTAATATAATATGGTACCCAACTTACCTAACCTTTGCACAGTTTATATATACATGTATATCAGTATTTGAAATTGTGTCTGTAAGAATATAAATAAGTATTTTGCAGCTGATCATGTTCCAGTGCCTTTAACACTTTCCTGTGCTTATCTAACTTAGCATTTGAAATGCAAACCATTTCCTAAACTTTTTTATATGATCATTGTTGACATTAAATTGGTACACTTTTTAATTCCAGTGATTAACAGAATACAAAAATAGCACCAGACCATATAATGTACGATTATTAATCTGAACTAAGTGATATGGAAGTGATAAACCCCTTGAAATTCCATAGAATATATTAATCAACGGTTGGAGACTGTTGATGACAGTAATCATAGTGGTTTAAATATAATGATTCTTCATTCCCCTAAAAAATTGTGTTCCTGCTATTACTACTGACAGATCAGTAAATTAACTTCCTCATTATAACAGCCGCAGATGACCGAATTGTGAAGGGAAAATATTTTCCCTTTTTTAATAACAATCAATTTACTCCAGACAATAGCTTTTAGTAAAGTTTAGAATTCTCAGTGTGGTATTTCAACAAATTTACTACTTGTACAATATTTTCTAACTAAATAACCATGGCAGTTAAATAACGTTAATAGTAACAGTATGATAGGCAGTAATGCACAAAAATCAATCGCTTTTAGATCATCATGTAGTTTGTATATTGTTACACTTGGCTTGGATGGAAAAGCTCATGTAAGTTTGGTGGTGGATTTTCATTCACCCAGTATGAAAAATTTCTGTTCTAGCTACGTGTTCCAGTAACAGCTATATGATGCACTTTTGCACGTTCAGAGGCCAGCTGGCGTCTATTGTGGTATTTTCTTGTAGTCTTGTTGTTAACCCGTCTAAAGATAAGTTGAAGACATTTTAAGGGTGCACGAGATTACTTCATACAATCTTTTTTATATTTGAATGAGTAAAACAAGTAAAACAGGAGAAATTCGATGAACTACTTTTGGTAGCCCAAAATTTAAGCAGGCCACTAAGATATAATCTGTACGGTTTATAAAGAAATAAAGATTGTTTCTGCAAGATACAGCAGTGACTGAAACTCACAATGATAAGAGTGATATATATATTCAGGGAAGCTTTCAGCATTTATTTCAGCAAACTTCTTTACACCTTTCAGATGTCTTGAGTATGCTACTAGCTGTTGATAGTATTATTGATATTGCATTTGCAACATGAGCATTTTTGACAGGAATAGTAATCAAAGGTGTTGCATGTAGCAGGTAGAATTGCCTTTCAAAGAAAAATGTTTTTTTCAACCCAGTTTGTCTGAGCACTTCTAATGTTATGTGCTTAAGGATACATCTGGTCTTACAAAATGTATAACTGTGTGATAATTTTCAGATCAAGTAGTTTTGTGTATCAAATACAAAATTGTTTAAACAGCGTGATGAGAAGACGAAGATTATCTGAAACATGTGATGTATTAGCGCTATACATTTCGAACAATCCGATCACACATGGACTCGTCGAACTATTTATGTGAAAATTTACGAAAAAGGTCAATGAAGTTAATGGGCAACGTAGGAATAGGAAGAGATAGGAAAGGAAAAGGAAAACCTTATTCTTGGTATGAAAATTCAAATCAGTACTACCAAGGTAGGTTCAGTGTGATTACAAGCTGTTTTTATATACATAAAGGGGGGTTTAATTTACGGATGGCAACAGCTTCAATAACTTTAAGCACTCAGCTCTGACCAGTTTTATGTAGTACTGTAAAGGCTGTTTTCATATCTGTCCTATGGTTAGTTTCTAGTATATGTTAGCGATAGACGAAGATGGATGTTTGTCACCTACGCTTATCGGATCTGTTGAGGTCATTTGTTTTTGTAGCCACTTAGGTACATGTTCAACCTTCCTTAACTGCATATCACGATTACTCCTCCCTATATATGTGTGTCCACACATACATGTAAGTTGATAAACACAGTGGGATGTGATGTAATCATTTATATGTTGTTTTGGTTTGTGCTGTAACGTGGATTTGGTCTTCTCTACAATGATGACCTTGGCTGCATAATACATTTTACAGATGGCCGATCTAAGTCTTTTCCTCACAACAAAGCTATGTGAATCACCTATAAATGGTAATGAGATGTAGACATTTGTCTTAGCAACGGAGCACCGTCTACTTTTCAATGGTACATAACTTTTGCACCTGTTGATAAATCTCAACGGGTATCCATTCTACGTCAGTGTTGTCGTCAGTAAATTGGTTTCTTCCCCCTGGTGTCATCGGTGCAAATGTGGTTTATCCTGTTGAATAAGCATCTAACTAAACCACGTTTATATTAGACTGGAAAATAGCTATAGAAATTAAGATATTGTCCACTCCACGTAGGTTTCTTATAGATCGACCTCCTGATCGAGCCATCCTCCCATCGACTGAGCAATACCTCAGGTTTATGAGTTTAAGGCAACCCATATAGATGTGGATGTTCAGATCCCATAGGTTTCAGACGATTAAATTCATCGTTATTGATTAAATTCATGCCGAGCATTTTCACAAGTTTAGAATTTACTCTGCCTTCCAATTTACGTATTCCTTCACAGAGGGCATCTGACGTAAATCTGCTTTCATCACTGAGAATAGATAACATCTTGCTTTTATAATCAGACGTGTTCATAACGACCACACCTGATACTTTATCAGGTTTTAGTACGACAATATAAGAGTTATTTCGTAATCCTTTCAGTGCCTGGAAATGCTCACGCGTTAAGATGCTTTTCCTATTAACTTCATTGACCTTTTTCGTAAATTTTCACATAAATATTTCGACAAGTCCATGTGTGATAGGATTGTTCGAAATGTATAGCGCTAATACATCACATGTTTCAGATAATCTTCGTCTTCTCATCAGGCTGTTTAAATTTATCAAAGGGACCAGTCGCTTTAAATTTTAAAAAAAAATTGTTTACTTTCCTTCTAAGTGTGTAGACAATCAAGTTGCTTTTAGTTTCCACAAAACATTTTAATTTACTTGTATGCACACATCTTCGTCGAGTGTATATGAAATCTGCACATGAGATTTGGCCTTATGATTGCACGTGTAGAGGAATTCACTAAAGCTGACTGAAATGTAATGTGTTCTGTGAATAGTTAACTAAAATGTATAACAAACGTTTTAATAATTCATAATGTTTTTCTTTCAATTCTACATCATTTTATGATGCAATAAAGCGTTTTAATTACTTTGTAAACATTATTTATAACTATAAGCATCATAACTAGCTATAAAACATTAAAAATATGAAGAACTTGAGATGATGAAAATAAACCACTGTACTTCAGGAGCAGGAGGAAAACAAGTGTTCTAATAATAATTCATGGTTTGAATGCGGCAAATAGACTAATGCATTTTACAAGACTGTAATTTTACTGCTCAAAGTACAGTGAACTCGACAGAGAAGGTGGAATTTAGCAATTATTATTTCAGCTTGTAGATCTATGGGAATTTATTGATCGTAGGGTGGTATTCTTTCACAGAGTGGACCACCAAAAAAGGTGGGAGTACTGAACAGTTCTTTCGTCCTAGTATATAACTATCCAGTAGTGCCCACACTCGACCCCTTGTGGCATAGAAAACGTGCTACATTACAAATCGACAGAATTAGTAATATGTGGACCATCGGATCTTTACCCATCTGCTCAATGATAACGTGTTCATCGTGAATCTGAGGGTCCTGAGTTCAATCTCTGGTGGCGTCAGCTACTGTACAGTCCCATATTGAAATGAAAGATCTATCTAGTGCTCCCAAGTTTTTCGATATTTTTTAAACTCATGTCTCTCCAGGACGAAGACCACCTTATAGTCGACACTTTTCTGTCTGGTCTTGTGGATAGTAAATTCTCCTCGATTTTATAACCGTTTGAATAATTAGTTAATATGATAAAACCCTGATAATATGTCCAATGCAGAAAATTTAAGTTGGCGACGTTATAGGTATTCCTGATAATTACAGAAGTTCAATTTCGCTCTTACTTCCTCATTAAAAATAATTTGCACGATGATTTGTTTGCACCTATTGTTACAGGTTATCATTTTTCTGATAAAACTGGGACATAAGTCGTATCAATAATATTTCGTGGAGATTCGACCTCCTTGCTAAACCTATGCCGTCGTTTTTCTCACATTTTCAACTGACTCTACCAAAAGACAATACCTATAGATCTTCGAAATCATCTCCGAACCACTCAAAGAAACAATCTTTTGTGGCAGCAGAATTATTTAGAGACGGATGATAAAGAGCTAACTTGAAAACTTGTAAATTATTGAACTGATTTAGATTACTGAACCCTCCTCTAAAGTTACACGATGTTGAGTATGTTTTTCATTACGACAAGCTCTTGTTAGCTCTGTATTCATGTAGTATGACTCATTATCTAATACACATGTTCCAAACGTATTCATTGTAAATTTTCAAACCCACTTTAAAAGTTTGGGTACATGGTAGGTGATAGTCATCAATTTGTTGCTTGTACTTTCTATAAAGTGCATAGCCACAATCCTATATTCTTCACTTCTAATAAAATATAATAGCTGAAAGTGATATTTACTACTGTAACTTCATCGATTCAGCCAGACAGATAAAATCAACGTAGAACGCCGTACAAAAGTACAATTATTCAACTTGCCATAATTCACAGTAGTATGCAAAAACCAAAAGCGTATAGGTGGAGAAAGAATCTAAAGATCAATGTTGGTAAAAATATTAAAGCTTTAGAAAACGTGGATGTATCTGAGCCAATGGGACTGATTTTCAGTCATGTCACCAAGGGTATACAGCCACTGATTCCTGTTGTCTAGGGGATCCCAAACAGTTTGTAAATCACTACACGGCTCATCCTAACAGTTAGTGACTTCATTGACTGGTGCAACAATTTAGTCTGGCCACCCTCAACCTTCTTCTTAGTTTGACCACAATTCATTAGTTCAGTGTGCGTTTCAAAAGTTAGATACTATTTTTTACCGCTAACGGTTTAATCCTACAATATGCTCTTGGTGTGTCACAGTTTTCGTTTTAAAAGATTTGGATCTCATTTCTATAATAGTCTCCTTAACATCTGGTGACATTTAATTGATGTCATTAAACTGATTATTGACCAAGCTTTATTATCCACATAAAATCTTCAACACCTCAGTGATGCTTGTATATAAGTGGAAAAGTTTTTTTCCTTTCTACCTAACATCTATCATAGCTACTCGATATAATTACGCGTGAAGAAACCTTACTGAATGTCGTACGTTCGGTGACAAAAAATGGTCGCTCTATCTTCTTGACAGGAATATTAGCCTTGATCATAATCTATCTGTATTCTATCATTGGATTCACTTATTTTCGTGATGATTTTGCCGTGGAAGTTGATCCGACCAAGGATAATGAAGGTTTGTCGTTTGTACATAAAAACATATACCGTTTCAACAAATATTGTTGTAAACTAGCATCCGATTTATGTTTTTACACATGTAGGATGTTCAGTAAACGTTTGAACAGTAAGATTTACGTGAATGCAACGGTTCCGATTTGTTTTGTTTGTGTTCACTATTGAATCTACTGTCTTTCATTGTATCGACGATTTTATAGAATAATTTAATAACTTCTAAATAATTAAATAATTGTATCGAACAGAAGTAGAGACTGTGGACATTTTAAGGAAAAAATTCCTTTTCAAAACTCTAAGAATATACATTTGTGACATTAATTAGCGTTTTGGCTATCTAAAATAGCCATGGTTTGGCAGATTAGTACTAATACTAGGTGATGATTGAGGGTGGAATGAATATTTGAACCGCAGCTGGGTTCAACCCAGTGACCATCGGGTTTCCGAGCCAGTGCTCTACCAACTGAGCTACTAGGCTCGACTGCTGATCAGGTTTTTATTTCACTTCAATCACTAATGTTTTTGCTCGACTTACATATGAATTCGTGACGCGTTACTATCGCTTGGTCGTACTCACACTGACTGCACAGTCAGAAATTCTCATTCCAATCCAAATCTAACTGAATCAGAAACGGGGAAGCATCATATTGATTATCATTTCACTATCTGAGATAGCAGTGGTTTAATAGACTAGTATTAATACTTTTTTGTATGAAGGAAAATACTTTATATATTAGTTGTGTCAAAACCTAATTTGAATATTTCAAACTCGCATCTCTTTATGTAGACCACATTTTCAGAATGGACTTAAGAATAATTTTGTAACTTATGACGATGTAAGGGACGGCATTGTTACAATACAGTATTGTCATGAGAACGCAATATCGTAGAATACATTGTTGGATAAACTCAGAGCTCGCTTTGTTTAGTACAGTGTTATTTATTCACTCAGATGTTGCACTTCGGTTATACTATGAGTTTACCATCATTTCTTACAGATATATGATAAAGAATTTTGTAAAGATGTTTACCTTCAACAGGAAATATATATCTTGAAAATACTTAGCGCTACAATTCAACCTGAGTAACCAATTTTTAACGAGAACTATTTGCAGTCCTCTTTTACTAACGGATTCTTTCAACTTAATTTGTTTTACTCTTAATGACTGTTTATTGGTTATGCACCGAACAAATTCAATGAAGAAGAAATTAATGGTAATACTGAACATCGTTGTGATTCGCTAAGAATGTGTATGTTAACAACTCTTCGAGAAGGCTTGTTAAATGGTGGTGGGATTGGTGAAGCACTTAGACGTCCAAGCAACAAAGTAAGTGAAAGCAATCAAGAAATGTTTTTATCTAATACTACGTTTTCAATAATGCAGTCAAACAAGTCCGTTAAAATTATGTGAGACGGAAGAAGAAAGTCATTATCTGCTTTTGTTTGAAAGATACTAATACTGAACAACTTGAGTAGTTAGAAATTAGTACATAGCCGGATCATATCTGTTTGGCTTTCGGCTAGAATCTGTGTATGTAGGTTGTCAACTTTAATGAGCAAAGATTTGAACTAATTTGTGTCTTACTGTTAATCAGTTCTCATCAGACTGGTTTCTGTGTTCTTCGTGATAAAGGTAGCTCTTAGGATACAATACAGATATCAAGAGGTTTTAACGTGAACAACATATCGAATTTGTTAAAAGGCTATCAAGTTACAAAAGTTTTATTTTCTGGATCGCTTGCAACCACCCATCAGGAATATTCATTTATTTTGTGTTAAAGTGCTACATAATTCATACCTCGGTTTTTAATCTTTGTTAGAAATATCGTGAACACTAAATATTTCGCACTAAGTAGATTATTTTTGTTCGGCAAAACATCACAAGAAAATCGATGGTCACAACGATGTGCTAGTCAGCTACTGAACCCATTACTGTTGATAATCAATTCAACAAGTCTAAAAAATATAAAACGTTCGTGCAAACGGTGCCTAACGATTCATCTCTATAAATATGATACGACTAGTGAGAAATAAGGAAACACACGTAACATAAGGTAGCAGTATTTTTATTACATGCTTCAATTTATACTTTTATAGTATAAAATTTTGTAGATGGAATATTTGGTACACCTGATTTCCACACATACTTTAATAGTGAATCAAAATAAAAGTTTTAGCTTAATAGAGACAATCGGCAGGAAACCTTACCTCTAGGTTTTATGCATTTAAGGAATCATCAGAAAGGTATATCTGCCACCTCAAAAGAACTTATGCCCCCTATGGAATTTGGACCCGTGTCATTCAGTGCTGCAGTCACAGACATTATTACTGAGCTACGTATGCCATGAGAGACCTCCATCAGGATTGGATTGGATACATTGATTAGTCACTGAACAGTAACGAGTTTTATGTGGTCTGGTTTTGAGTGCTGACCGAATTCTATTTCCTACTTTATTTTTAGATTAAAATCTTAAGAATATGGTAATATATTTATAAAATCTTTTTGTAAAAACTTGTCAAGCTGATTGTTTTATCTCCTACTGTTAGTAAAAACTGTCAAATCGTTTTCGCCACCATCTATGATTAACACTCAGTACACTTTGTTTTCCGTACTGACCTTTTTTTTCTGCGACTGTTGAACTGTATCATACGCTTGTGCTAAGCAAAATGTTCAGCCACCAAATTGTTCTTCTTTATCTAGTAGAAAAACTAAACTTGTTATTTTGAGTAATTTACGATTATATTTATCAGTCAGCAATAGCACTTGAATGCAACATTTCTTTGCAGTAATGCTAGTTGCTTATCTATGCACAATTATTCTCCATAATTAAATGTAACCGCAAATAGGAGACACGATATAGGTACTGGGCGGTAATCCACACTAAATATGTGAGGTCTTGTCATCCAAGCCAAATTGGGTACATTGGGAAGAGAGTCTTGAAATCCACTGTCTGAAAATAGATTGGATGCCTAGGACAATAATCTATAACTCGATGTCAAGGGTTGTAATGGCGAGATTTTAGGGGAAATAAGTAGATCCACTATTGCCTGATAACAAAAATAGGGTGGAATGGAATTGTATAAAAGTAATCTTTGCTTCAGAGGCAAACTGTGTTATTACATAAGATCATTTTATGATTACAACTGGGAAAATATTATTTCGATGTTATAGCCAGTATGTCCCCACGGTTGATTGAATCAAATTCATAGACCAATACTGGTATACGGGTTTCTATGCTGATTCCTTGATATTCCTGATAATTTCAGTTTTGATATTGGCGATGGATGATGGCCAGAAGCCGAATCCAGGACACGCATTTTGTCTTACTTGCAACTCGTTAGCTGGACGTGTTTGCATTCCAGTAAACGACCTTGTTCGCACTAAGACTTATATACAGGACCATTAGCTTCAAGCTTCAGAGCATTATGAAGAAGGCCACTAAGTGACTATCTAAAAACATTATCAAAATTAAAAATACCACCAATATCAAGAAATTCGCACAGGAGCCCATATCCCAATACTGACAGGGATTCACAAGCTGTAACATCAAAAGTATACTGTAGCCGTCGCACAAGGAGTGGTTGTCATAAATGAGTGGCCTAGTGGATAGTGCTCCGGCAACTGAAGCGATTGGTCCTGGATCCGAGTTCCAGCGGTAACAACATCACTCACTGGGAGGGGCAGATGCATCCAGCTGGCGAGCTCCAAATAAGATGAAATGTACGTTCTGAATTTCACTACTAGCCGTTACCCATCAGCTATAACACAACTGGAACATTATAATCTACAGAGATTAAAGTCAATGACTTGTAAGGCTATTAATAGTTTCTATTTCCTGCAGGTTATTTTAATTATTTCAGTGACTATACATAATAAATATAAGGTTGCATCACCGATCAAACATATCGCTGATGGACAAATAACTAAACTGTGGTCATCACTTGTAGTGTCAATGTTGAATAAGTGGCGATGAGTATTTTATGCTATATTATTTCTGTTCTCACTCGGTTTTTACTAAATGAGATATCTAACAGATCATTGACACCTCTTAATCGAAAAGCTTAAATTAGGTGAGATTTTCACATAGATATCAGATTTCTGAGACAAAAAGGTTTATATATATATATATATATATATATATATATATATATCTTGGAATCCCGTTAAAATTTCATTTCTGGTAAATAAAACAAACTTTTTTCGGAGTAAGAGTGCGTTCATTCATCCATCCAATCACCAACTGTTTCTTCGTGTCAGTATCAGATAAATCTTCAATATATTAGCAGAAAAGTAGAAGACTTATATTTGTCATAAGTTTGATTAGTCAGGGAATCAAAGCAAAATTATACATGCATTTCTACTGAATTTATTGTATGCTTAAGTCACATACAGTGGGAAAAAATGAGGAGGAATTTAAGCAAGTTATATGTCAATAAAATTAGAAATAGCAAACAAATTGAAGGCCAGCTGAATGATTCCATGTTTTTCCTTTCTTTAGTTATCAAAGTTAGACTTTCTCTTCACCACTAAGCTGTTTCTGTCAACAATCCTAACTGCAACTACATTATATAAATGTTAGTGTTTCATTTTCAACTTCAAAAAAGAAATATCCTCCATAATATGAGGAGAACTGAGCAATTTAACGATAATAAAGCAGAAAAAATTGTTTCTGCCTCATCCCTTCTTGAGGATAGTATTTTCGTATGCGAAAAAGTATCCTACCTCTCAGTTGATTCGACATCTTACCATTAATGGAATCTTAAATAGTCAATAATTTGGTTACAATCAACCAGTAATGCACATTGCAATGTATAGAATAGCAAATTCGTGATGTCTCAATACTTCCCTGTTTTCCATCCAATAGTTATTGATATTGATCAAACCAGTTTGTCCAAGGAGACTTTTATCAATATGGAGATATTAAGAATCAAGTAATATTTTGTCCTACTATGAGAACCTCCTTCTTCACCTCGTCCGGTTAACTAGTTCACTAGGTACTAGCCGGTCTTAAGCCCGGATAAAGAGTGAAGGTTAGGCATACGGCCAGCACGGCCCCACCCCGCCTCGAAAACCAATCTAACCGCTGAAAAAACTTCAAAGCACAAACAAAATATTAAAAACAAAATTTAACTTATTCCTCACTGAAATCGGAGAGTCGAATTGACGCCGGTTGGTGAAGGCTTTCAGAAAGCCAGTCAGCCGGTGTGTCTTATCTCTCTCGATGAGAGCGAAAGTAAGAATGGGGATATGGAATGTTCGAACAATGTTTGAAGCTGACTGACAAGACTGCCTAGATTGCAGAAGAGATGAGAAGTTATGGCACAGAAGTGCTAGGCTAGGAATCTGCAAAAGCAGATAGAATGGAGGTGGACTCCCCAAACTGCTGTTAACTGGAGAGTCAATAATCTACTCCGACATTGTCACCCAGACGTTAACCACGAGCACACTGAGTTTTCCAGTGGCTATAATGATGTCTCCAAGAACATTGAAGACTCGCTCTCATGCAGTGGGAAACAATCTCTTTCTGCAGGATCAGGATCATGACGGCAAGATGGATTCAACTCGAAAGAAAGGGAGGTCACAATCATTCAGTGGTAATCTACGTTACGCCCTTACAAATAAGGGAGATCAAGTTAACTAGTTTACTAGTTACTAGCCGGTCCTAAGCCCGGGTAAAGAGGGAAGGTTGGGCATAGGGCTAGCAACCCTACCCCGTAAAACAAATCTAACCGCTAAAGAAACTTCAAAGCACAAACAAAATATAAAAAATGAAAACAAACTTATTCCCCGCTGGAATCGGAGAGGCGAAATGACGCCAGTTGGTGAAAGCCTTCGGGAAGCCAATTGGCCGATGTGTCTTCTCTCTCGATGAAAGCGAAAGTAAACGTGGGGACATGGAATGTCCGCACGATGTTTGAACCCAGTAAGGCAGCCCAGATTGCAAGGGAGATGAGAAGGTATAACATCGAAGTGCTTGGGATTTGCGAAAGCAGATGGAATGGGAGTGGACTCTCCAAACTGTCAACTGGAGAATCAATAATCTACTCCGGTCACCCAGACGCCAACCACGAGCACACTGAGGGAGTGGCTATCATGATGTCCTCAAGAGCATCGAAGGCTCTCATGCAGTGGGAACCAATCTCCTCCAGGATCATGACAGCAAGATTCAACTCAAAAGGAAGAAAGGTCACAATCATACAATGTTATGCACCTACAAATAATGCAGAGCAAGAGAAAAAGGAGGATTTCTACAGACAACTTCAATCAACACTGGACAAGACGTCAGTTGGCGATATCAAAATTCTGATGGGCGACATGAATGCCAA